ACTCAGCCTCTCTGAGCCTCGGTTTTCAGATTTGGGAAATGGGGATGCTAACGGTGCCTACCTCGCGGGGCTGATGTGAAGTTAAAACAGACCGCAAAGCTAGCGCTCCAGCATCATATCACAGCCTCGCGACCGTTGTCCCCAGTACCCGCACGGCGACCAGATTCCTGCAGGCCCTCTTGTGGCGGCGCTGAGTACTGCAGCCTGCCCGAGCACTCGAGATCGCTCTGCATTCTAAAGGTTTACTAAGTCAGCAAAAAAAAAAGAAGAAGAAGAAGAAGAAAAACATTTTTGGAGTCAGTCCAAGCTGGTTTAAGCCAAAAGAGAATGCACTTGGCCCTATGAGCTTCGCTCCTAGAACGCCTTCACCCCCGGAGCCTCCTTCTTAACATGCAAACCAGAAATATCAATGCCACCTGCACCGGGAGCCTCTTGCTGGCTCCCTATTTATTCCGATCCTGAGCAGCACCCGTGTGGTGACCCTGTTCTAGGCACTGCGGATACCACTGTGGACCTCACGGATGAACTCCTCTTCCCTCAGAGCTGACGTCCTGGTTAAGGAGAGAGAATCAATGAAAACACGAAAAATGTATTCTGCAACATCAGGTGTTGACTCAGGAATGAAATAAACCAGGGAAAGGGGAGACAAGGTGTGTGGATGTCATCTTGAAGTGGGGGGAGGGGCCGGCCTCACTGTGGGGTGATATTTGAGATGAAACTTCCGCAACAAGGTGGAGGGGCCGTGGCAACATCAGGCGGGAAGAGGCAGGACAGTGACCTCAGTGGGGGATGCCATGTGGTTGTTCTGGACGGTGTCCCCGGTGCCTGGACCAGCACCCCAGTGCTCAGTGAGTGCTCAAAAGTCTGTTTCCCTGGATTCCCCGCAAAAGCCTGGACAAGCCCAGCCCCCCAATCAATCCTGGAGACCAGGAGACGGGGATGTGGGAGCGGCTGAGGGCCAAGTCACGCGCTCTAGAGAGGGGGACCCCAAGGGGCATCTGGGGTGGCAGCATGGGAGAGAGGAGGCATGGACGCAGAAGAGCCAGTTTCAGAGAATCATTAGAAGAGGTTTACGGCTAGTGAGGGGCAGAGCCTCCAAGCTCCTGGCTCAAAGCAGCCTTGAAACCCCCGGTGCTGTGTGGCGGCCACCCAGCCCAGACTAAGGACTGTGGCTGAGTGGCTGCACCAGCCCCTGGGCTGAAGGTGAGAGCTTTCAGCATGAGAGCAAAACTGACGAGGCCAAGGTGGCCACCTCTCTGAGGGACAAAGGAGTAAAATGGAAGAAGGCAGCTCAGGGTGGACTCCCAGCGCGTCCCTGGGTAGCACGGGGACCGAAGGCAGAGACCAGAGCTGGCTTACTTGGACTTGTTCCTTGGCTGGGGGGGGGGGGGGGGGCGAGGGTAGCAAACGCAAGGGTGGGCTGTCCCTCGGGTCTGGCCTGGGGTGAGAATGGGGTGGAGGTGGAGCCGGCCGCAATCTCCAATCTCACAGGAGCTCCGGGAAGAGTCTGGAATTTACAGAGTATCTGCTGTATGCGCAAGCCCTGACCTAACTACCAGCCCAAATTCAGAACAAAAGAAACAAACGTTTGCTGTAGAATGAACCCCTCTCCCAGCCGCCTCTAAGGTTGCCGTCAGCCATCCCGCAGGGACCAGGAAACAGAGACTCAGAGAGGGCAAGGGCAAGGGCAAACCAGGCCAGGCTCTGCCTAGTTCCCTGGGGTCAGGCCTGGAAAATGACTTGAACGGAGAGACTGGGGGTCACTGCCCTGCCACCTCCAGCAGCACTAGCCCCTGGCCAGGCACCCAAAGGCCTGTGGGGCGGCCGTGTGCGGTTTCACCCCTGCTCTGACTGTGCAAGTCAGCCCCGTTCTTGTGCCACAACTCACTGGGCCCCTGCCCTCGTGAAACGTCCCCCTCCTGCTCCCTGATCTCAGTTTTTTCTTCTGTGAAATGGAACCAGCCAGCTTCGGGCAGGTCAAGCCCCCAGAGGGGAGCTCTTGGGAGGGCAGGGGCTGGCTGACATTTATGCGGCCGCCCTGGGCACCGTGCCTGGCACACGGGTGGTGCCCAATAAATGCTTGTTTGAGCAGGACTAGCCCTCAATAAATAACAGCTGTTGTCGATGCTGGCGGTGCCGGCGAGAGAGTGGGCTCTCCCCTCCCCCACCCCTCCGCCCGGCTCCCCATTCCTTCCCCTTTCGCCCCACACGAAGGTGCCTCCTCCTCCATCCCCCACCTCCTCCCGCCGCTTTCCATTCAGTCTCCCCTCCCTGCACCACCCGTTCTGCTCTCCCTGCTTTCCCCCTTACCCCTACCCAATTCTTCCTCCCTCCCCTCCCCCACCCGCCTCTCTCCCCTCCCCCACGGGCCACCTTACTCTCCCCGCCCCCACCCCAGCCCCTCTCCCCGCCCGCCGTTTCCCAGCCCCCCACCACCACCCCCCAAGGCGAGGCCGGTCCGGGCGGGGCCGCCCGAGCTCCCGGGTCCCTGGCTCGGGTCCAGCCCGCGGCCCAGGCCGGGCGGCGGCGGCGGCGGCGGGCGGGCGGGGTTCTGGCCTCGCGCGGTTTGGGGGTTTTTTATAACCCTGGCAGGCGGCTCAGGAAGTGCCTTCCCCGCGCCCCCTCCCCCGGCCACGCCGCCGCGCTCGCTCCCTCCCTTCCTGCGCAGGGCGGCGAGACGGCGGCGGAGACGGCGGACGGAGGCCCGGGCGGGCGGGCGGCCGCAGGTAAAGGCGCGGGCCCCGGAGGGCGCCCGGGGGGAGGGGGCCGGGGCGCGGCGGCGTGGGGTGACCTTGCGTGTCCGCGTCGGGGGGGGGGACGGCTGCGGGCCCGGGTCGGCTGGACCGTCCAGCCCCCGGGGCTTGTGTCGGTGTCCGGCGTCCCCAAGTGTGTGCGATCCTGAGGTCGTACGGGGCGCCTGTCTGGGTTTGTCGGCGGGGTGTGTGTGTGTGTGTGTGTGTGTCGGGGTGCGTGTGGGCATCCACGTATGTGTGAATGCGGTGAGTCTGCATGTGTGTGTCTGCGTGAAAACGTCTCAGAGTGTCTGGGTGTGTTGAAGTTGCGTGTCCATCGTAGGGGTTTTGTGCGTGTGCAAAGGTGTGCGTGTGAGCCGTGGTGTGCGCATAGTTACATGTCTGCTGTGGATGTAAATGTCCGGTGAGTGTGCGCGTGTCTCCGTGCTGTGTCCGGGTGTGTCTGAGTGTAACAAGTGTGTAAATGCCTGAACGGGAGCGCACTTGGTGTGAATGTCAAGTTTCGTGGGACGCCATGAGTCTGTCCCTTGTCTGGTGTGAGTGTGTGAACGAGGGTGTGCGTGTATGTGTGCGTAGGCCCGAGTGTGTGTGTGTCTCCGGGTTGTCTTGTGTGGGCGTGTGAATGAGTGTGGACGTGAGTGTGCACATAGGTCTGGGGAGTGTGTAGCTGTGTGCCTGGGGCGCCTGCCTCTGGACGGGAGTGTGTGCTGAGCATGTCGGTGTGCGTTGGGATGGGAGTCCTTTGTGGGTCCGCGGTGTCCCGTGTTGGTCCCCGGCGGCGCAGGTGTGGTCACCCTGGAGTGTGCGCGTCGCTTGCCAGTGTGTGTTTGTGTGTCTGGGTGTGGGGGCGGCACCTCCCACTTCCCCTGAGTCGGTCACCGAGGCCACAGCCGTCTGTCTCCCGGCGTCTCCGGCCCCTCGGGCTCAGGGCCTTTAATTAGTGGCTGGCGGAGGGGGACCCGCCGGGGCGCCGGCCCCCTCCTCCCGCAGGCCTCGGGCGGGCCTTTGTCTGCTCTCCCGGCGGCCAGATGTGCAGCGCCAGGAGGAGGCCTGGGCCCGGGCGGCCTCGGCCCGGGCCCCCACGGAGCGGCCGGGGCTCCCCGGGCACGGCACCCGCCGAGGTCCGGGCGTGGAGCGGCGGCTCCTTCCCGGATCACTGGGATGGGATGGAGCCTCCGCTGTTTCCGGGCCGCTTCCGCGCGGCATTTCCTCCTCCAGCGCTGGCACCGGCCCCGCGCCGGCCGCCTCCCTCCCGCCTTCTGGAAGGAGGGGCCGGGAGGAATGGCCAGGCCTGGGCACGCGCCCGTGTGCGTGCGCGCGCGCGCACACACACACACAGCCGCACGGGCACACACATGGCCACACACGGGGTCACATGGGCACACACCCCACGCACAGCCCCATACGTACACGCAGTCCCCTCACACGGTCTCACACACACACAGTTGTGCACACATCACAGTCCGGCGCGGGCCCTGGAATGCCCTAACCTCCGGGGCACGGGCATCACTTTCTCCCCCAGACCCACTGACCTGTTCCTGGCAGCCCCAGTGGCCCGGGCAGGTCACACCTCCCCACACCGCCCTGCGGGCTGGGCCACTGCCCCAGATGCTCTTCCCTGCCCTGGCAGAGGACACCTGCCAACCTTCCGTCCAGACCCCTCCCCTCTGCATCCCCCATCCTCACCCGCCTATGCTGGGTCCCCCACGCCCCACCAGAGCCAGAAGCGGAGGGAGGCTGTGAGGTCTTTGGGAGGAGGGGCAGCCCAGGGGACAGTGGTGAGGACTTCAGGGGTGGGCAGCAGGAGAGACTCAAAGACGCTGCAGCCAAGACCAGAGCCACAGAGCCAGGGCGCAAGATTCTGCACCAGGCCTGGCAGTGCAGGAAAGACAGAGGGACAGGATTGGGGGAAGGGGGTCCACCGTCACTTGTGATCAGAATGCTGCCACCTTGGCATGATGGGGGGGGGATAAGGCAGGAGGGGGAGGTCAGGGCAACTCAACCAGGAAGGGGTTTAATCAGAGCTGGTTTGGGTCTCCAGGATGGGCTAGGGGACAGGAAGCAAGAGATGGGGACGGGGGGTGGGGGCCTTTGTTGGGGGACCGGGAACTGAAGGATGATCAGATACTCCAAGAGGAGGTTCACCAGAGTTAGGGAGAAGGGCAGATTATTCTCAGCCACCCCTGAACTTCTGACCCAGCCCAGCCCCTCCTCACTGCCCCCTCCCTGTCCAGGCACCAGAGAAGACACACTGAGGCCCAGAGGGGCTCACCCACAGGTGTCCGACACCAGGCCACCGACTGGAGCCCCCAAAAGGTACAAACAAACGAGGGGTGATCCCCCGCCCAGCTCAAGGCAGCAGGAGGGTACAGAGAGTGTCTTGGAGTGAGCTCCCCATTCCTGGAGGGGTCCAAGCAGAAGCGGTAATGTCAACTTCCAAGTCTGCATCTTGTTGAAAATCTGGCTCCCTCCCTCCTGTGCTGACCTGCCCTGTTTGGGGATCGACTCTCAGACTTGGCCAGGCTGCAAAGAAAACAAGACAGTGTGTGATTAAGGGGGAAACTGCAGAGAGGAGGAGGAGGAGGAGGAGGAGGAGGAGGGTGGAGACGGGAGTGGGGAGGAGGGTTTGGCACAGGGTAGTGGCCCAAAGCAGTGTCTGTGTGCAGCAGGCTGGCCTGGGGCTGATGCCAGAGAAACTGAGACCTGCCAGCCAGGCCTAGAGCTTCTAGAAAGAAGAATCTGAAAGGCAACGGAGCAGAACCAGGGGTCAGGGCAGAAGTACAGGGTTAGAAGAGAGGTCACAGGGACAGAGGCCACCTGCAGCGGTTCCGGGCCCAGTGACAGGGTAGATAGTGCTACCCATGGCAGGGGATCTAATAGTAAGGCCTAGGTCAGACGGGGTGAGGAGGGAGAGCCAAGCACTGGCCTCCGCTTTAATCTGGGCTGAAAATGCCCACTGACCGACACAGCCGAGTCCCATGCCAGCCTCCCTACTGCTCTGCACCCTCCCCCTCAGCCACTCTGCCCAGCCACACCGGCCTTTGTGGTCCTGGATCCACACCCAGCTCTTCCCGGCCCCAGGGCCTTTGAGCCTGCTGGTCCTCCATCCCGGGCACCTTCTCCTGTCTCTTCACTGAATGAGTTTCCGCTCACCCCCCACACCCCTGCATCTGAGCTTCCCCGTTATTACTTCTAGAGAACTTGTCGCAACCTGAACTCCTCTCATTCAGTCACTCCCAGGAGACCGAGCCCCATGGTGGGCAAGGACGGTGTCTGTATCATGCACAGTCCTTACCTAGGGAAGGAATCCTCAGGATTATTGTGGAAGTGAAACGAAATGGTGTGAAAACGCTCAGGCCGGTAGCTGGCACCTCATAGGTGCTCTTGTTTTCTTGCTCACAAACACTGTCTTGTTTTCTTTGCTCACAAAGTTGAAATCCCTGTGTATCCTAATAGTACAGGGAGGAAGGGGAGGGTGGGGACAGGGGGACTTCTGAATGAGGAGATGTCTTGGACGTCACTGGGGCCGGGAGTGAGGGGCCTAGGCACTGGATACACTGGGCAGCAGGACCAAGCACCCACCCACCACCTGACCCACCTCCTCCCTCCTAGGAGCCCGGTGATGCTCCCCAGGCTGTGAACAGGGGAGGTGGTGCTGTGGGGGCTGCTGGCAGCCGGGGCTGGAGAGAGACATGTGGACACGTGGCCCCTATGGCTCCCGCCGGCCAGATCCTCCGCTGGGTCCTCACCCTGGGGCTGGGCCTCACGTTCGAAGTCCTACATGCCTTCCGCTCTCAAGGTAGGGGCAGCCCAGGGGCGGAAGTGGGGAGGGAAGAAGGAGCTGAGGAAGGGTCGGCGGGGCCGGGATGGCATTCGTTGCGGGGAGGGCCCTGTAGCCAAGCAGCCAAGACACGGGTCATTCTCAGGGCTCACCCAGAGCCTCTGACCCTCACCCACAGATGAGTTCCTGTCCAGTCTGGAGAGCTACGAGATCGCCTTCCCCACTCGAGTGGACCATAATGGGGCACTGCTGGCCTTCTCGCCCCCACCCCACCGGAGGCAGCGTCGGGGCACAGGGCCAGCTGCAGAGTCCCGCCTCTTCTACAAGGTGGCTGCACCCAGCACCCACTTCCTGCTGAACCTGACCCGCAGCCCCCGCCTCCTAGCAGGGCACGTCTCCGTGGAGTACTGGACACGGGAGGGCCTGGCCTGGCAGAGGGCTGCCCGGCCCCACTGTCTCTACGCCGGCCACTTGCAGGGCCAGGCTGGCAGTTCCCGTGTGGCCATCAGCACCTGCGGGGGCCTGGTGAGCGGAGGGTCCTGGGAAGCAGGGAGAAATGCCCACACGTTTGGGAGTTTGGAAAAACACTCCTACATAGAGGTCAGAGAGGAATCATGGTGGATATTTTGAAAGCACTTTGAGCTCATCAGAAGGATTAGTTACTTTTTTTTAGGATGCAGCCAAAGCCGAACTTAGAGGAAAACGTATAGCCTTAGGGATAGGGCTGAAAATTAATAAACTGAACATCCACCTCAAGAAGTTGGAAAAGGAATAGCAACAGAACCCCAGTAAGATAGAGGAATGAAATCATAAAGACAGAGAAAGGGTCCCAGGGGTCCTGGGAGCAAGATCTGATCCAAGCACTCTGCACACTACCCAACCCCTAGCATGGCCTCATTGTGGCGGAGGAAGAAGAATACTTGATCGAGCCCCTGCAAGTTGGGCCCAAAGGAGCCCATGGCCCAGAGGAGAGTGGCCCCCATGTGGTGTACAAGCGCTCCTCTCTGCGTCACCCCCACCTGGACACAGCCTGTGGAGTGAGAGGTATACCTGTCTTTCTGGGGATGAGCAGAGGGACTGGACTTCTTTGCCTTAAGGCAGAGGTAGGCAGGAGCATCTCTCCCTGCAGAAGGTCAGCAGGTAGCTCTGTGTGGGGAGGACTGGCAGCCAGCCAGGCAGCGGGACAGTAGGGCAGAGAAACAGCCCCTCCACCACTGCCCTAGTCCGATGGCCCAGCAGTGAGCCACACAGGCAGCTGGACAGCCAGACAGGTGCTCAGGTGTAAAACCCTCCATCCCCAGGATTCCTGTGTGATCAGATGGTCAAGCGACTGGGTAGTTGCAGATACTTGAGCCACTTCGCGGCAGAAACACCATTCGGAAGGTCCAGTGTACGGCCAGACTTTCAGGAGGACGGTTCTAGATCAGACGGTCAGGGAACAGGAAAGTAAGAAAGCTGCATGAGATAGAAATCTACCAGGGCAATTGGACAGCTAGAAAGCCAGGTTGCCGTGGGGACAAAGGCAGAGCCCTGGGACGTTAAATGAGGTACACAGTCTGACAGTCTGCAAGTAGGACACTGACACAGTGGGTCATACACACAGAAAAGTGGGTGGTGTCACCGCCTGACGGTCCGGGAGACAGGCGGGCTGGTTCGGTTGGGCAGGAAGACCACCGGGCAGGTGGGCTGTTCTCCAGTTTGGCGGTGGGGCAGACACTTCTTTGTAGAACCGGACATCTGGGTCACGGACCCACGGTGGGACTAGACCTTGTACCAGAACACCCAGGAACCAAAGAATGAGGGGTCTGACGGCCCATTGGGCAGATGAGCCATCAGACAGGTAGGTGGACAGTCAGGGCAGGCAGCAGAATGACAAGAAGTCGTCCATCCAGACGAGAAGCCGTGGAAGGGGCGGCCGTGGTGGCTGCGTACCCTGAAGCCGCCACCTGCCAGGCCGCTGGGGAATGAGACGGAGCGCGGCCAGCCAGGCCTGAAGCGCTCGGTCAGCCGAGAGCGCTACGTGGAGACGCTGGTGGTGGCAGACAAGATGATGGTGGCCTACCACGGGCGCCGGGATGTGGAGCAGTACGTGCTGGCCATCATGAACATTGTAAGTGCCTCCCCCTCCCTGGGGGTGGAGCCCGGGCACCTGGAGCCTGCCTCCAGAGGTCAGGAAACGGGGTCTCACCATCCCAGCCACTAGCCCTGACCTGAGGCCCGGGAACCAGAATGGAGGGGACACAGGGGGAAAGGAGGCCCACATGAGGAAGGACTGGGAAGAAACGGCCGCGCTCTGTGGCTGGGAGCATGGACTCGGCAGGCTGTGCGCCCTTGGACAAGTTACTTCACCCCTGTGCCTTGGTTTACCCATCTGTAAAATGGGGCTGGTAATAGTCCCCGCTTCACAAGGGTAAGGTGGTTGCAGTGAATCGATAAAGCATTTAGAACAGCGCTCAGCTCGCAGCAGGTGCCGAGTAAGTGTCTGCTGTATAAAATAAGGACACAGGGCGCCTGGGTGGCTCAGTTGGCTAAGCATCTGACTTCGGTTCAGGTCATGATCTCATAGTTTGTGAGTTCAAGTCCCACACTGGGTTCGAGTCCTGTGCTTTGGGTGAAACACGAGCCCCGGGTGAGCCCCGCTTCTCTCTCTCTTCCTCTCTTCTCTCTCTGCCCCTGCTCACTTCGTCCTCTCTCTCAAAGTAAAATAAAACAAGGACACCGATTGCACATCCCTGTCAAGGTCGTACCTGTCAAGGTCAGCTGCACACACATGGGCCCGCACCTGTATGCACGCAGAACTGTCCTGTGGGCACCTGCCTATAACTTCACACAGGTGCCCTCGCTGACCCACACTCAGATATACCCGCTGCCCACACCAGATCTCAGTCCAGCCCCTGGGTCTCCCTGAGCCTCTGTTTCCACCTTTGTACAATACTATTATCATGGCATCTACCACAGAGGTTAAGAGGTGGGGGAGAGGGTCGGGGGCAGGGAGAGCAGCCGGAGGGAGCATTTGGCACTTGGTTGGAGCCTGCCACATGGCACTGCTGTTTCCCTGAAGCAAAAGGGAGGAGAAAAGGTTCAGCAGAAGGACAGAGGGCCCAGTGTGTTGACATGACCTCGTGTGTGATGCCCCTGCGTATTGCCCTGGCCCCGCTTCCCTCCATTGGGCTTTTAAAGTTGTCTAAAACCTGCCAGGGTTTCTGGGGGTTTCTACATGGGACAGGGATGCCCCAGGCTCCAAGATCACTGCACCATGCGGCCTCCATCGTCTGTGCCCATTCCCCCGGAGCACCCCCTCCCCTCCCTGGCCACTGTCTCCACAGCTTCATGCCCCCTACCCCTTCCAACCTGCTTGTGGTGCTGCTCAGATCGGTCCCTTTAGACGGTGGTGGGATGCGGCCGAGTGTGCAGGGCTGCCTGAGGGCGGGCACGGATGAGCCAAATGGGGGCGAGTCAGAAAGAAACTACTGGCAAGCGACCATGCTTTGGAGGCAGGCTTACCCAGAACTGAATCCCACCCGGGGCACCTACTGTGTGTCCTGGCCTCCCTGCATGTCAGTTTGCCCCTCTGTAAAACGGGAATGATCGCAGCACCGGCCGGTGTGAAGAGGTACCCAGCACGCTTAGCCTGACTCCCAAGCGCGCGGTGACGAAGGACAGCTATTGTCACTGTTGTGTCTTCTGTCTTCTGCTCCGAGCCTCTCTTAAGACTCGGTCTCTCTTGTTTCTTGGAGGCCAGGTTGCCAAACTTTTCCAGGACTCGAGTCTGGGAAACATCGTTAACATCCTGGTGACACGCCTCATCCTGCTCACGGAGGACCAGGTGCGTGGGCGCCCCCCCCCCCAGCCCTGCACACCAGCGCCACCTGCCCTCCCAGTGCGGCTGGCACCCACGCGCTCCCCTCTGTGTGCCCGCAGCCCACCCTGGAGATCACCCACCACGCCGGGAAGTCCCTGGACAGCTTCTGTAAGTGGCAGAAATCCATCGTGAGCCGCAGCGGCCATGGCAACGCCATCCCGGAGAACGGTGTGGCCAACCATGACACAGCAGTGCTCATCACGCGGTGAGGGCCGGGGAGGCTCCAGGCCGGGCCGAGGCACCAGTGGTCCCCGGGGCCGCCTGGCTCCAAGCAGGGGCCGCTTCTGCTGGGAGATGGGAGAGGCTGGAACGCTCCGGCTACTCCAGTGGGGCGTGAGGGGGCGGAAGGGGCTGCTGGGAGCCTGAGAGCAGAGAGAAGGTCAGGGCCAGTGGGGCCAGTTGGGCACAGACGCACCCGTTCACTCACTGTCTCATTCCTGCGGGCAGTCAGTCAGTCACTCATGCACCCCCGGCCTCCCCAAGGTCATCTGGGGGCAGAGCAAGGGGTGAGGGGTGAGTGGCAGATGGAAGTGAGCCGCGCCCCCACCCCCTGCCCCTCCCCCCTGCTCACGTTGGCAGCAGCAGGGCTCAGGGCTGTGGCCCAGCCCCTCACCACCAGCTCATCCTTCCTCTGCAGCTACGACATCTGCATCTATAAGAACAAGCCCTGCGGGACACTAGGTACTTACACCCTGTGGGTTTGCAGGCGCCTGTGAAGCCAGCGGACTGGGGACCCTGGCCCTGGTGGGGGTGGGGGGACCCGGCAGGGCGCACGGACCAGCCAGCACCAGCCTGAGCCCAGCCATGTGCCACGTACCCGTGTCGCAGGCCTGGCGCCCGTGGGCGGGATGTGCGAGCGGGAGCGGAGCTGCAGTATCAACGAGGACATCGGCCTGGCCACCGCCTTCACCATCGCCCACGAGATTGGACACACGTGAGGCCGGAGGGGGCGGGGGAGGGGGGGACACAGCAGCGGGAGGCCGGGAGGCCGGGCGCGTTCCCAGGGCGCCCGCAGAGCCCACGCTGCTCCCCCAGGTTTGGCATGAACCACGACGGCGTGGGGAACAGCTGCGGGGCGCGGGGCCAGGACCCGGCAAAGCTCATGGCCGCCCACATCACCATGAAGACCAACCCTTTCGTGTGGTCGTCCTGCAGCCGCGACTACATCACCAGCTTCCTGGAGTGAGGACGCCGTGCCCGCCCCGCGCCCCGCCTGCCCACACTCAGGGGAAGGGTCCGGATGCCAGAGCTGCCTCCGAGGGCCCCTCCCCCAGAACCTACGCCCCGCTGGGCTCCCCCAGCTTTCGGCCTGCAGCCCCCTAAGGTGACAGCTGCTTTCTTCTCACCACAGCTCAGGCCTGGGGCTGTGTCTGAACAACCGGCCCCCCAGACAGGACTTCGTGTACCCGACAGTAGCGCCCGGCCAGGCCTACGACGCAGATGAGCAGTGTCGCTTCCAACATGGAGTCAAATCGCGTCAGTGTAAATACGGGGTAGAGAGAGCCTTCCTGCTTTCCTTCCTGGGAGGGGAGGGGCCGCAGGGGGTGGGAGAGCCGGGAGGGGGGTGAGCCCCCGTGGGGGCTGGGGGAAAAGAGGTGCACAGGTGTACAAAGGTCCCAAGCACTCAGAGGTGGAGAATGGGACCAGATTTGGGGGTGGGGGCTGGGCCAGGGAGAGCTCGGTCATTACCTTCTGTCCGTCCTATCAGGCCTCCTGTGGCTTTAGCAGAGCTAAGGTCCCAAGCCCCCTAACTGGGCAGGTTTCAACCAAACATCCAGACTGGGTGGGAACCGTTCCCTGGGGGGTGGACCGTCTTCCCCACATGGCAGAGAACCAGACAGAGCCTTCCAACCACACCCTGTCTTCACTCCCCACACCCCCCACCAACTGGCTCACATGACCCGTGGCTGGATGAGCTCTGAGCCGCCTGACTGACCCCATCACTCGCTGTGAGGTTTAGATTGACCTCCCAAAGCCCCGCCCTGTGGTAGACCAGCAAGCTGGGGATTCCCCCCCAGGTGCCCCCAAGAAACTGAAGGCCTGCTAGCTTCCTCTAGACTCCAAAGGTCAGAGTTTGGATGGCCACGTCCAAGCTAAGGCCGTGTTCACCCAACACATGAACAGGCAGCGGGTAAAGTGTCCTCACTTCATTCCAGTATAAGAGGAGGAGATAGGCCCTGGAAGATTTTCTAGCTAATCCACTCTTGCCCCACCCCCACCCCCAACTTGGCTGTTGACGACAGCACCCTTAATGAATTTCTAAAGAATCTGGAAGCTATCCTAGGCCATCTGCTGTACCCCAGGTGTCCCAACAATGATGGACAGTGCCTGACACTCCCTGAGCGCTCACTATGTGCTAAGCATGTGATGTGTATCATCTCATTTAAACTGTTGGCGATCCTGTTATTCCCACAAGACAGATTGAAGGGACTGAGGCATAGGGAGGGTGCCTTGCCCAAAGTCACAGTTCCGGAGCATGTCAGAGCCAAGATTCGAGTCCAGGTCTCTCTGTGACTCTAAATGTCACACGGAGGGAGGGGAGGGGAGGAAGTGCCAGAAAACGGAGCTTGATCGGGTGCTGCCTGTATGCTGAATTGATTCTTCCTTTTATTTTTCCAAGGATCATCTTCCCGGCGCCCCTGGCAAAGGGGGAAAGTATTGACTACATGTCACTTGGCTAACATGTGTACAGAGCTGGGCCTTGAGCCTAGTCCAGAGATAGCTGTGGTCCTTGTTACACAACATCAGGGAGTTTATGCAATCCCTCTATCTGCCCCGTCACATGCCTTTTAGGTAGGCAAGGCCTGTGCTGTAGATGAGGAAACTGAAGCCCAAAGAGGGGCATGTGCTGCAAGTCAGGGGCGGAGCTGAAGTCTCCCAGAGTGCGCACCCGCCCAGCTCCTGCATGTGCACCACAGCGCCTCCTTGTGGACAGGAGGAAAAACAGGACTGGAATAGCTCGCTCTCTTTAAGAGGGGTCCCAAGGGGGGCCCGGGGCATGTGATCTTTTTTTACAAACGGCCAGAAGGACACAAGCCAAGTGAAGCCAGAAAACCAGACTGAGATTTTAGCTGTGATGTGTGCCCTGAGGGGGCAGAAGGCAGGGACTCTGGAGGACGTTTGAGGGAGCAGATTTGAGAAAAACCTTCTGAACTTCTCATACGTGTGCGGGTGTCTCAGAGGCTGACCCGGACAAGGGCCGCTCCCGTAGCTCTTGACTGGTCCAATGCCAAATCTCCAAAACTCGAAAGCATTAGGTTCAGAGAGGAAATTCCACATAAATGTTAAAAAGGATACCAGAGGATTTCCACTTCTTGGGTGTTGGGGAGGGAAGACCCCGGGAGGTGGGGCAGGATGTAGGCTAGAGGGTCAGAGACTTGGCACGCTCGAACCCACTGGGGTTTGTCCAGGGATATTAACCTAAAGGGTCAGAGTGACTTCCTGGGACTTGCCCAGCCCAAGCAGGATTCAGACGCAAAGGTGGGCAGATTTTTCAGTGGGGGAAGTAAAGGAATGCCCCACCCAGATCCAGCCTGGCCTTTCCCCTTGCCCCGTCCTCCAGCAGCCCACAGATTAAAAGCTTTGGGAGTTTCCCCAGTGTGGGTGGGGGCCGCAAGGAGGATCACCAGCTGGAAAAACTCCGAGATGAGGCCTTTGACCTGGGCCATCTCCCGGGCCTGAGTTTTCAGAATTGCTGTTTACCCAAGGGCTGCTTCACCCATCCCGAAAAGGAATGCAGAATCATCATCATTCCTCAGCCGGTCCCAAGTTTCCTTCTGGAAACTCAGGAGGCACCAGAGTGAATCGGTCACAGGCTGGTCCATCAAAGGTCTGGGTTAAACCCAGGCTGCCCCTTAGAAGCTGTGCGGTCCCTAGCAAGTGACTCTACCTGTCTGGGCCTTGGTTTTTTCTCAGTGAAACGGGTAGTAACGCGTAAGGGAGTTTGTGGCACACACGGACGTTGGATAAGTGCGGCTCGCAAGGCAGAGGAGGCCTCAGGCCATGCCGCACGAGAGGATTCAAGAAGGCTCCTTGAGACCCAGCAAAGGGGCGCCGGGGCCCCACTGCTAGGCGGCCGGGAGCGGGTCGCCGCGTCGCCGCCTGGCGGGCGGGCTGCCAGAGGGAGGAGGGCGGGGGGCGAGCCTGAGCGGGCGCCTTGGCCCGCAGGAGGTCTGCAGCGAGCTGTGGTGTCTGAGCAAGAGCAACCGGTGCATCACCAACAGCATTCCAGCCGCCGAGGGCACGCTGTGCCAGACGCACACCATCGACAAGGGGGTGAGCGAGGCCGCAGCCGCCCGCCGGGCCCCGCCCCCTGCCCGAGCCCCGCCCACCGCGCCGCAGTGTGTTTTCCTTCGTCTCTGGCCCCGCCCACTGCCCGCAGGCCCCGCCCCGTCTCCAGCCACTTAGGTCCCAAGGTAGTTTCACCTCCTGCTGGCGGCCGTCTGCTTGGGCCACGCCCCTGCATTGCCCCCGTCCGGGTCCTCAGACCCCGCTTCCACCCTCGCCCCTTCCGGCTCAAGCCAGGGGTGCTGAGACCCCCGGCTGGGGGGAGGGGCGGGGCAGGAAGCAGCGCCGAGACCCCGGGAGTCCGGCTCACCCCTGCGCATCCCTCTCCTCCCCGCAGTGGTGCTACAAGAGAGTGTGCGTCCCCTTCGGGTCGCGGCCGGAGGGCGTGGACGGGGCCTGGGGCCCGTGGACCCCGTGGGGCGACTGCAGCCGGACGTGCGGCGGCGGCGTGTCCTCCTCCAGCCGTCACTGCGACAGCCCTAGGTCAGCCCCTAGGACCTTTCGTAAAGAGGTTGGGGCGGGCCCCGCCCTCTGTCTCCCCCAGCCCGACATCTCCTCTGCCCCTCTCCCCCCTTCCAGGCCAACAATCGGGGGCAAGTACTGCCTGGGCGAGAGACGGCGGCACCGCTCCTGCAACACCGACGTGAGTTTCCCCAGGCCGGGTACCCGCGGCCCCTCGCACACTCGGAAAACAGGCATAAGTCAGCTTCCGACGAGCCTCCGCGGGCCGCCTGCCGTCTCTTCGGGACCCTGCAGGCCAGGCCAGCCCTGCCCTGCCCTGCCCTGCCTACCCCTGCCCCCGGGCCCCGGTGCCCACCAGACCCAGCTCTCCCCCCTCCACAAGCGTCTGGCTCCTTCCATTCGTCAGCAGATGAGTCTCCCACCTTGAAGTTGCTTGACCCCCACAACCTCCTCCAGCTATGGCGAGCCTCGCCCCTCCCTTTGAAGCCCAAACTCCCCGAGCTGCCCCGCCCCTCGCGCTGAGCTCCCTGTCACCACGCCCAGTGGCCACATTTGGTCCTCAGCTTGCACGCCCTTCTAACCAGATGCCTCGGCCCGTCCCAACCTCCTGCCTTGCCTGCAGCACCCGTGCCCTGTGCTCTCAGCCCCCCCTCCCCCCGGCTACACCTGGGTCGTCCTCTGCTGCGGCCCCTTTGTGAAACGCTGGGGTTCCCCATGGCTGGTTAGGGCTCCGGGCTTTACACACCCAGTAAGCACAGGGCTTACTGCTGGGGGGAGGGGGGTGCTCAGAGCTCAGGGAAAGCTTTGGAGTGACAGGGGTGGCCTTCCCAGCCCCACCTGGAGGGACTCCCGTCTCCAGAGTCCACAAGGACACCCCGCCCCCTTATTCTTGCTCCTTCCTAGGCCTGCCCTCCCAAGAAAGGTCTCATGGTCCGAAACCAGAAGGCCAGCCATCCCCCCCAGCTGGCCCCAAGCTCTAATGAGTCACCTGCTCCATCTCAGATGTACCTGTCCCTCCAGCTCCACTGCCTAGACCTAGCTCAGGCCACTGACCAGTCTCACCTGGCCCTCCACAGCCTCACCCCTCCAACCCATCCCTGCCCTGAGCGTCTGTCTGTCCTCTGGCCTTGAGCCTGTGCCCTAACTCCATTCCCCAACACCTGGCCTCCCTCCCTCTCCCCTCTCTGGCCCCCAGGACTGCCCCCCAGGCTCTCAGGACTTCAGGGAAATGCAGTGCTCTGAATTTGACAGCGTCCCCTTCCGTGGCAAATTCTACACGTGGAAGACCTACCGAGGAGGTGAGTGAGGAACTCAGGAGGCCGGGGGGTGGGGGTGGGGGCAGTGGAGGGCCGCAGCAGGTGGATACAGCATCCTGGGGGCTGCCCTGGCACCCCCTTCACCCAAGGGGCCCAAGAGCCCGGGATGTGGCTCAACAGGTCCGCCACTGGATGCTGGGAACCCCAGCTCTCTCTGCCCAACCTGCCCATCCTTGTTGGGTCTGGGGTCTGTCGTATGCCTCACCTCCCCCAGGGAGCAAGCAGGGAGTGCCGGGTGGCCTGGCCCCCGGGTCTGACGGGGCCGTGCCCCCCCCCAGGGGGCGTGAAGGCCTGCTCGCTCACATGCCTGGCCGAAGGCTTCAACTTCTACACCGAGAGGGCGGCAGCCGTGGTGGACGGGACGCCCTGCCGCCCGGACACGGTGGACATTTGTGTCAGCGGCGAGTGCAAGGTGGAGGGGACTCCCAGAGAGAGGGCAAGGGAATGGAGGGGCGGAGGCAGGGAGGCGGGGCTCACTGACACCCCCACCTCCCCAGCACGTGGGCTGTGACCGGGTCCTGGGCTCCGACCTGAGGGAGGACAAGTGCCGGGTGTGCGGCGGTGACGGCAGTGCCTGCGAAACCATCGAGGGGGTCTTCAGCCCGGCTTCACCTGCAACCGGTGAGAGACCTCCGTTCCCTCTCCCTCCCACACTTCGCGATGGAGGGGGGAAGGGGGCCAGCACTGGCTCCACCGCAGTCACGCGGGGCCCAGTGGGGACCCCAAAATGTCCCCGGGGGCAGAGCAATGGCCCAGACCAGGATCAGGGACTAGCTTGGGCTCTGGTGCCTAAACCTTGGCAATTAGCGTGCAGAGAGGTCAGTGACCGAAACCCTTCCCCTCCCCCACCCTGGCGGCCTGGGGCAGGGGCTGGGGCAGGGGCCTGGGGGACGCTGTGCTAAAGGAGAAGGCTAACTAGGGGAAGGATATCTGCAGGCTATGGTGAACTTGACTGTGCCTCCCAACCTTGGGCTGAAGAAGAGAGAGACCCCAGGGAGGAGGGGGGAAGGGGAGGGAGGGCGTCTGGAAGCAAACACACTGTGAGGCCCCAGTGTAGGGTGCAGGGGACAGGGAGGGGCCCAGGTTGTAAGTGGTAGAGCCCACTGCAAACCTAACTCCAGCTGCTAAAGTCACCGTGTCATCATGTGGGTCGGGGCGTCTACAGTGCCCTCTTCTTTCTGCCCAAACCCAGCCCTGCTGCATACTTGGGGGAGGTAGGGGGTGGATCAGACCATTTTGGTGGTCAGAGAGGCGGGAAAGTTTGGGTTGGAACCCCAGCCCAGCCACTTCCTAGCAGCCAAACCTGGGTGAGTTGCCTGCCTTCTCTGAGACTCAGTCTTGTCATCTGTAAACTGGGTGTGATGATACATCTACCTCACAGGACCGGGGCTGGGGGTGCCCTGGAAGGTCCCTGTGAGTACTTAGCACAGGAATAGTTAGCCGTTATCATCAAGGGCCAGGAATGGGGGAGTTAGGCAGGTGTGGGGGAAGGGCCAAGTAGGCAACATCTCAGCTCCACTGTCCAGGGTACGAGGAAGTCGTCTGGATCCCCAAAGGCTCCGTCCACATCTTCATCCAGGACCTGAACCTCTCCCTCAGTCACCTGGGTGAGCCGGAGGTGCAGGGATGCAGCCTGGGGGTCAGCAGGGGGTCAGTGTGGCTGGGGTTCTGACCCCTGTGCTGTCCCCCTAGCCCTGAAGGGGGACCAGGAGTCCCTGCTGCTGGAGGGGCTGCCCGGGACCCCCCAGCCGCACCGCCTGCCCCTGGCCGGGACCACCTTTCAGCTGCGACAGGGGCCGGATCAGACACAGAGCCTGGAAGCCCTGGGACCTATAAACGCGTCTCTCATCGTCATGGTAACAATGGGGTGGGGCGGGAGCAAGGTGCCGGAAGACGCTCGCCTCCCTGGGGACTAGAGCCCGTCTTCCACTGACGGCCCCTCCCCCGCCGCAGGTGCTGGCCCGGACGGAGCTGGCTGCCCTGCGCTACCGCTTCAACGCGCCCATCGCCCGAGACGCGCTGCCCCCCTACTCCTGGCACTACGCCCCCTGGACCAAGTGCTCCGCCCAGTGTGCCGGCGGTGAGGTCGGGGTGGGCTCGGGGGCGGGCCCTGGGCGCGGGGGCTGGCCCCTTCAGGCGGCGGCAGGGCTGAGCGGGTCTCTCGCCCGCCCCCAGGCAGCCAGGTGCAGGCCGTGGAGTGCCGCAGCCAGCTGGACAGCTCGGCCGTGGCCCCCCACCACTGCAGCGCACACAGCAAGCTGCCCAAGCGGCAGCGCGCCTGCAACACGGAGCCCTGCCCACCCGAGTGAGTGCCCGCCAGGGTGCCGGGCAGGGTGGCAAGGGCGGGAGGGGCGGGGCTCCTCAGATCAGAGGAGCGCGTGCTCCCAGGCCTGGGGGGCGGTGCTCCCGAGGGTGGGGTCGGAGCCGTGATGCTCCTTGGGCAGGTCCAGGTAATTCTCTCCCGCGGGGTGATGCACGTCGCCAGGCACAGGGTGGGTGCAGGGCGAGGATTTTACCGGCGCGGGATAATATTCCAAGCAGCGGGCACCCCCGCGCGGGTTTCCAGAAAGATGCGGGTTGCTGGGGGGGGGGGGGGGGGCTGCGACGCACGCTCTCTCAGGCCCGCCCCCTCCCCGCAGCTGGGTGGTAGGGAACTGGTCGCGCTGCAGCCGCAGCTGTGATGCGGGCGTGCGCAGCCGCTCCGTCGTGTGCCAGCGCCGAGTGTCAGCCGCCGAGGAGAAGGCGCTGGACGACAGCGCGTGCCCGCAGCCGCGCCCACCCGTCCTGGAAGCCTGCCAGGGCCCCGCCTGCCCGCCCGAGTGGGCCGCCCTGGACTGGTCAGAGGTCAGCCGCCCCTGCCCGCCCGCGCCCACCCCGCTAGCCGTGCGGCGGGAGGTGGGGACTGGGGTGCCCGCCGAGGCGCCTCTGCGCAGTCACGAGTGCGGGGCCTAGACCGCCCCCTCCAGACCGGGCCGAGGTTAGCTGAACCCCCCTGGCCTCCCTCCGGACCACCATCCCCCCAACCCCTGGGCGGGCGGCGACTGCAGCGCCCGGGAGCACGAAACCCCCTCTCCGACTGCAGTGTACCCCCAGCTGCGGGCCGGGCCTCCGCCACCGCGTCGTCCTATGCAAGAGCTCAGACCACCGCGCCACGCTGCCCCCCGCGCACTGCCCGCCCGCGGCCAAGCCGCCGGCCACCATGCGTTGCAACTTGCGCCGCTGCCCCCCCGCTCGCTGGGTGGCAGGCGAGTGGGGCGAGGTAGGCCGGCGCCCTCGGGGGGCGGGGGGCGGGGGCAGGGGACGCCCCGGGCTGGCGCGGCCGAGGCTCAGCGGCGACTCCCCGCAGTGCTCCGCACAGTGCGGCCTCGGGCAGCAGCAGCGGGCGGTGCGCTGCTCCAGCCACACCGGCCAGCCGTCCCGCGAGTGCGCAGAGGCCCTGCGGCCCCCCGCCACGCAGCAGTGCGAAGCCAAGTGCGACAGCGCGCCCCCCGGGGACGGCCCCGAAGGTATGTGGGGCGGGAGGCCCAGGGGCACGAGAGGGCCCGCGCAGAGGAAGCCACAGGAGAGCGCAGGCGTCCTGACCTTTGGCCTGGAGCTTCTCCAGCCACCGAAATGCCCTTTTCTGGCCCCTCCAGGGCATCCTTCGGCACCTCTCCCTGCACTACGTGCCTCGCTCTTTAGACACCTGCTCCTTCTGGGCACCCACACTCGAGTCATTCCTCCAGCCACCTCCGTAGCCTTCACCTTGTTGATCGCCACTTGTCCCATTAGATGCTTAATTTTTTTTTCTTTGAGCCAGAATCTCTCAACCTCGGGCACTACTGATGTTTGGGGCCAGATAATTCCAGGGGGGACACCCCATGCATTGTGGATATTCAGCAACATTCCTGACTTGTATCTGCTGGATACCAATAGCGCTTCTGCAGCCCACACCATGGTGACAACCAGAAATGTCTCCAGATATGGCCAAATGTCCTCTGGGGCGGGGGCGGGGGGGAGCAAAATAGCATTCCCTTGAGAAACACTGCTTTAAATATGTCCCTTTTTTCCCTGCCTAAGTATTTTCCATACAGAGCAATAGATCACTTCCTCCAGGCACCAGAACCAAACTGGATTGCGCTTCCTTCTCTGTGCCTTGGTTTTCTAATCTGTCAAGGGTGGTCGATACTAGATTCACCTGGGAGCGGGGAGGTGCTGCATGAGGGAGATGGAATAAAACAAGCCACGTGCAGTCCGTTGTTAAGCACCAGGACCTACTATGCATCACTGACCAAGTGGGAGCTCACGTCATTGTCACGGCGGATTACCACGAACACAAAATACACAAATACCCTGGAAAGAAGGGACTCCTCTGGAGTTCAGAGTCCTCAGTCTGTTACAAAGGGAAACGTGGAAAGATGGCAGCCCCCGTTGGATCAAGAGGATAACTGAAAGGGAATACGCCCAGACCCGGCACACTCTCTTTCAAAATCCTCCAACAGCCTAATGACATATTTACAAACCCCGCTTTGAGTTTCATAGTTATAAACTCCCTTTGAGAGGGGACAAAACCGAGGCACAGAGAAGCCAGGAAGCTCTGTGCGGGCTGCAGACGCGCCCCTGCAGAAGGGGCGCTGAGATCTGATCCCTCCCTTCCCCGCTCCCACCCTGACCCCGTTCTCCTGCCCCCTCCAGAGTGCAAGGATGTGAACAAGGTCGCCTACTGCCCCCTGGTGCTCAAATTTCAGTTCTGCAGCAGAGCCTACTTCCGCCAGATGTGCTGCAAAACCTGCCAGGGCCGCTAGGGGGCGCGCGGGCCCCGGAGCCACAGCTGGGCGCCGGCTGGAGGGGACCTTGCCTGCAGCTGGCCAGCCTGAAGGAGCCCGAGGGGGCGGGAGCTGGGTGAGACGAAACCGGAAGTTATTTATTGGGAACCCCTGCAGGGTCCCTGGCTGGTGGTTGGAGAGGGGTTGGCCACCCCCAGGGCCCCTCCTCATCCCTTCTCCCAGTTCATAGTTGAGACCCCCTCCAGGGTGAGCTTGAGGAAGGAACAACTGTTCGCCCTAGCGCCCTTTTCACCCACCCCTAGGGAGCCCCCAATACTGCCCCCCCTTTGACCGGAATATGTACTGTGAAGAGTGGGGGCTGCGGAGGGGGTCTGCCGGTGTCATGCCCCCAGCACTGCCCAATCCCTCCAGTCTGAGCTGGGGGGAGAGAGGGGGGTCTATGTCTGCTATAGGGGAGGGGGATTAGCAGCGCCTCTCCGACACCCTCCCCCTGACCAGACCAGCTACAGGGGTGAGGCAGAGCTGGCAAGATCCACCCCAACCTCTGCCCTGCCTGCCCCAGGGGGACCCCGACGTCCAGGCGCCCCCATCATGGTGCTACAGGCCCTGCCCTGGGGCCCACACACCCCTCGCCAGGAAGCCCTCCATCAATAAAGTTCTGTCTTGTGTAGATCTCCGAGCGTCAGTGTGTCTGTTCGCGTTCCGTCCCCGCCACCGGATGGAAGCGGCCGCGGCCCCTCGCAGGTGGTCCCCATCCGTCCAAAGGGGCAATTTACCAGCACAGACCAGAGCCCAGTGATTTGAAAGCTTCTCGAGGAGGCGCTCAGAGCTCCCCGGCCTGGCACCTGCCATCCCGGCCGCCACACCCCCAGGCCCTGGGCTCGCTCCCGCCCTCCGCGAAGTTCCTCCGTCTTCCCATCCCAGGGCTTCTGCTAGACCCGCTTCCTCTCCCAGGAGCTCCCTCCCCTTCCCTCTTCGGCCGGTTAGCTCCGACTCACCCTTCGGCCTCGGCCCAAGCGTCACCTCCTTGCAGAAGCCCCGTCTGAAGCCTCCAGCAAGGAGAAGGTCCACCTGCCTGCTCGTTCGCAGGTGTCCCGAGGCACCGGTGAGGTGAGCGAGCGCCCAGCCGGCGCGGGAGATTCCGGGAGAAACGCGCTCCTCCCAGACGAGGCCGCTAGGGGGCGCTGCGTCTTGCCGACCGCTGGGCGGGATGCCGTGTGCGGCCAGGAGCGCAGGCTCCCAGGGTCGCCTCGACCTCCTCCTCCCGGCTGTGGGGACCGGGAGGTGACAGCCGCTCCGAACTGCCACTTCCTAAAGGTCAAGAGGGGACCCAGACGAGGCCGGCTGGTCTCCCTCGGTGCCAACACCTGATGGATCCTGCGTGTGCCAGGACCGGGGGCGAGAGCGCGCGCCCCCATTTTATAAGAAAGTGGGGAGCCCCCGAAGCAGCAGAGCCGGGGGTTGTTAAGTCCAGAGGCTGAGACCCTCACAGCTGCCCGTGGCTCCTGGTAATCGGCGCCCGTCGTGACACGGACACACATGCCCCCCCCACCCCCCCTTTCTGGAGGAGAGAGCGGCAGGCGCAGCCTGGGAGCCGGAGTTTGCTCGCGGATGCCGAACCGGCGCACGTCTGAGGTGGTTTTGCAGAGGCCGAGCCTCCCGAAAGGTCCCTGAGCCCCCCTTGGAGGAGAGGCAGTCTTGCGGCCAGCTCGCTGTCCTCGGAGCTGGAGAAAGGGCCTTCCGGGGCCCCGCCAGCTGCTGCCACCCTCCACCTCTCCCTCCAGGCCGAGCCCCAAACAGCCCTCCCTCGGCCGCTGGAGCTTTCTCCCCGCCCCAGGGCCCGGCGTCCCTCCTCCCGCGGAGCAGAGGCCCCTCCCGCCAAAGGAAGTGGGAGGGGGGCTGTTGTAAGAGGAACTAGGGCTAGGAGTCGGTGCGGGAGCGGGAGCAGGGCCATGCCCGAGCCGCCCCCCAGAACGCCCTGAGCCTGGACCCCTGCCACCACCCATTCGGGCGCTCCCCAGGGGCCTGACGCACCTTCGCCATGGTAAGTCCTTCGAGGCTGGGCCGTGAGATGCAGGGGTGGGGGCACCCCCCCAGGTGGAGGTGACCCAGGGCCACCACCATCAGAAGGTGGGGCCAGAGGGAGGGGCGCAGAGGACCCTCTGCGGGTCCCTCACTGCAGCTCAGGTGCCCCAGGCATCCTTCACCAGGGACCAAGCTCACATCGGGTGATGCCCAGATGCCAAACCGGTGATAGGGGACCAAGGATGGAGCAGTAACAAAGGACAAAGGATGGCTCCGAGGGGCCACACAGTATCTGCAGGGGACAAGGACATACCCCTTCGTCAGGGCGTAGGGAACCAGTTACCGGCCCAGCCTGGACCCTCGTCTTCCTGTGTGGCCTTGGGCAAGCCACTTCCCCTCTCTGGGCCTCAGTTCCCACATATGTCATATCTGGAAGTTGCTTGTGATAGAGAAGGTGTTTCGGGAAACTCTCAGAACTTCAGAGGGTCTATGGGTCCGGCCACTCTGAGCTGCGAGCAGAAGCTGTGTCCAGTGGGCTTGTGGGGAGGGGAGTGGATGGTGTCCTGACAGTGCAGAGACAGGAGACGGTGGGCCCGGGCTTGTCCACACCACTCTTGGAACCCTTCCAAGCAAGTGTGGCGGGAGATACCCTCCAGCCAGAGGCGTCACCTCTCGGTGAGGCTGAAGTCCGAGGACGGACGACTGCAGTGACGGGGCTCAGGAGACTGTCCCTATCGTGGGTCTCAACCCCGCAGCCTCATAACACACATATTAAGAGAGAGCCCAGGCCGGCTCTAAAATGTGCCCCCAGCGCTCCATGCATCTGCAAACCACTTCAGCTTTCATTTCTCATCATTCTGTCAATGAGGGCATGTGGCTGGGACGGTCACAGAGCCAGTTGCAGCAGGCATCTGACCGCGGTGGAGGCAGGGTAGTGGACCGGGTGGCGGGGACTGTGTTCGTCTGGGAGACAAGCCCTCCTCGTTTCAGAAAGCCGACGGGCATCACGGGCCCAAGCATCCCTCTGGGTGACTCACAAACCAAAGGCGCAGCCAGAGACCCGGGCTTGGGATGGGAATTCCTCGAAGAAGGAGCCAAGCCAGGAAGATTTGGGTGCTCAGATGGGGAAACTTTGATCAAAGGACAGAAAATGAGTTGCTACTCGAGAGAAAAGCCGCCCCTCCCAAGGAAGCTGCACAAAACGCTTAGTCAGTGGTTTGCTCGCCTGAGGGGTTTCAGGAAGGAAGAAACTCAACCTGAGGGGACCACAGTGGGGGGGAAGAGCAGATCCCCTCCTCTCCTCAACCCCAATACTTCTTTTTTTTAATGTTTTATTTATTTCTGAGACAGAGAGAGACAGCATGAGGAGGGGAGGGTCAGAGAGAGAGGGAGATACAGACTCTGAACTAGGCTCCAGGCTCTGAGCTGTCAGCACAGAGCCCGACGCGCGGCTCAAACCCACGAACCAGGAGATCATGACCTGAGCCAAAGTCGGATGCTCACCCGACTGAGCCCCCAGGCGCCCCTCCAGCCCAATACTTCTAATCACGGGTGCTGATTGCCTCCTGGAGGGGTGATGAGTGCCAGAAAGAGCGCTGAAAGATTCAAGGAAGCAGTGTTTGTAAAGAGCTTTACAAGAGCATGCGCGGTGCACTGGATACGGTGGCTGTCACCGCGGGCAATGCCCACTCATCGCTGGAGGGGGGGTGACGGTGGCCCATGGAGGTGACTCGCAGGTGTTGAGCGGTCGCTGTGGAAGGGTGGTGGGTGGGTGGTGCCGCTGGTGGTGATGGCAGTGAGTCAGTGACAACCGTGATTCCCATGGGTGCCTGTTGGCGGTGGCGATGATGGCCACCGGTGCCTGCTGGGGCTGAATGTCTGTGGTCGGTGGCCGGTCGTGTTCAGGGTCGATCTGTGGAATGACGGTGGCCGGTGGCCGCTGTTGTCCAGAGCTGGGTGGTGATGGCAGCATTCTTTTGCCGTGAGTGGTCCCTGGTTGGTTTTTGGTGACTGTCCTGCTGGTGCTGGCTTGGGAATGGCTGCAGACGGCTGCGCTGTGAGTGTGGCGGCGGTGACGGCAGGGAAGTTGGTGGTGGGATTCGTCCTTGCTGGTGTCTGATGTTGGCGCCTGGTGCCATGATTGAGGTCATCAGCAGTTTGGATTGACTGTGACGGCGAAGTGGGTGAAGGCAGTGGCCGGTCATCCTTGGGGATGGTGCTTTGGTGACAGTTGTGGTGACTGTTTTTAAAGTGCAGACATAGAGCAGGGAGGCCAGTGCTGTGACTGCTCGGTCCACAGGCAGCAGCCGTGGGGATGGACAGAAATGGCCAGGGACCCAAGAGGGAGTTAGGACAGAGAACTCTAGAAGGACAAGGGTCCCCAACCTGTCCCCAGAGGAGAACAGCCTCCAGTTGGACACTGAGAGCCTTCCCCCCAAGGGAGAGGGGACCTCAAGAGCCTTTGAAGGCGAGAATGCTGTTTGCACAATGCAGGGACGCAGGGTGTGGCCCCAGAACCTCCCGAGTTTGGGGGAGGACAGGGGCACGCCGGGGGGCCGTGGCTGGGGGGCTGCCGCCGCCATGGCAACGTCTCACCTCCTCCCTGCTGGCGACCACAGCTCACAGGACCCCAACAAGGAAGGAAGTGGCTGTTTCGTTGTTCTCTCCTGTCTGGGGCTGTTCTCATCACCGCCCAGGAGCAGAGAGGACGGAGCAGTTAGGGCAGGTTGCAAAAGCTCCCTCTTCCAGCCCCTCCTCCTGGCCTTGCGCCCTGAGCCCGGGGGACCCGGCAGCTCGAGGCCGCCGGCGGCAATGCTGAGGAAGGCGGGTGCGTCTGCTTCACACACTCGGCCTCGCTGAATCCACGCAGCTGGCTGCCCCGTGAGGTCTGCAGCCCTCGGCCTTCCCATTTTCCAGATGAGGAAATGGAGGCAGGGAGATTAGGTGAACGGCTGTACCACCCAGAAGTGGCAGAGGATTTCAACCCAGTGACTCCTAAGGTCACGCTTTTAACAGTCCCCTTGACCTGCAATCTCTTGCTCCCCCCACCAGAGGAGGGGCTTCGAGGGTTCGGGGGTGCTGCCCGCCCCCACGTGCCCCAGGCTGCCCATCCCTCCAGCCTCATATGGACCTAGAATGTCCATTCCAAAGAAACTGAAAGCCCCACTCCCCAAGCCCTCCACCTCAGACTGGGGGAGTTTCTCTGAAGAACATCTCCCCTCCTACCCCAGCCCTGACTCTCTTTCACAAGAGCCCGTCGGGTTGAGTCATACTTAGCTTGTGGTCAACTGTGACCACAACCTCTTCACTGCACCCCCACCCGTGAAGAAGGGACTTAGCAACACACTTGGTCTATGGAATCTTGGGAGCCACAGAAGATGGGTATCCATGACACAGGGCAAGCGACAGTCTCATCCCGATGGTACTTCAGTCATTCATTCACTCACTCGACAAGTATCTCTCGACTGGCTCCTGTATCGTGGGTCCAACACTGACCACTTCCTCTAAATGCTCTTGGGGTCGCCGACTGCCATTTTCTGAGGCATCCAGTGAATCTCTTCTCTGCACGGGCTCATTTACTACCCTCAGAGAACCAGTGGAGGAGGTTTATCATGGAACCCATTTTACAGAGGGGAAAACTGAGGCTTGGAGCCGAGACATGAGCTCCCCGGGCCTCACAACCGAACTGGTCCCAGGCTGAAATTCTTGACTGTCCTTCCACACACTGTACTCCCCTGAGCAAAATCTCTCCCCCTTGGTCACAAACAAGCCACAGTCTTGTCATCGCAGGGAGGCTAAGAGTGGATCTGGGAGTTCCAGGGGCCCAAGGCAGCACCCAGGGGGAGAAAACGTCAGGGGCTGCAAGGGGCAGGGGACCACTCAGTTGAATGGGGGAAGATGGAAGGGACAGGAAGAGGAACCAAGTCCCTGAGGCCAAGAGAACCAGCCAGACACAGCCAGCATCAGGGCCTCTGACCTCAGAGAAAGGAAATGGTCTCGAATCTCGCTCGGCCCAGCTTGAGGGGCCTGGGAGCCTAGGGACCAGGTTAGCCCACAGGGGAAACCCTGGTCAGGGCCAACCTCGTCTCCACCCCATCTTCATCTGATTGGAAAACACCAACCCCAGCCGGCTCTGACCCAGTCTAAGGGTAGCGAACAGCCCCTCCAGTCCTCTTCAAAGTCCTCCCTTCCTGCTGTGTGACCTTGGGGAGGACAACTATCCTTTCTGTGCTGTAGCCTTCTCTTCCACAAAGCGGGCCCGGTCGCAGCACTGACCTCAGCATGTGCAAGAGGCTTCAGCATCATTCACGGAAAAAGCCGAGACCACAGCGGGGCTGTTCGCTATTGTTACAGTTGTTGTTAGTTTCCATGGTTACCACCCAAAACGCCACTCCTCAGAGGTCTTCAGAAAGAGGATCCACTTCCTGTACCCCCCATGCGTCCCCACCCACCCACTTCCCCACCCACTGTTGGCTCAGAGGAAGAGCAGACCTCCCCCTACCTCCGCCTACAGCCACCGAAAGACACCAGCCCAGGGATAAGACCCCTTGGCTCCCAGAGGTCATCATCTCTTCTCGCCAATGCACTCTGGGCTCCCCCTCTTCAAAACAGGAAACCTGTGCGCTGACCCCACGGCTCCCCACAGCCTCCTTCCCTCTTCCTCTTCTCAGCCAGACTGTCTGAGAGCCACCCTCACTCCCCGTCTACACCTCCTGACCTCCCGATCTGGCTTCTGAATGAGGTCACCAGTGCTCTCCTCAGGGCCCCTCTGAGTCTCCAGTGAGCTGTTTCTGCCACCTGGCGCCCTTCACCTCCACCTCCCCTCACACCCCGCTCAGCCTCTGTCCCAGGCACCCTCTCCGACCCCTGCACAACGCAGCTCCCACAACTTGGCCTCCCCACCGCCCTTCCCACTGCACCCCGGGGTTCTGAGTGCATCCCACCCAGCACCCCCTTCTTATAACAAACATCATGGCAGGCCCCCCTGAAGCCCTGAAATGAAATTCACAGAGAGGAGCGCCTAGGGGACTCAGCCAGTTAGGCGACCAACTCCTGATTTCAGCTCAGGGAATGATCTCACAGTTCATGGGTTCGAGCCCTGCGATGGGCTCTGCACTGACAGCCCTAAGCCTGCTTGGAATCCTCTCTCTCCCTCTCTGCCCCTCCCCTGCTTGTGCTTGCACTCTGTCAAAATAAATAAACTTAAAAAAAAAAAAAGGAAAGGAAAGAAATTCATAGGCAGTGAAACACACTGACTCCCATCCTTCCAAAAATAATGAACGTGAGGGGCGCCTGGCTGGCTCAGTCAGTGAAGCATGTGACTCTTGATCTCAGTGTCATGAGTTCAAGCCCCACGTTGGATGTGGAGCCTACTTAATCAAAAATAAACAAACATAATAATTCATGTGATCTCCTGTAATGTGAAGTCACTTGCACTCTCTCTATGTACATTGAGAGGAAAGTGCTCAGGCCAGTGGTCCACAGCACCCACTGAGCCCCAGGTGCTCACGTCGGGACACAGGTACATCTCAGTGAGCCGACGGCCCCACTCACAGGCTGATGCCTCGTGACGTATCAGCCACACGAACCTGCCCACCCACCGGCACCGTGAGCTTCCAAAATGCCAAACAGGGAGTGCCTGGGGGGCTCAGTTGGTTAAGCATCTGACTTCGGCTCAGGTCATGATCTCATGGTTTGTGACTTTGAGCCCCACGTCGGGCTCTGTGCTGACAGCTCAGAACCTGGAGCCTGCTTCGGATTCTGTGTCTCCCTCTCTCTCTGCCCCTCCCCTGCTCACGCTCTGTCTTTCTCTCTCTCTCTTTCTCAAAAAGAAATAAACATTTTTTTTTTTTCTGAGAGATAGAGAAAAACAGCGTGAGCAGGGGAGGATCAGAGAGAGAGGGAGACCCAGAATCTGGAGCAGGCTCCAGGCTCTGAGCTGTCAGCACAGAGCCCAACGCGGGTCTCGAACCCACAAACCATGTGATCATGACCTGAGCCGAAGTCGGACGCTTAACCGACTGAGCCACCCAGGCGCCCTAGAAATAAACATTAAAAAATTTTTTTTAATGCTGAGAAATTCTTAGTGAAATCTGAATGAAATTAAAATCTCCCTTGATACAGGGTAGTTGCATCTGGAAGATTCACTGCGTGCCAGCCAAGGCAAAAAAACTACATAGATTTTCTGTCTATGCATAAGATAGAATTTGGCTCTAGATCCCAATGGTTATTAACAGTTTTATCGTGTAAATGAGCACCTGGTAGGGAGGGGTGGGGGCTCTGATCCTGGCGATTGTTCGATTGTTCGTGTGCAGATTTGGCACCTGCGGCCGGCTCAAACTGCCAGCCAGTCTCCAACGCCAGGACAACCCAAAATGCTCCCGCAGTTCTTTTTTATTTCCCCAAGGTTTATTTATTTTTGAGAGACACAGAGAGCATGCGCAAGCACAGCAGGGGCAGAGAGAGGAGGAGACAGAGGGTGTGAAGCAGGCTCTGCACTGTCAGCACAGAGCTCGATGCGAAACTCGATCTCATAAGCCGTGAGATCATGACCTGAGCCAAAGTCAGCCGTTTAACCGACTGAGGCACCCAGGTGCCCCCTTTGCTCCCACAATTCTTAAAGTGTCCCCAAAAGCCGCAGGGCCCTGCTGAGAACACTCCATGCCGCTGCTGATCAAGTCTGAGTCCCTTGGCTTGGCATTCAAGGCTCTGGTTGATCTCCCCTCCATTCATCTGTGCGCTGCCTCACTTTTCCACTCATTCATTCGAAAAAGCCCTGATGCCGGGTTCAGCCAGGCATTTGCCGGAGCCCCTACATTTGGAGGCTTCCACACCAGAAGATGTGGCCGATGTGCAGGATGTACAGAGAGGGGACAGGGCTGCGGTGAGGGACCCCCGGGGGCTGTGGGGATCCTCAGCGTGGCCTGGGGCTGGGGAGGTCTTCTCACAGGAAATGTCACCTGAGCCAAGTGCGAAGGCATGGACCCGTGCCCACCAGGCAGGAAGGGCGTTCTGAGCAGAGACCCAAGCGCCAGCAAAGCTTGGAGGCGCCAAGGTCCCGGGGGTGTGTGGGAGGGCACGAGGTCACCAGCCCGCAGTAAGTGGCCAGGATCCTTTGAGGAAGGGACAGATGGGACAGTGACCAGAAGCCACAGACAGGTTTTCGGCCGCAGAGCAGAGCGAGGAGACCAGATGTGCCGCATGAAACGCTCACTCTGACTACTTCACTCAGGCTCGAGGCAGCGGGAGGCGCCCGGCCGAGCCCGAAGCCCCCACCCGCTCTCCCTGCTCTGCCCTGGGCTCCTGGCGCCACTGTTCTCCCAGCCCCTGAGCAAAGTCTGTCTCGACTTTCAAGTCCCAGCCAAACGCCCCGTGGGTCCCAGGAAACATGGGTCCCCGAAGTCAAGCATCACACCCTTGTGAAGCCTCCGTCCCTAGAGCCCAGCAAGCTGCCGTGAAGACGGCTGGCTCCGCCCCTGGCCTCCCAGCTTCAGACCCGTCGTGGGTGCTGGGTGAATGTCACCCTCTGCCCCGGGGCCCGTCCTCACGACTGCGTGGGTTGGAGAGGAGCGGGTTTTGCACGCCAGAGCAGTTCCTCCGTCACATTAGCCCTGCCGCTACCATTTTACAGATGAGACCACTGAGGCTCGGAGCAGGGCTGGCTCATCCAGCCAGGATTAGAACCCAGATCTAGCCCACACCAAAAACTGGGTTCCTTTACCATCTGTGGGCATCTGTCAGGGAACCCCGCTCCGGCAGTCAGCATGTCCGGGATCTGACCTTGTACTTCCCCTGCTCAGGAACCCCCCCTCAGCGTCCCAAGGAGAGATGGGCCCCTCATCCGCCTGTGCCCTACACTGGCCACATGACAGTGACCACTCTTACACTCTTGCTTGATCCCTTCCTGCATCTCCTCCACCCAACACACTGTCTCTCTTCCCTGGGATCTGCCTGGTAAACACGGGTCCCCTTTGAAGACTTGATTTTGATTCCCAGCATCCTTTGTTCTTGGGGTCCCCCCCCCCCACTGCTAAAGCTGGGTTTCTTTCTCTCCCCTTGTTCCTTGTTCATCCGTCAGGTCATCCCTGCCAGAGCTGAGAAAGGGCTCAGCCCCAGTCCCTGCCCTCCAAGAGCGCCTGGTCTGGGCAGGAGGGGCTTCCTGGAAGGGGGGACATCTTATCTAGGCATGAGCGCACCTGCCGGGGAAGCTCCCGGCCGCCCTCACTCACCTGTCTCACAGATGCCTCCGTGGCAGGGGTCCCCTCACTTCGAGTGCACCTGACACAGCCAGTATGTTTAAGTGTCCGACGCACTGGATGAGCTCAGTCAGGCTGAAACGAGAAAACATTCCAGGCAGGCTTCCTGGAGGAGGGGTCTTTTGGGGGAGCCTGTATCTGAGTCTTCTCCCGGTGCCTAAAGAAAGTCTCTCCTGATTTAAAAAAAAAAAAAAACAACTGAGGAAGGAAATGAGAAAGGAAAGCTGTGGAGGCGGAGGAGCAGGGTTGTGGCTGGGCGTGGAGGGCAGAGGTCACAGATGTGACAGGCTGGCGTGCATGACCACGAGGAGGAGGAGGAGAGTGGGAGGAAGGCGGCCACCAAGGCATGGAAGGGGTGGGCAGCGGGTCAAATGCCCTGGAGCAGTCAGGGACTCAGCCTGGGCCTGGGCAGGGAGAGGGGGCTGGAGAAACGAGGGGCAGGAAGTCTGAAGGAGTGAGGAAGGCGAGTCACCCGCTCCCCTGCCCAGCAAGCCTCCCTGACTCCCAACCTACCCCTGCAACAGCTGCCTGGCACCACGGTCTCCTCCATGACAGTGCGACACGAGGTGGAGGGATGGGGGAGCAGAGCCCCCCTCCCTTGGGGCAGGGAGCCTGCTCCCGAGCTGGCCCACCTCTCCTGGCGCCCGGGCACTAGGGAGGGAGGCAGGCAGGTGGCCTGAGGTGCAGACTCAGAAGCTGGTGAGGGAGGCGAGCCAGGTGGGGGATGGGGGGGACGGAGGCACCAGCACCACCCCCACTCCCCTGCCCCCGCCGCCTCCCCTCTGCAGGGGCCCACCCCCATCTGGACCCCCCACCCCCTGCCCCCGCCGCCTCCCCTCTGCAGGGGCCCACCCCCATCTGGACCCCCCACCCCCTGCCCCCGCCGCCTCCCCTCTGCAGGGGCTCACTCCCATCTGCCCCCACCCCCACCCAGGGCAGCAAGGAGCGCTTCCACTGGCAGAGCCATAACGTGAAGCAGAGTGGTGTGGATGATATGGTGCTGCTGCCCCAGATCTCCGAGGACGCCATCGTGGGCAACCTCCGCAAGCGCTTCATGGATGACTACATCTTTGTACCCTGAGCCCCAGGCGGGTGGGGACAGATGATGAAGACAGGGACAGGAGGCAGACCAACCGTAGATGGAGGAGGGATGGAGAGAGTGGCGGAGGGGACAGACAGATGCTGGAGCAAATGATCAGAGTGGAGGGTGGACTGTGAGGGCGCCGGGTGGGAGGAGGGGACATGCGCAGTGACAGCAGGGCTCTGGCCCCCACTAACCCCTCTGCCCTGGGTAGCCCAGCACCAGTGCATTCCATCTTTCCTTGCTGGACCCAGCCCTGTGTTTCCCGGAGTCCCAAAGCACGTCTGAGTAGCTCCATCTCCTCCTCTGAGCAATGGGGCTCTGGAAGCCGCAGGGGATTAGGACTGAGGGACAGGGACCCATGAGGAACAAGGCACTGCCCTTAACCATACCCCAGACCTATATCGGCTCCGTGCTCATCTCCGTAAACCCCTTCAAGCAGATGCCTTACTTCACTGACCGTGAGATCGACCTCTACCAGGGCGCGGTGAGGCTGGGGCCGTGGGGGCAAGGGGAGGGCAAAGCCCCAGGACTCCCAGCCCCCAGCGCCACGCTAAGACCTGATCTTCGCCCCCAGGCTCAGTACGAGAATCCCCCACACATCTATGCTCTTACGGACAACATGTACCGGAACATGCTCATTGACTGTGAGAACCAGTGTGTCATCATCAGGTACAGAGTGGGGGGGGGGGGCACCCGTACCCTCCTGCCCAGGCCCCGCACCCTTGCTGTCCCTCCCTGCCCCTGGCCTGCTTCACTTTGTCACCAGCTGACCCAGGATATATTTATTTATTCATTATGTTTTTGTCTGGCGGTGCGTTCCAAATGTCAGCTCTGCATTGTTCATTATTTTCCCCAGCATCTGGTATGGTGCCTGGCACACAGTAGGGGATGAATGAATGAATGAATGAATGAGCAGGCACAAGAAAGGTACTTACTCCCCCAAGGCCCCCTCCCCACTGGCTGCTGACCATCCTTTCCCTCCCTCCCCCCAGCGGAGAGAGCGGAGCAGGAAAGACAGTGGCAGCCAAATACATCATGGGCTACATCTCCAAGGTCTCCGGTGGGGGCCAGAAGGTCCAGGTGAGGGGAGAACGGAAGGATGGGCTGGGTCTCCCCATGTGCACAGTAATGAACCCCCAGGACCACCTACCTCATCCTGACCTCTTCCCGCCTCCACCCGCTTCTGCCTGCAGCACGTCAAGGATATCATCCTACAATCAAACCCACTGCTAGAGGCCTTCGGCAACGCCAAGACCGTGCGCAACAACAACTCCAGCCGCTTTGTGAGTCTGCAGCCCTGCTTTGGGGCAAGTGCTGCCTCCAGACACACACACACACACACACACACGGACACACACATACACACCTGTATTCCTAACAAGAGAGGAACTACCTGCTCCTGGAGGGGAGACTCACTTCCTGCTTATGGTCCACCCGAAAAACATTCCCCTCAACTGAAGTGTAGGGGCCTTGACTTGTCTGTGTAACATTCATATTTCCCTGGCTGCAAGCATGCTACCTACCTCTGTTCCTATTCACATTTCACGCACTCGTGTGCACGCGTGCGCATACACACACACACATACACACAAACACACACACACCTGTATTTCTAACACTAGAGGAACTACCTGCTCCTGAAGAGGAGATTCACTTCCTGCTTATGGTCTATCTGAAAAGGATGTCCCTGTCATCAGAACTCTAGGGGCCTTGACTTCCTTGACTTGTCTGTGTAACATTCTTCACTATTTCCCTGGCTACAATCATGCTACCTCTGTTCCTATTCACATTTCGGTTCCCAATTTACTCTCACATTCATTGCTTCTTTCAACAAATCGTTCTTGGGCTCCTTCTTTGTGTCAGGTGTTACGTTGAGCCTAACGGAAGACAGAACAGGTCAACAGATCTGGATTTATGGTCTGATTCTGTCTGTATTTAGATTTGTGAGTTGGACCAAAAGCAAGCAAGCAAACAAACAAAAACAGTGTAACTCCCTGAAGCTCCTGTTTTCTCATCCATAAAATGGGGATGATGTTAATATCCATCTCGCAGACTTCAATAATCCTAGTACAATAGCTGCATATGAACTTGATTTAATAAATTTTGTATGCTAATATGATTTTTTATTTCTCTAGATATTTTTAATTATATTTTTTCTAACATTCTTTTTTAAGATTTTTTTAAATTGTGGGAGGGCGGCTGGGTGGCTCAGTCGGTTAAGTGTCTGACTCTGGATTTTGGCTCAGGTCATGATCTCGTGGTTTGTGAGTTTGAGCTCCGGAGTGGACTCTGTGCTGACAACACAGACTTGCTTGGACGGTCTCTCTCTGTCCCTCCCCTTCATCTCTCTCTCTCAAAATAAATAGTTTTTTTTAAATCCTATGGCTGGGGTGCTCAGGTGGCTCAGTCAGTTGAGCATCTCACTTCAGCTCAGGTCATGATCTCACAGTCTGTGGGTTTGAGCCCCAAGTCAGGTTCTGTGCTGACATCTCAGAGCCTGGAGCCTGCTTTAGATTCTGTGTCTCCCTCTCTCCCTGCCCCTCCCCTGCTGTCTCTCTCAAAAGTAAATAAACTTTAAAACTTTTAATAAAAATAAATAAAAATATAAATCCTCTGGCTTAGGATATTTTTTAATATTAAAATTTTTTAAAGTAATTTCTCCATCCAACATGGGACTCGAATTCACAACCCCAAGATCAAGAGTTGTACGCTCTACCTAATGAGCCAGCCAAGTGCCCCTATTTTCTAACGTTTTTATCATGTAATTATATTTTAAGTATTTTCCCCAATGTTTTGTTATTAAAAATCTCAAACACACAGAGAAATTGGGAGAATTGTGTAGCAAAGCCCTGCTGCACACCTCCTAGGTTCTACTGTTAACATTTTGCCCAACTTGCTTTATCATATCTCCATCCATTCATTTTTGTAAAGTAAGCTCCCCACCCAATGTAGGGCTTGAACTCATGGACCTGAGATTAAGAGTCGCATGCTCCACCGACTGAGCCTGCCAGGCGCCCCTATTCATTTTTTTATGAGCTACAAAGTAAACTGCAGACACCCTAGTTTCCGCTTCCCCTAACCCAACAGATCAGGGTGCAGATCATTAATTAGAGTTCAATATAAATCTGCAGTGCTCTTCCATTTCATGCCTTTATTTATTTATTGCAGGGGAGGGGAGAGAAAGAACGAGCAGGGGAGGGACAGAGTCAGAATCCCAAGCAGGCTCCGCACCAACAGTGCGAAACAACGCGAAACTCAAACTCACAAACCACGAGATCATGACCGGAGCTGAAACCAAGAGTCTGACGCTGAACCGACTGAGCCACCCAGGCATCCCGATTTCTTTTCTTTTCTTTTCTTTCATTGCTTTCGAAGTAAAATTGGCATATAGCAAACACACTGAAGTGGATTGTGCCCTGAGTGTGGAAAAAATCAGTGCATCTGTACAATCAGAGCCCTATCGACACACAGAACGTCACCATCGCTCCAGAAAGTTCCCTTCCTTTTCGCTCAACCTCTGTTCCCACCTCACCCCGGGAGCAGCCACTTCTCTGGGTCTTTTTTTTTTTTTCTATGATAGATTAGTTTCAGCTGTTCTAGAACTTTATACGAATGGAAATCGCACAGTGTATGTTTTCGAACTACTGATACACACGAAAACATGGCTGAACCTCAAGAACATAATCATGTTTTATATTGCATATTATGTAACATTATGTTATATATGACGTAATATATGACCTATATTATAATATTACTTACTGTACTATAGAATAGAATGGGTACACGCCACGTATTACAGGTGTCTGGCTAGTGCCATGATGTAATGTGTATCATCAATGCATGGAAGTGTCAGAAAGGAGAAGTAAGGGGCTTCTCTGCCCTCCAGCCTCGGCCCAGAGTAGAACCCAGACACTGTCAGAGACCAAGAAAGGGGCCATGGAGCCCTTGCTCTGGACTCGGGGACAACATGCAACAGACACCCCGGATCACTGAAGCCAGCAACACCCCACAGGGACATGGAGGCCTCTGTGCTCTGGTAGCAGACTGGGAAACGGGTCGATAAAATGAGGCACTTCTACATGCCGGGCACAGGGCTGGATGCCTGGATGTAGACTTGAGTCATCGGAGAAGGAGCAGCGTAAACAAAGGCTGGAGGGAAGGAGCTGATGCAGGAGCTAAGTGGGAAGGGGAGAGAACAGAGTTGAGGCCACATGGCAACTCTTCCATTCCTCTCCCACCTGCACCGCCGGGACCCTGGGGGTCTAACGTGGCTGTCTCGGCTTCAGGGCAAGTACTTTGAGATCCAGTTCAGCCGTGGTGGGGAGCCAGATGGGGGCAAGATCTCCAACTTCCTGCTAGAGAAATCCCGTGTGGTCATGCAGAACGAAAATGAGAGGAACTTCCACATCTACTACCAGGTATAAGGAAAGGGGCCGTGAGACCAGGGCAGGGGGAGGGCCCAAGGGGAGACGGCGTCCAGGAGCCCATGACTGAGGACTGGGGGATAGCGAGGGCTGTGCCAGCCCAACATCAGACGCATGAGCACTGCTCCCCCTCCAGCTGCTGGAAGGAGCCTCCCAGGAGCAGCGGCAGAACCTGGGACTCATGACCCCCGACTACTATTACTACCTACAGTCGGACACCTACAAGGTGGATGGCACGGACGACCGGAGTGACTTCAGTGAGACTCTGGTGAGCAGTGAGCACCACGCTAGAAAACCGAGGCCCAGAGAGGGGCAGGGACTTGCCTAAGGTCACACAGCAAGCGGGTGAAACAGGCAGGACAGGGATCCAGGTGTCCTGACTCCGTGCTGTGGCCCCAGAAGTCCAACTCTGGAGGGCAGCGCGGAGGTGGGGATCCGTGGCCCAGGCCCTGTCCCTGTTGTGCCTGCAGAACGCCATGCAGGTCATCGGGATCCCGCCCAATGTCCAGCAGCTGGTCCTGCAGCTTGTGGCCGGGATCTTGCACTTGGGAAACATCAGCTTCTGTGAAGACGGGAATTATGCCCGGGTGGAGAGTGTGGACCGTGAGTGTGGCTGCCGGGGGATGGTGGGGCGGAGGGGTGACCTGCTTCCTCCTAGGTCGGCCCCAGGAGGGTCAGAACCCATGAGGACAATCTCTGTGTCACCGGACAAAATGGGGAGAGCCAGGGGCACCACAGGAGGCCCAAGAGCTGAACTGGCTGCCGCCTCCCCCCCCGGCAGTGCTGGCTTTCCCCGCCTACCTGCTGGGCATCGACAGTGGGCGGCTGCAGGAGAAGCTGACCAGCCGCAAGATGGACAGCCGCTGGGGCGGACGCAGCGAGTCCATCGACGTGACCCTCAACGTGGAGCAGGCGGCCTACACCCGCGATGCCCTGGCCAAGGGGCTCTACGCCCGGCTCTTCGACTTTCTCGTGGAGGTAAGAGGAACAGAGGCCAGGCAGGGGGAGAGGCGCTGCCCTAGGGAACCCGGGGCTTGGACTCACCAAATGGAGAAGGCAGGCTTGGCTGTCACCTCGCCAATTCCTGGCCATCGGAGGCATCAAGCAGGGGCATCGGATGGAAGATATGGGTGGGGGTTCCCTCTGGCTGAGCCCAGGAGGGAGGGGCCTGCACTGTAGTGGTGGAGACGGGTGGGGGCACCTGAAAGTCACGAGGGGGCTGCAGAAGGACAAGGTGACGGACCGAATGGGAGAGAACAGGGACAGGACGTGTCAAGGCCAGGCATGGTAATGATACTGTAATAGCCAACATTATCTGACACTTAGTCTATCCCAGGTACAGTTCTGCGCACCAACTTAATTCCTTTATAAGGCCCTGCAGGGTAGTTGCCATTATTAACCCATTTTTAAGATGAGAAAATAGAGGTGCAGAACGGTTAAGGGCCAAAGCCAACTCCCAAGGTAGGAACCCGGATGTTCTAATGCCTGGGTTTCTCATTGGGGGCGGGGGGGGGCACACAGAGCTGGAGAAGGCAGGAGAGGAACAGGCATGAGGGGACACAGCCTGTGAACAAACACGAGAGAGTGGCCGTCCCCACCCACGTTACAGGCCATCAACCGAGCTATGCAGAAGCCGCAGGAGGAATACAGCATTGGTGTTCTTGACATCTACGGCTTCGAGATCTTCCAGGTGCGGCCTCTGCTCCCCAGCCCACACTCCGTGCCCCTCCCAGCCTCCTGGGCTGGCTCGGGGGTCCCAGGAGCTCCCGCATCAGCCCACTGAAGGCGGCACCCTTTGCGTCCCTTGGCAGAAAAATGGCTTCGAGCAGTTCTGCATCAACTTTGTCAATGAGAAGCTGCAGCAAATCTTTATCGAGCTCACCCTGAAAGCCGAGCAGGTGGGCAGGGGCGGCTGGGTGGCCAGGGGACACGGGGGGATGGGCAGGACCTAGGAGGTTGCTGAGGAACCAGGGGACCCTCCCCGTCCAGCTCCCATTCCCATCTCTCTCTCTCTCTCTCGGCTGAGCTGTCCAAGCCCCACCAAGAAATTTTTTTTGGAAGAGATTTCCTGCCTCTCAAGTGTTCACAAGGGCTGGGGCCTTGTCCATCTGTCCAGTGACTATTTATTGAGAACCCGCTATGTGCCGGACACTGCAGTGCTGGGAAAACTGGCACGTAAAAAATGGACAAAATCCCTGCTGTTTTCCTCCTACCCATCGTGCAGAAGCAGAGCCTGAGACAAGGATTCAGGGCAAACATCAGGCGAGGAGAGAGGAAGTGAGAGATGCATTTTTTAAAAAAAAGGCCAGAATAGGGTGTGATGATGAGCGGGTTACACTACAGGCAATCAGGGCCAATTTCTGCTGAGCCGTGGGGGACACTGGGTAGCGCAGACCTCAGAGGTGGCCCACCCCAGGAGCAACGGAGCCAAGACATTTAAGAACCGGCTCCTGTCTGTCCGTGGCCAAGGGCTGCCGGGGGTAGAAGTTGCAGCTGGCCACGCCCAGGGCCACACACTTTGTTACTGGAGACAGCTTGAAGTGGTGAGATGGGGAGATATGGGAACACCCACCACACCCTCCTTCACCCGCCTTGTGAAGCTGCATTCTAGAAAATTACACACCCTTTGCCCAGAGACCCACACCCACCCCTGCCCCCCGCGCTGCCCCCAGGAGGAGTACGTGCAGGAGGGCATCCGCTGGACCCCCATCCAGTACTTCAACAACAAAATCGTCTGCGACCTCATTGAAAACAAGCTGGTGAGGACTGGGTCAGCTTTGAGGGTCCAGGTCACACAGGGCCTGGGAGAGGAGAGGGTGGGTTCCGGCCCCTTCTCTACTCCCCCCCACCCCCCACCCCCCACCGCTGGGGGCTGATGGAGCACACGGGGAATATCCCATCAGCCACCTCATCGTCTCATCTGCCCACGGGCTTGTATTTCACTTCTTCACTCAACAAACCTTCCCTGGGTGGGGGTGGGGGGGTGGGGGGGTGCCTGGGTGGCCCAGTCAGTTAAGCATCTGACTCTTGACTTTGGCTCAGGTCATGATCTCACAGTTCCTGAGTTTGAGCCCCACGTTGTGCTCTGTGCTGACAGTGTGGAGCCTGCTTGGGATTCTCTCCCTTCTCTCCCCCACCCCCACCCCACCCACCTTAGACGCGCACTTGCTCTCACGCTCTCTTTCTCAAAATAAACTTAAAAAACAAAACAAACGACCTTCCCCAGGGCAGCCTGCTCAGAGACAGAGGGAGAGGTCCATGCTGACAGATTCCCCACTCGGTGATCCCAGTCCCGGGCGAGGGGAAGAGGCGCGGATCCCTTACGGGGTTCCTCGCCCCATCCTGCCCCCCCCTCCGCAGCTAGCTTCCACAGCCACCCCCCACCCCCACTCTTGCTCTTGTATTTAGAAGCCCTGCCTCCTCCACTCCCCGCCATGATCCCGGGAGCGGGATGGGGGCAGGGCCGCCCAGGCTGAGCCGCTGTCCGCCTCCCCCGCCCGCAGAGCCCCCCGGGCATCATGAGCGTCCTGGACGACGTGTGCGCCACCATGCACGCCACGGGCGGCGGCGCCGACCAGACGCTGCTGCAGAAGCTGCAGGCGGCCGTGGGCACCCACGAGCACTTCAACAGCTGGAGCTCGGGCTTCGTCATCCACCACTACGCGGGCAAGGTGCGGGTGCCCCGCCCCCGCGCCCTGGCGCAAGGAGCCCCCAGAGACCACCCCCCCCCCCAGAGCTTCAGAACTCCAGCGACTCCCTTCTCTATCCCTCCCACTGACCCCCACCGTGTTCCTTCAGCCAGACCTGCAGAAACCCACTGGGCCCCCAACCAAGGTCCCAGCTCTCCTTACTAACAGGACAGCTCTCACTAACAGGGCGCAAACTCCCTCCCATTGACCCTACTTTGTGCACCAAACTCCCACCCCCCCACTCCCGTCTGAGCTGCAAACTCCAGTAACCCCTGACCCAGGACACAGCTTTCTGACTCAAAGTGAAAGGCTCCAGGCCTACGCCGCAAGCCACCACCCTCCAAAATTGGTGGGAACCCCCTAAAGGCTCCGACCCAAGACTCTAGAAATCCGCTGGCACCTCTGACCCTGGCCACAGTCTTCCACCCCGAAATTGACAGGACTACAGACTCTCCCAGTGGCCTTCAGGGGGCAGCGGACACCACCAGGGGTCTCCTGGCCAGCCTGGAGCTCCCTCCCTCTTGCAGGGAATAGTTGCACCATGGAGAGCCCCCACCCTGGATGGCAGACCCAGCCCCGAAGTCTGGCTGAAGTCCCCCACAGGACCCCTGACCGCCTGGGCTGTAAGCAGCACCCACCCCCGCAGGCCTCAGCCCCTCATTCCCCCCAACCCTGTCTCCCTCCAGGTCTCCTATGATGTGAATGGCTTCTGCGAGAGGAACCGGGATGTTCTGTTCTCTGACCTCATAGAGCTGATGCAGACCAGTGAGCAGTGAGTGGCCCCTGGGAACAAATCCCCTTGGGGCTGGGGGGAGGCCGGGGCCACTCTCTTCCCCAGAGCTCCTATGATGCCGCAGGCTTTGGGAGTCTGGCTGTCCACAGGGACAGTGTTTGTAGCGACTGGTTAGCAGCCCGAGGTCCACAGGAAGAGGTGAGGAAAGAAGGCCCGTCCGGTGCTCTCTGGGGGCCAGCCCAATCCATGTGGGGTGTGGACGGTTTCCCCTCTTACACCGTGAGAACACAGCCTGCCCTGCATTTTCCTGTATTAACATATAAGGACCCAGAGGTCCATCTCCCTGACCAAAGCTGCACACTGGGTTCCATTTTTTGCCTTTTTAACCTCAAAAACGTATCCAAGTTCCACTGGATGCCAGGCGCTGTTTGAACCTGTGGGGATGGAGAGCTGAACAGGTTAGAGAACAGGGATGGTCTCATCAACTGGAGGAGAGTCAAGGGAGGAGACAGGCGTTGAACTAGAAACAAAAAAGGCACATAGAATATAGTGTGGCATGAAAGTGGTAAGACAGGGGTCCCTAAAAGGCTGCAGTTATAGCTCTTGAGCACCCTTGGAGCTGGTTAGAAAGGCAGCATCTCAGACACCTACTGAATCAGAATCTGCACTTTAACAAGACGCCCTGATGTCTCCTCGAGAACCACGTGCACATTTGAACTTGAGATTCAATGATCTAGACCAGCACTGTCCGTTATACCCCACATTCACGTAGAATCCAAGCTACACACATCATGACTTTAAAACAGCCTTCTGCAGGCACAATTTGGAAGCCGTCAAATGTGCCCACCTTTGGAAGTGACTTTTAGCCAATGCGTAGAATTGCACAACCACGACCACTAATCCATTTGGGAACGTTTGCATCGCACCAGAAAGATCCCTCGTGCCAAATTGCACTCAACCCCTATTCGCAGTATGTGTGTAATTTTAAATTCTCTGGTAAGCACACTGAAAAAGTACAAAGGTGGGGGCGTCTGGGTGGCTCAGTCAGCTAAGCGTCTGAGTCTGGATATCAGCTCAGGTCATGATCTCGAGTTTCGTGAGACAGCGCCCTATGTTAGGCTCTGTGCTGATAATACTGAGCCTGCTTGGGATTCTCTCTTTCTGCCTCTCCCCTGCTCACATGCGTAGGTAGGCACACACGCACTCTCTCTCTCAAAATAAATAAATAAATATTTAAAAACTGAAAATTAAATAAATACAAAAAGTAGAAAGGTGAATAGGTGACATTGAAAAATGTTTTCTTGGGGTGCCTGGGTGGCTTAGTCAGTTGAGTGTCCGACTTCGGCTCAGATCATGATCTCATGGTTCATGGGTTCGAGCCCCATGTTGGGCTCTGTGCTGACAGCTAGCTCAGAGCCTGGAACCTGTTTCAGATTCTGTATCTCCCTCTCTCTCTGACTCTCCCTTGCTCACACTATCTTTCTCTGTCTCTCAGAAATAAATTTAAAAAAATGTTTTCTTATGCCCAGTATACCCCAAATATTATTTCAACATATAATCCATATAAAATTATCAAAGAATGAATATGAATCAATTATGAAGGAAGGAACTATGTTCTCTTTCCCCATACAGTGGTACTCTGTGAAATCTGTTATGAATTTAACACTCACAGTGGGTCATGATTTAGACAGGCCGGGTCTCAAGGGCCTCAAGAACCACATGTGACCAGAGGCCACCATATTGGAAAGCACAGAGTGGTGGTTCTCAGAGTGGGGTTCCTGGGCCAGCAGCATCAGTGCCAGCCAGGAACTCGTTAGAAGTTATTGGGCCACAGCCCAGATGTGTGAATGAGAAATCAAGAGGGCTGGGGTGGGGCTCAGGCCATCCGTATTTTAACAACTTCTCCTGGTGATTCTGGTGTCTACCGGGGTAAGCATTGAAAAGAAAAACTAAGTTGATAAAGGGCTGGAGAGTGCATCATTCACTCTCTCTCTCTTTTTTTTACCTTTCATTTTCTTTTTTTAAAGTTTATTTATTTATTTTGGAAGAGAGTGAGCAATGGAAGGACAGAGAGAGAGAGAGGGAGAGAGAATCCCAAGCAGGCTCCACAGTGTCAGCACAGAGCCCGATGCGGGGCTCGAACCCATGAACCTTGAGATCATGACCTGAGCTGAAGTCAGGAGTCAGACGCTCAACCGACCGAGCCACCCAGGCGCCCCTCGCTTTCTTTTGCTTTCCAATCGTGATGAAATACGCACAATATCAAATGTACCATCTCGCCATTTGGAATTGCACAACTCAGTAGCATTAAGCACATTCACGACGTCGGGCGACTATCCTCACCCTTTCGTTCCAGAGCATTTTCATCTTCTCAAATACATACTGATGGAGCGGTCCATCCATCCTGGGCTGTGATGCTCAGGGAAGATCTCATGGAAGAGATGAGGGAGAGAACTGCGAGTGTGCCGGAGCGTGTCTAACCAATCCCCTGCTCACGGGCCATGAGACTGTGCCTATCATGACCACAGGCAGGGTTCCGGCAGCCGGCTCCCTTGTCTCTAGTTCTTTGCGTGCACACCAGGGTCTGTGCACGTAGGATCGTTCCTGCCCGGGGACCTCCCCCCATTACCCGAGAGGCCGCATCACTTGATAGGTGTTCCTACTTAATTTAATTTTGTTCTATTTTACTTGCTACCCGAGCCGTGTGTGGTCATGGAGGCAGAAGGGACAGGTGCAAACAAATCAAACCCAAGGGCCAAAAGCAACACTTTCCGGTTCTCAGCATTACAGCCCCCACATTCAGGGAGAACTGTACTTTGCAGTGCGCCCTCTAGGTCACGGACATCTAGGTAGCCTTTCCTCTGGGAGAGGGCACCTCTGACCCCTCCTGTGCCCCTGCCCAGGGCCTTCCTCCGGATGCTCTTTCCTGAGAAGCTGGATGTAGACAAGAAGGGCCGCCCCAGCACCGCCGGCTCCAAGATCAAGGTGGGTCCTGGGCAGGAGAGGAGGAGCTGGGCGTGGGGAGGGATGGGGACAGTTCTCTACTCGTCCCAACCTCTGTCTCTCCTGTGTCCTGTCTCTCTGGCACCCTCTGCCCAGCAGGGTCTTTTCCCAGCTCTGGGCGTAGAGGACTTATACCACCTCCCTTGATGTCCCCCTAACGCCCTAAATCCAAACGTTAACCATCCATCATCTTAATAACTTTTTTGGTCTTTTGGTTATTTGCCACTTGGATTGTAGGGAAATATACGTAAAATGTACCATCGTAGCCACTGCTAAGTGCAGAGCTCAGTGCCATTAGGCACACTCACGCTGGGCCACCATCCGTCCCCAGGACATTTTCATCTTCCCAAACTGAGTCTCTGTCCCCATGAAGCACTGACTCCCCACCCCCTGTCCCACCCCTGGCTCCCACCATCCACTCTCTGTCTCTGTGGATGGGACTCCTCTAGGGACCCCCTGTGAGTGACATCAGGCAGGACGTGTCCTTCTGTGTCTGGCTTACCTCACTCAGCATAACGTCCTCCGAGTCCGCCCGTGTTGTAGCAGGTGTCAGGATTCCTTCCTTTTGAAGGCTAGAGAATCTTCCAGTGTGTGAACAGACCACATTCTTCCTGTCCATTCCTCTGCAGATGGACACTCAGTTGCTTTCACCTTTTACCTTCTGCAAATCATGCTACCATCAACTGCGTGTCCCATCCTGAAAATATTTTAGTGACTGTGCACTGAGCATGTGTCAGTGCTGGCAGCAAATGTGGCGACACTTTACATGCATGGGACTAATCCCGCCTGGGGAATGGGGGAGACCAGGGCTCAGAGAAGCACAGTCACTGGCCCAGATCACATAGCAGAGTACTCTCAGGCTGCTCCCTCCAATCCCCCTACCTGGGACGATTTCCTTTCTAGTCTCTTCCAAGAGACTAAGATGCACAACCCAAGGGTAGCCTCACAGGCACACACGCGAGATTCCCTGCTTCCAGAGAATCCCCGAAGAACAGGCAGAAATGCTTTGGGCAACATGTTCTGAGCGCTCAATTACTCCGTCGGCAAATGTTTGCTGAGCACTTATGTGCTCGATTAAGCGGTGAGTGCTATAAACATGAGAGCTCCTCATCTGAGGTTCCCGGATCAGGGAGACACATGATATCAAGATCGCACAGTGTGTGCTAAGGGAGGTGCACACTGACCGGGGACACCAGACCCCGTGGGCCACAGGGAGCCAGCCCACGCTTAGTGTATCTCTGTCTCTTGGGTCTGTATCCAGGGTTGGGGGAGAGAGGGTCCGAGGGTCCCATTGGCACACCACCCCCGCCTTCTCCTCCACCCCAGAAACAAGCCAATGACCTAGTGGCCACGCTAAAGAGGTGTACACCGCACTATATCCGCTGCATCAAACCCAACGAGACCAAGAAGCCCCGTGACTGGGAGGAGAGCAGGTGACTACCAGCCGGACCAATCCACACAGCCTGTCCCCCCCACACACACACACACAGCCTGTCCCCCCAGACTGATCTCTCCCTCCGGAACCCACACAGGATCATGTGACTCATCCTAAGACTAACCAAGGCTGACCCCCAGGACCAGTGCAAAACTTCAGGGCCCGGGGTTTATACCTTCCAAACGACAGGGATGACCCCGGACTGAGTGCAGGATGACCCAGGAACTAGCTCCATCCCCTCTGTCACCAGACCCTAGGATGAACCCCTAGGATGAACTCTGGAACTGACCACAGAATGAACACAGACCCCTCCCTCCCTGGAAGCTGGGTCCCCACCCCACAGAACTGACTCACAGGCTGACCCCTGGGACCGACACTAAAGTCACCCCCCACCCCGAACTGTTCCTGGCACAAATCCAGACCCACCAGGCCCCACGTCTGCCCTTTCCAGCCCTGCCCAGGAGCACCCACCCACTCCCAGGACCAGGGAGTACCCCCCAGGGGACTCAACCTGCCTTCTCTTTTAGGGTCAAGCACCAGGTGGAGTACCTGGGCCTGAAGGAGAACATCAGGGTACGCCGGGCTGGCTTTGCCTACCGTCGCCAATTCTCCAAGTTCCTGCAGAGGTGAGGTGCCCCCGCCCACCCCTGCCCCTAACTGCTGCCCCGCAGAATATCCACCAATCCCTCCCACGTCCTCTGCCTCCAGGTACGCCATCCTGACCCCAGAGACGTGGCCGCAGTGGCGTGGGGATGAACGTCAGGGGGTCCAGCACCTTCTCCGAGCAGTCAACATGGAGCCAGACCAGTACCAGATGGGGACCACCAAGGTCTTTGTCAAGAACCCTGAGTCAGTAAGTGTGAGAGAGGCAGATGCCTGCATTGCTGCAATGGGCTCGGGCCCTGCTCTTCAGGCCACTTCAGACCTTGCGCTTGTTTTCTTACCCCTCTGAGCCTCAGTTTCTCCAACTGGAAAGTGGGGAGAGTAGTAGCCACCCTGCAGGGCTGGGGTGAGGATTAGACAAAACAGGAAGTCCACTGCCCAGTGTGTGGCACGTAGCAGGTGCTCGGAAAACCCCGAATTAGCTGGATAGTCCCTGGTGGCCAGGAGGCGGGTGGGGACACGCGTGGCCACCTGTTGTGCCAGCCCCTCACAGCTTAGCTAGCACATCTTTGTTTCCTTCTTTCTATCCTTCTTCTCTTTCTGCTTTCTTCCTTTTTAACTAACTTCTATTTCTTTAGTGTTTATTTATTTGGGGAAGAGAGAGCGAGGGGGGAGAGGCAGAGAGAGTGTGGGAGAGGAAGAATACCAAGCGGGCTCTGCACTGTCAGCACAGAGCCCAATGCGGGCCAACGCGGGGCTCGAACCCACGAACCATGAGACCTGAGCTGAAACCAAGAGTCAGACGCTTAACCGGCTGAGCCACCCAGGCGCCCCTTAAGTCACTTATCTCTGTACTTTCTCCTAGCCTGCTTTCTCTTTCCACGTCCTTCATTCATGGACACACTGAGTCCCTGGACCAGAGACTCGGTCCAAGTGGTGCTTTGCTTATCCCAAGCACCGCCCCAAGCCCTGATCTGTCAAAGAAAAACCTCGTTCTGCCAATCCCATCAGCACTTTATCATCGGCTCTTAGCCTTTTATCAGAAGGCCGGGAGCACCACCTAGTGTATGGGACCTCTGCTTTCAGGGGGAAAACCAAGTAACAACGACAAGTCAGCTTTGGGGGGACCCACCGTAGAGCATGTGACTATAGTTAACAACACTGTATTATATACTCGGAAGTAGACCTTCAATGTTCTCACCACGAAAAAGAAACAGTAACTGTGCTATGTGGTGGAGGTGCTAGCTAACCTATGGGGGTCACGGTTCCGCAATATCTACACGTATCCAATCAACTCCTGTACGCCTCGCATTTATACAATGCTATGTGCCAATTACATCTCAGTAAAGCTGAATGGGGGCAGTTTTTTTAAAAAGCAACAATGACGGGGCACCTGGGTGGCTCAGTCGGTTAAGCGTCTGACTTCGGCTCAGGTCATGATCTTGCAGTCCATGAATTTGAGCCCTGCATTGGGCTCTATGCGGACAGTTCAGCGCCTGGAGCTGCTTCGGATTCTGTGTCTCCCTCTCTCTCTCCCTCCCCCGCTTACACACACTCTCTCTCTCTCTCTCTCAAAAATAAACAAACATGAAATCAATTCAGCCCATGGCTGAAACTACATCTGGAACAATTCAAATCATAGCAGTTGAGAAAGAAAGGAGGGAGGCAAGGTCAGAAAAAGAGGGTGCGGGGGAGACACTGAGAAAGAGAATCCATCTTGCTGGCTACAGTGTGCAAAATCTGACTCCAAAAGAAACATATAAAATTTGACACTGAAAAAAACAAAAACAAAAACAAATAGACCAAGCTGGCTAAGGCTATCTAAGGTAAAATCAAATTCTGACAAAAATTATTTCCATGGCCGGAAATAATGAAATTCACACAGGGAAGAGTTTGGTGGAAAAAATGTTGTAAGGGAAAACAAGACTGAAAATTTGCACAGGAAAAAAACTGGGTACAGTTCTGTAACTGTTTATAACTGTGCTATATCAAACTTGATAGAAGAATTAAGTTACCCTAATGGAGGTGGGGACTTTCTCAGCCAAAAATGCGCTCACTTTGGGATGATTTACACATGGACTCAAATATCCTTGGCTGTTTCACACACCTGCTGGCCTTCCTTGCCCATCATGCTGCGTGTGTTCCTTCCCTGTGGCCAGTGTTAACAAGGTACTACCGACTGGATGACTTGACCCAACAGAAATGAATTTTCTCACGTTTCTGGAAGCTAGAAATCCACAATCAATGTGTCAGCAGGGCCAAGGTCCCTCTAAAGTCTGCAGGGAAGATCCTTCCTTGACTCTCCCTAGCTTCTGGTGGGTGCCAGCCACCCTCACCGTTTCTGATCACTCCAGTCTCTACCTCTGTCATCACACGACCTTCTCCTCTGTGTCTGGGTGCAAATTTCCCTCTTCTTATAAAAACACCGAGTCATACTGGATTGAGAGATGGTCCCCCACGCCCCCACCCACACCCTATTGCAGCATGACCTCCTTTTAACTTGATTACATCTGCAAAGACCCTCTTTGCAGATAAGGTCACATTCACAGGTTCTGGGTAGACATGAATTTGGGGGAAACACCATTCAGCCCAGCATGCCAGGATAAGCTCAGTTTTGGGGCCTGTCTCACCCGCCTTAAGCACACCCGCTCTGCCCTCTGCATGCGAAGGAGACGGATTTTAAACTCTGTGGACAGGAAGATCCCTTTCCCAATAATGAAAACAAATCCCTTTCCCTGAGCAGAGATAATGAGGTTGGAAGACTTGTCTCATCTGCCCTAAACAGCTAAGGGAGAGCAGACTCCTGGCTGACTGGCCCACCCCCATTCCTGTAAGGCTGGTCTCCCTTTATTCCTACCTGTCACCCCCTCGGCAAACTTCAGAATATACCTACTACCCTCCAGGCATTAGTTGGACACACTTTGTACACAGACGCACTGACTCAAGAATATCAGTCTGAGAAGCAAAAGACAGAAATTCCACTTGATTCCCTATAGGCTGCAAAACTGCAATCTTGCTGGGTTTTTTTCCTTCCTGTGAAGACTCCCCACCTTTCATGAACATTTATAAACACCGACAGCTTTAAAAGTTCTCCAAAGTATGTTGTTTTTTTTTTTTTTAAGTGCATATGAGCCAAGTATCTGCGGAATTACTTTAGTCCCTGCAGGGACCCGTGGGGTTTCTGGGAAACATCGGCCACTTTGGTCAGCAAAGCAGGCAGCCAGGCTTTTAGTAGTGATGTGTATCTTGTGTATTTGACAAATCCCTCTGGGTGAAGGGCTAATTACTTTTCTAAACAAAGCCTAATTTTATTTTCAATATTTCCCATTTCAGTACTTCCCTGATTGACAATGCTGTGCCTTTTCTTGCTAAATTTCTGTTTGAATGACAATGTGACCAAGCCATTTGTCCTACCACAGTAGGCTGTTCTATTCTCTGACCAGCACCACATTGTTCTTATTACCGTAGATTTATAACTTTTCATATCCAGTGAGTTCCTCTCCCTGATATGCTCACTGCTATTATCCTAAGTGAACAGACATCCTTCATGGCATTCCAACTCTGACTTGCACTAACATAGTTGATACCCTAAGTCCCCTCTGGACAGAGACTCTTAAAACTCAAAAGTCTGCTTTCTGCGAAAAGCTTCTTTTCCAGGGCTGGCATGTATGGCTGCACAGGTTGTACACTGAACAACCAGATGGTCTCTAGGTACATTACAGTCCTCTATATCAGCTTTTCATATTTACAGTATTGGATTGGTCTTCGAAGATGCACATTGGATCACATTCCTGCCATCTCTGAAAGTGGGGTTCACCTCATATGGGTGACGTGCCATCCCCTTAATTAGCAGAGTGAGTTGTGATACTATAGCATTTCTGGCCAGACTGCACAGCTAGTAAGAGGCAGAGTCGGGATTTGAACCCCACAAGACCAGCCTTCAGTTACAATTTCATGCAGGGGCATGTGCCCCATGTTGGGAGGGAAACCTATGTCCAGTCATTTGGAGGAAGAAAAAATCTTTCAACCCTAGCGTCTGAGCACGTGTGCAGGTGCCCGAAAGCAAGAGCAGTGGGTGGGGTGTGGCTGGGGGAAGATCCACCGCGCCTCTCTTCCGCCCAGCTCTTCCTCCTGGAGGAGATGCGAGAGCGGAAGTTCGATGGCTTTGCCCGCACCATCCAGAAGGCTTGGCGGCGCCACGTGGCAGTCCGGAAGTACGAAGAGATGCGCGAGGAAGGTGAGACCCCCGTGGGTGGGAGGCTCAGGGTGGGGACAGACGGACTTGGGGGAGCCAGGCCACAACCTCTGCTCCCACCCCAACCCCCCGTGTCTCCACAGCGTCCAACATCCTGCTGAACAAGAAGGAGCGGAGGCGGAACAGCATCAACCGGAACTTCGTGGGGGACTACTTGGGGCTGGAAGAGCGGCCGGAGCTGCGTCAGTTCCTGGGCAAGAGGGAACGCGTGGACTTCGCTGACTCGGTCACCAAGTATGACCGCCGCTTCAAGGTGAGGCACAAGCAGGTGGGCGTGTCTGGGACCCCGGCCCCAAGCTGCCACCCCCAACCAGAAGGACACACCCTCATCCGGCCCAGATCCACCTGTCCCCAGGTATACATTCACCCAGCCTGGATACACCTGCCTATTAAACACGCCCTCACGCCACCCAGACACACCTGTCCAGCACGTATTGCTGCACCTGGCCAGATTGTCCTCAAGAAAGTGTCACCCAGAAGCCCTGACCATAGGGCCACCCTCACTTATCCTGGACACAACCATCCATCAAGTATGCCCTCAGCCAGTCTAGAGAGATCTGTCAGTTAGCCATGTCTTCATCTGGCCCAGATACTCCTGTGCACAGGTGCGCTCTCATCTGGCCTGGGGCACCCAGAGGCAGCAGGTTCACCTTCACCTGTACTGTACCTGTTCACTGACCCAGAAACCTCTCTCTAGCCAGTATACCCTTATTTCGCCTATTTCTTATATAATGTAACTACTTACATATCTTCACATGGAGGGAAACCCTCAGCTGACCTGTCCTCCGCCACCCCCCTGTCTGAGGCTGAGCCCCTAGAGCCAGGCGGCCCCAGGCCCAGGGCTCCAGCCACCAGCCGTAGCTCTGGTCCTGCATCCTCACAGCCCATCAAGAGGGACTTGATCCTGACGCCCAAGTGTGTGTATATGATCGGGCGGGAGAAGGTGAAGAAGGGACCAGAGAAGGGCCAGGTGCGTGAGGTCCTGAAGAAGAAGGTGGAGATCCAGGCCCTTCGGGGAGTTTCCCTCAGGTGAGGCCGGGCCCTCGCCTGCCCCACTCACCCTCGTCTGTCCCCTTGTCATCCTCAGGTGCCCTCATACTTGTTACCCCATCTGTCACTCTGACCATGCTACCTACGCCAATACCTGGAACCCTCTGGCCCCACCTGTCACCTTCCCCTGCCCCCACACTCACGAGCCCTATTTGCCAACAGCACCTGTCCCCTCGCCTGCCGCTTCCCTCTGACGATCTTCCCCAGCGCGTTGCCACTCCCCCCTTTCCCCGGCCGGCGTCACCCCCCACTTGCCTTCACCCGACCCTCCCCGTGGCATCTCACAGGTCAGTCCGGCCGCCCTCACTACCCCTCTCACAGGCCTTTCCTCCCACCCCTCCCCCAGCACGCGGCAGGACGACTTCTTCATCCTCCAAGAAGACACGGCCGACAGCTTCCTAGAGAGCATCTTCAAGACCGAATTCGTCAGCCTCCTGAGCAAGCGTTTCGAGGAGGCGGCGCGGAGGGCCCTGCCCCTCACCTTCAGCGACACGTACGCTCCCCACCCCGACCCCGCGCCCCGTCCGGGGTTGGGCTGGGCACGGCGACTCCTCTCCCACCGCGCTTGGGCAGTGGGCGTCCCCCCAGCTTCCTCCTCTCCCCACAGACTACAGTTCCGAGTGAAGAAGGAGGGCTGGGGCGGAGGTGGCACCCGCAGTGTTACTTTCTCCCGTGGCTCCGGCGACGTGGCTGTGCTCAAGGCTAGCGGCCGTTCCCTCACGGTCAGCGTGGGTGACGGGCTGCCCAAAAGCTCCAGTGAGTCTGCGCAGAACCGGGGGGGCGGAGCCAAAGAGGCGGGACCTTCGGGGGCGGGGCCAGCGAGGGGGACAAATCAAGGCTGTGGGGGCGGACCCTAGAGCCGGTGGGGGCCATAGAGGGGTGGGTCTAGAGAGGCTTAATAGGGAGGCCGCAACCATAGAGAGGGCTGGGTCAGCGAGGTAACCAATGAGTTGGATAGAAACGTGGAGGAGGCGTGGCCAGGGAAGGGGTCCCTCCCCTCCCTCTATGGGCGGGCCCAGAGAGCCAGGCCACTAAGAGGTGAGCCCTGGGGGGAGGAGCCAGTTACTGGGAGGAGCCAGGGTTCCAGGGGCGGTGCTGATGGGATAGCTAGTGAGCCTGAGGAGGTGGGGTATGGGGCGGAGCCACACGGTGGGCTGGACTTGTGGGCGGGCCCAAGAGCCTGCTGCGGTCGGGCCACCGTACAAATTCCCACGTCCTTCCCCCTTACAGAGCCTACACGGAAAGGAATGGCTCAAGGAAGACCTCGAAGGGCAGCCCAGGACCCTACCCGGGCAGCCCCTGGGCCTCCCAGAGGTAAGGAGACTTGTCTTTTGTGTGCTTCATGACCTAAGCCAGACCTGCTCAGCGGAGTGGACCACTCTGTTCTCTGCCTAGAACTCCCCACTACCCCATCTTCCACAAAATACAGACTAAGCTTAGTTTGATATTCAAAACCCTTCAGAATCCAACCCTAGCTAACCATCCTCTCTCCTCCCGTCGTAGACTCCTGTCATGCAAGCTACATCGTATTTTGCCAATTTAATCAATTTGTTCTAGTCCCCAAGCCTTTGCTAGGGCTGTTTGCTCCTCTCGTTTCCCAAATCCTCTCTCAGCTTGAGCTCCTATTCATCCTGCAAGACCCACCCACAAGAGCCCTCCTACAAAAGATGGGGGGAATCTTACCCCTGCAGAGCCTCCTCTGGGCCAGCCCTTCCCATGCTGGGTTGAGCGTGTGGCTGGCTGCCTTCTCCCTCAGACTAAGAACTTGGAGACAAGTCCCCCCGAAATCCTCCTACCGTCACCTGATAAACGCTCCCACTCCTGCTCCTACCACAGGCCTGGACCGCAATGGGGTGCCCCCCTCGGCCAGAAGGGGGGACCTACCCCTAGAGATCACATCTGGAGGGGGCTCCCAGCAGCCTTTCCGGGGCCCACCATCCTCAGCCCTGAGGGCCAGCAGACGCCCCCGGGCACGGCCTCCCTCGGAGCACAACACAGAATTCCTTAATGTGCCTGACCAAGGCATGGCAGGGTAGGTGAGGAAAGAGGGCAGCCCCAGGAGGTGTACAGGGCGCAGGGGCGTGTGTGGACTGTGATGGGCGCTCCCTGTGCCCACAGCATGCAGAGGAAGCGCAGTGTGGGGCAGCGACCTGTGCCAGGCGTGGGCCGACCCAAGCCCCAGCCTCGGACGCATGGCCCGCGGTGCCGGGCACTGTACCAGTACGTGGGTCAAGATGTGGACGAGCTGAGCTTCAATGTGAACGAGGTCATCGAGATCCTGATGGAAGGTGTGTGCCAAACACCCCCATCCCTGCTTTCCTGCAACCCCCATTCTCCCAAGGAGAGCAGAAGCAACCAGACCCATCTGGAGATACTCTCTTCCCGGCCCAGTGGCTGCAGAGGCCAGAAGGCCTTGGGTCCAGGGGTTCCCTCCTAAGCCACTCTGGGGACCTGGACTCACAGCAGGATGCCCAATCCCTGGGCCTCATTTTTCTGTCCTGTCAAGCACGGGATTGATAGCAGAACCTACCTCCAGAGACCCCTCGTGAGTAAAACATGGGTCATGCCCAGATGACCCAGGCCACCTCCTACCTTAGTCCCCTGGGCCACCTCCAGAGGGGCTTGGACTCAACAGCACCCTCTGTGGGTAAATGGGGAGCCCCAAAGGGGTTATTCATTGCTCTGTCATGGGGATTGTGGGGAGGCGCCTGTACGAAGGGATGATGAGGGAAGAGCATGAGAGAATGATCTAGAATATCACAGAGTGTGAGGCAGTTGCAGGGAAAACCGAGTGTCTGACCCTCCCTCCCTTCCCTCTGCGGACAAATCTCTTTTCATCACCTGCCGTCTGCTCACGCTGGTGGAGATGAATAAGACAGGCACGGAGCCAGCTGAAGGCTCCCTCCTGGGTAAGCCGGGTGCCGCCTCACACTCCCTTCTCGCCCGCAGATCCCTCGGGCTGGTGGAAAGGCCGGCTGCATGGCAAGGAGGGCCTCTTCCCAGGAAACTACGTGGAGAAGATCTGAGAGGCGGCCCCCGATTCTGCCTCCTGCCTGCCTGCCTGCCGGCCAGGGGCCGAGGCCCTGCCGCGGGGGCCTCATTTTCCTCGGCCGCATTGGCCAGAAGGCCCAGTCCTGTGGCGTCCAGCCCAGCCCAGACTCTGAGTCACCACTGGGTCTGGGGGGCACCACTGCGGCCACCCGATGGCCCTGGCCTCCCCCATGTCATATGCATTGCCTCCTGGGTCAAACAGGGCTAACCGCAGAATCTACCTCCCAGCTGCCTTGCGAGCATAAATGAGTTGTGTCCTGTGGGCCGAGCGCCAAGCACAGTTGGGGGCACACCTCGACAGGTGAGACCCTGCCCCCGGCTTCTCTCACCACCGAGGCAATAAACATTGGCCAGGTGAAAGCATGGATTAATTTACTGAGCGCTAACAAGAACTACCTTCTCACAACCCTGTGAGGGAGGAGCCCCAGATACCCCATTGCAGGTGGAAAGAAAAAAAAAAAACAGAGGCTGGGAGAAGTTTCATCATGTGCCCAGGATTCCACAGAGCTAAGCCTTGAACTCATGTATGCCCCCACCCGGCCTCTCCCCTCTCCCGAAGCTGGAGTTTGCTCCTTGCTGGTTCACCCACTCTTGGCCATTTGCATCCCAGCTTTCCTGCAATAAATAGTCTGGTGGGTCCTGTCAGCTTTGAATACGCAGCCCCCAGACCCATCTGGGACCTGCCTGGCCCGAGGAGGGCGGCAGGGTCCCACACAACCCCTCACGATGCACCCTGGGCCACCCTGGCCCCTGGCCCCCACCCCATGTCTGTGCCGTCTTAGTTCTCACTCACCCGGGGTCAGGGGGTCAGGACCGGTTCTGATATTCAATGGCCCTGGCTGTCTGCACTTATTGCTCTGTGTTTAGGGGGTCAGCCTGGCTCCTGGTCTCCCCAGATGTTTACAAGCCGGTGATGGAGTCTGAGCCTTTCAGAACTCTCTGCAGGTGCAGCTGGAAATGGCTGGGGACCCTGCCATGGTCTGAGCCTAAGGATTCTGACTTCCCAGATGGACACCCACTCTGTGCTCAGCTCCTTCAAAGAGCAGCCGGTCCGGGAGAGATAGAGCCAGACTGCTGGTGTCAGGACTGGGCCAGAGAAGGGCCAGGGGCAGGGGCAGGGAATGCAGAGAAACAGTGGGCATTGCTGGAGGAGCCTAGAGATAGAAGAAAAGGGTTGGCGTCAGCAGATGTTGGTGGCAAACACCACACGCGCCGGCCTCCACTGTGACACGACTCCAGGCAGAGGACACCTACCCATGTGGAGGATGGGAGCTGAGGTATCAAAGAAAGACTGGCCAGCAGCACCTTCTGCAGGTCTGAACCCTCTCTCTTCTGGACCTACCTTGGGAAGCTGAGGGTGGCTGGGGAAAAAAAAAAAGTCACAACATTGCAACTGGTCCTCACCAGCTCTTTTATTAACCAAGAATTAGACAAAAAGCATGTAACCAGTCCCTTGAATGTCCCTGGCTTCCTCCATCTCTGGTTTTTGCCCCTCCGCTGCCCAACCGCCACTGTGTCGCTCTCTATAACACTTAGATGCTAGGACAGGCTGGGGAAGAACTGCATAAGCCACCAACCTCATCAGCTGGGTGTTTCCTGAAGAGGACTCGGGGCTTCCGCCTCCCTTCTCTGTCCCTGAACTCACCATGCAGGTTGCCTGCCCCTTGATATTTTGGGGTCCAGCCCTGGGGCCTCACTGCCACGGTAGTCACCCCATTTACAGGAAGTAGGGCCTCTGGGCCTCACATCTGGGTTACAGCATCTTCAGACTGCAAACCTCAGAATCACCTTGGCCCTGCCCACTCCACAGCCCCACATCCTGTTGACTTCTAGAATTTCTTAAGCCTGGCCCCTCCTCTCCCTTCCTTGGGCGGCCTGTCCTTCTGAGGCCTCACCCCATCCTTCCCCATATTACACCAACATCCCCTTCACACACAAACACACCTCCACCCAGCATCAAATGATCTGTTTGGGTTTGTTTTTTTTTTAAGTTTACTTATTTATTTTGAGAGAGGGAGAGAGAGCTAGAGAGAGCGCGCAACCAGGGGAGGGAGGGGCAGAAAGAGAGAGAGAGAGAGAGAGAGAGAGAGAATCCCAAACAGGCTCCAGACCCAATGTAGAGCCCCATATGGGTCTTGATTTCACAAACCATGAGATCATGACCTGAGCCAAAATCAAAAGTCGGATGCTTGAACAAACTGAGGACTGATGGGGGGGGGGGGGTGCGATGGGCATGGAGGAGGGCACTTGTGGAGATGAGCACTGGGTGTTATATGGAAACCAACCTGACAATAAACTATTTGTAAAAAAACGAAAAGAAAAGTCGGATGCTTAACCAACTGAGCCACCCAGGTGCCCCAAATGATCTTTTTTTTTAATTAATGAGTTTTTAACTGTATTAATGACCATTAAAAAACATTTTTAAAATTCAAACAGCACAAAGTGTGAAAAGTCTGTCTCACCCTCACTTTGAAAATCTGTTCCCCTCCCCAGTTTCTCTTTTTTTTTATGTTTTATTTATTTCTAAGAGAGAGAGAGAGAGACAGCGTGAGCAGGGGAGGGTCAGAGAGAGAGGGAATCACAGACTCTGAAACAGGCTCCAGGCTCTGAGCTGGCAGTCAGCACAGAGCCCGACGCGGGGCCGAACCCACGAACGGCGAGATCATGACCTAAGCGAAAGTCAGCCGCTTAACCGACTAAGCCACCCAGGCGCCCCAACCCTCCCAGTTTCTTAATGTCTCCTTCTAATGGTATCTCTGCATGTAAAGGCACCTAGGAACATCTTATGTACACAGATGAAAATACACTGCACATAAAGTCTACACTTGCCCAACTCAAGAGACACCTCTTGAATGTTAACGTATTATAGAGATCTGAGATCAAAGATCCACTTTACCATCCCCTCAATTGCCCACCCTCCAAACACCCAGGAATCAGATGGTGGACCCCTCCCCGCTTGCTAAAAATTCATCAATGGTGAGAACAGAAACCATACTCCTCCTTCTCTCTCCATGGTTCACAAGGCGCTGTGTGACCTTCACTGCACCAAATTCACTTTCTGATCTCCACACCCTGCCTCCACTCTGTTTCAGTAGTGAGCTGTTCTCTTCACTGATCCTTGAAAAAGACAAGCTTGTCTCTCCCTACCTCAGAACACTTGCACCCACTATCCACTTCCCAGAGTGCCCTGACCGTCCATTTGCTCACTCCTTCCTGACCATCAGATAACAGCTCAAAAGTCAACTCCCAGAGAAGTTTTTCTTCCTTCTGTTCTTTTTTTCCCTTTGTAGCACTTAATATAACCTAAGACTGTTTTTTTCCATTAGTTGAGTCATTGTCTATTGCCCCATTTTAAAATGTGAGCAGTCCCTGAGGGCAAAGATGTTTATTCTCCGGTGCCCAACGCCTAGCACGCAGTAGGAGCTCAAGGAATGTAGAATGGATAGGTGACTCATCCCACCCAGGGTTTGCCATCCTTAAGCTACACCTGTCCTGAGGCCAGACAGCTTGTTTCCCGCCCTTGGTTATCACAAGGGGCCCATTCCAACTTTCAGAAGGCAATTCCCTCTAAAGAGGCACCGAGTCATCACGACCTCTTCAAATAGAAGAACGGCTGTTTGTCCCCTTTCAAGAGCTGGTGGCGGGAAGGGAGGGGATACAGATACCCATTTTGCAAAGGAGAGCAGAGGTTCCGAAGGATTTTAAGCCGGGGTCTCTGAGCACAGACTTTTAAAGGTGCACTCCTCGCCACGCCTGGGCTTGCAAACCCGCAGCGCCGCCTATACGGCTCTCCAGGAGGACCCAGATCTCAGGCTCCGCCCCCTTGGGGGGCGTCGTGCGCAGGTCCTGTCCCCGCTCTCGCGAGAGCTGGCAGGTGGAAAATGGCGCCGAAGTGAGCGCGAGCCTGCGGCCGCCCAGGGAATCGCCACAGCCTCAGCCGCAGCCGCCGGAGTCGCAGGAACAAGAGGCTGAGCCGGGTCGAGGATGGTGAGCTCGGCGCCGGGGGTTCGGGCGCGACGGACCAGCGGGTACTGGCGGGGCGCGGCCCTGTCGCACGCGCCCCATCCCGTCGACCCCGCCCCCACATCCGGGCACTCTCCAGCCGTTGGCTGTCACTTGGGGAAACACCCCACCCCTGCTTCCTGGCCCGGCTTCGACTGGGCCACGCCTACAGCGATCGGGCTCCGCCCCTGGTCCTTAAACATCCGGGTCTATAGCAAGTCCAGGTTCGACTGCACAGCTCGATCCGGGCCGGTATATATTTCCGTCCTCACACAATCCACTTGACCACTGCTGGCCCTTCCAGCAAGTTCCTAGTGGCGCCCTATTCAGAGCCCCGTCTGTATAATCTTCGTCCCGCCCACTCCCTGTAGGCCACGCCTCTGCCGTGTAAGGGACGTCCCACCGTCTCTAGTTGGGGACGAGGGGCTTCTTTCACACGCGTAATTGCTGACAGATACCCCAGTCTGCAATTGGAACACCCCCCAGCCCCCTCTCAGAGTGTGGGAGCTGAGGAGGCTCAGTCCACCCTTACCCTCCTGCCTTCCCCTGACGTTGACTCCCTGGGATGGGGTTCTGACCGTCCAGGTGATGTCTCCAGGGCGTTCGCTACTTCACGAATGTCCACCGGTCTTGGCGGGGCGGGAGGGGTGCCCCTGGCTGGCCCAGGCCGACCTGGGCCTAGAGGGGTGCTCCCTGCTTTTTCCTTGCACTAGGAGGAGGAACCCTCGGGGCCCAGTCCGGACATGCCGGCCACTGCAGAGCCCGGCTTCACGGAGACTGACAAAGAGGTGCTGTCCCCAGTCGTGGCTTCTGCAGCCACCCCCTCTTCCATGGGGGAGGAGCCAGGCCCTGACCCGGCAGCCACACCCCCAGTGTGGGACCGCGGAGGGCCTGGAGGGACCCAGCAGGGCGCTCCTTCAGCCCCAGACAGTGGCCAGCCTGGCCCTGGATCCAGCCTTGACCCGACCAGCGCAGTCTCTGGGACCAGCGAGGACCTGAGGCCTCCCAGACGACGCCAACAACCAGGTGATCTGGGATGGAGCCTTCTGGGCGGGGGTGCGGTGGGGTGGGGTGGGTGGGGGTGTGTTAGGGTCACAGGCCTTGGAATAATGAAGAGGAGTACAGAGTATCTCCAAACTTGGGATCCATCTAGCAGGAGTCCCCATTTACTGAGCACCAAGTGCATGCCAGGCTGTGGCTACGGTCATGAGCCTCGCCAGCTCAGCCCCTGCCCTCGGGGAGCTCAGGCTGGTGAGAAAAGCAGATGGTAAGGGCCTTGATGGAAAACCAGTAGGGTAATTCCAGCCTCTCTGGGGCAGAACTCTGGACAGTGTGGATGGGGGAAGGGTAGGTGACACTCCTTCTGTGCATCCCTCAGGGAAGCAGATACCCTGCTCCAGCCCCGGGTGCTGCCTCAGTTTCCCCAGTGTTCGAGACCTGGCACAGCATCTGCGTACCCACTGCCCACCCACACAGTCCCTGGAAGGTAGGGCCAGAGTAGGTGGTAGGGAGGCAGTTGGGGTGGGAGGCAGGCAGAGCCTCCAGGCCAGCTTCGGCCACCGCTCTCCACTCCTGTCCTTCATCCCTGCCCAGCCAGGCAAGCTCTTCCGCTGCTCGGCCCTGAGCTGCACCGAGACCTTCCCCAGTATGCAGGAGCTGGTGGCACATGGCAAGCTGCACTACAAGCCCAATCGCTACTTCAAGTGAGACCCTGCCCATCCCCACTTCCGCCTGTGCTCAGTGACCGGGCCCTAGGCAGCTTCTCCCACCCCGGGTTGGATGGCCACCACCTGGGGTCCAGGCCTTTCTCCCTCTCTGGTCAAGGGGGGTTAGGTCCGGCAGTGTGGGCGTGGCCTCGAGCCAGCGCTGCCCTTACCTGCCCGGAAAGGGACTGGTTGCTGGAGCGAGTCCCAGAGACCCGGAGGGCGGAGCTCGGGAGGGGCGGAGCACACGTGGTGTGTCTCCGCCCAGCCCCTCCTTGCCTCCCTAGAGGAAAATCGGCCACCGAAGTCAAAATTCAGACCTCCTTCCTCGTTTTCCCAGGGCAAGGACTCGGAGGGGTCTGGAAGGGTCGCGGCCACATTGGGGGGCGCTTAGAGCAAGCTTCTCCCCCGCGAGTGGGGGATCTGCGATTTGGGCTTTAGGCTCCCTTACTTCCCACCCTCGCGCGGCGTCCACCCAGGTAGTATCGGAAAGGCCCTCCCCTTTGTCCCCCAGAGACCCAGCCCAGCCCTGTGCCTGCCCCCAGGTGTGAGAACTGCCTCCTGCGCTTCCGCACGCACCGCTCGCTCTTCAAGCATCTGCATGTTTGCGCCGAGCATGCGCAGAGCCCGGCCCCGCCGCCACCCCCCGCCCTCGACAAGGAGCCACAGGCGCCCGAGCGTCCCCCGGAGTCCGACGCTGCGTCCGCGCCGGGCCTGCCCTTCCCGCTGCTCGAGCCCTTCACGGCCCCCGCCCCTGCCCCCGCCGGGCCCTTCCTGCACTACTTGAACCCCGCGCCCTTTGGCGTGAGCCCTCCACGCCTGCGCCCCTTCCTGGCCGCGGCGCCGGGGCCGCCCGCCTCCAGCGCCGCAGTCTGGAAAAAGAGCCAAGGTGAGTGTGGGAACAGGGCCGCCTGAAGGGTGAACTGGGCTCACGCAGACTTTTGACCTTGACCCGCCCGTTTACCTCAGGTGCCGGCGGCAGCCCTCGAAGACCCCAGGGCGGCTCCGACGCGCCCTCAGGTGCGTGCAGGTGACCACCAGGGACGGGTGGAGGGGACGTTTGTCCTGCGCCCTGCCAGGCCCAGGGGATGCTGGGAGGCAGCGTTGCCCATCCCTTCCCAGGTGGCCAGAACCGCTACTTACGAAATACAAGAGTTTGCCTTAAACGTTATTGGCCCCCCGAGCCTTCATCTGCGCCGGCGTTTCCGTGTAAAACCCGCGCCCGGTTCACGAGCCCTTCCCCCTGCGGTGGCTCCAGGGGTAGGAGTGGGGGGTTCGGACACGTCAGGGTCTAGGGCCCCAGTTTCGGAGGGATGGGACGCGATCCGGGGAAGTGGATCGGCCAGACCAGACCCGCCCGGTGCACGGGAGCCGATGGGGAGGCGGCGGGGAGAGGTCCGACCCGCACTCGCCCTCGTCCACCGCCCTTGGGGGCGGAAGGGCCCTCGGCCCGGGACTGACGGGGCCCCGCCTGCCCGCAGGGCACGCGGCCCCCAGACGCATCGTGTGGGAGCACACGCGCGGCCGCTACTCGTGCATGCAGTGCGCCTTCTCCACCGCCTCGCGGCCCGCCATGACCCTGCACCTGGAGGACCACCGCCCCTTCGCCCCCGCGGCCCCGGCGCCCGGGCAGCCGCGTCCCGACGCGCCGCCGGGTAAGGCCGAGGAGCGCGCGGGTGGGGAGGGCGGGGGCCCCGAGGCTCGGGCGCCCCCTCCCCTGCCCCACCCAGACCCGGCCCCGCTGGCACCCAAGGTGTCTCCGCTGCTGTCAGAGGGGGAATGTCCGGTTTTCTCGCCGTTCTGAACCCGGCCTTGGGGGGGGGGGTGGCGCTGAACTGTGGGGTGTGGTGTGGGTAGTTTTGTAATTTTAATGAGGCCTAAGTGCAGAGGGTCGGGGGACAATAAAAGAAACGCGATGAGCTAGCCTGTGCTGTGTCTGGGTCCCTTGCCTCTCCCAGTGCACAGTCTGGCAGCGCTGGGGTGCTCACACCTTGGGAGGGGACAAGCTTCCCCTCAGCCTCAACACTGGGACCCGGGTCAGTGCGACCCTATCTAGCGGCAGTTGGGACTGCTATTGCCCTGTCTTGTCCCACCATTTCCAGAAACCAAAGGGGAAGGAAATCCCACTGTTATTTGAAAAGTCCCAGGAATCAGTCTGGGAGGCTGGGCCTGGCCTGGCTGGAACCCGCCGCCCTCCCCCAATCCTGAGGCTGGTGTGGACCCACAGGTGACAGGGCCCCGGGGCTGGCACTCAGGCAGGCTAGGGGTTCAGGTTTTGTCTTGGTTGCTGTCCTCGGGACCGTCTCCTATGGCTACTGGCTTCCACTGCTCCCCCTACTCCAGCTCCAAAAAGAAAGGTGGGTCACAGCCAGCCCCTGCGTCCGCACTCCCCCCTCCTCACCACACCCCTTTCTGCGTCTTCCAGCCACAAGGATTTCCCCTTCCTTCCTGGGAAGTCAGTCCTGGGTCCGGGGTCAAACTCTGGAGCCACGCTGCTGTTGCTGCTGTCCCAACGCTGTGGTCACCAGAACCCAGCGGGCCGAGCCTCCTGAATGTGAAAGTCCTCTGCGTTGTGGGCGGCCACCCTCAGAGGCTAGTTTTACCTCCTGCGTCCTGCTCCCTTCCAGCCCCATAGTCCCTGGGCCCAGGCGTCAGCCCTCACCCCTTCCTCAGGTACCTGAAGCAACCACCTTTCTGCCCTCGCCCCCAGCACTCTGATCCCCACCGTGATGCCTGCCGAGTACCCATCGGTGGCTCCCCACGGCTCTCTGGATGGAGCCTGTGTTCTCCTCGTAGCCCACAAGGCCCCATCTTGAACCTCCCCACGACCTCCCTCAGTACCCTCCTCTTTCTCCTCATCCTCTCCTTCCCAGGGAAATGTAGACCTTCTGGAGCAAGACCGCCCCAGCCTCCTTGCATCCCCCCAAGCTCCAGAGAGCCCCTTCAACCTCTCAGCCCGCCCGCCTGCCTTCACGGCCACCTGAGATCTCACAGTGGCCTCCGGCCTGGGATGTCCTTGACGGGGCTGCAGCCGAGACTCCGCCAGCCCAGGCCAGGTCTGCTCCACTGGCACCTCCGGCCTGGGCTGAGCTCGCATCGCTGAGCACCAGCCGTAGGGCCATGTGGGCATCGGGGAATCCTGGGGTTCCAGGGCCCTCAGCTTTCCTCCTCTCTGCCATAAGCCTTGGAACCAGGACTTTGTGACCCTGCAGAAGACTCCGCCTCCCCACATCTCAGTTTGCTAGTCCTTAGGATGGGTGCCATGATGCTTACTCTGTGGAGTCCTTGGGAAGGTTCACAGAGGGACCAGGTGAGAGGGGAGCACTCGGGAAATGTTTTTGAGTGATTCACATGCCTCTGGCCACCAAGCTCATCCTGCCTGGGACACCCCCCACCCCACCCCCAAGTAAGGACGTGAGGTGGGGTCAAGGGGCACATTTTACAGCTAGAGAAGGTGAGGGAGGGTGGGTGGTGGGGGTGAGATGACAGCCCAAATTCACTGATTCTGTGCCACTCTAGAAGCTAAGGATCGTTCTGAGCCTCACAGGGCGTGCTCTCCTTTTCCTACACCTCCAGGGACAGGGCTCGGTGTTCCCTTCCATCAAGCCCCCTCATTCAGCCACCCCCAAATCCAGGCAGGGCCCCCTACCAGTCTCTCAGGACCTTTCCAGAGTCCCAGAGCCAACATTTTGGTCCAGGCACCTACCCCCCCCAACCCCATCACCCATTTAAATCCAACAGCCTCTCCCATGGGGACAGCACTCCCCCCCCCCCCCCCCCCCCCCCCCCCCCCCCCCCCCCCCCCAGCAAGCTGAAATTCTGCCCTGAGGCCTAGGGGGCTGAGTCATGACCTGGCCTGGGCACCCTGCCCACTCCAAAAGCAACTTTTCCTTCTCTCTTCCCCTCCCAACTCCTGTCCAACCTTTGTCAGCTGGGAAATCTGCTCCCATGCCTTCCCTGGGATCCTGCAGCTGCTCCCCTCCCCCCACCCCCAAGCTGATTCCACAGATGGTCAACTCCCAAATCCCCACCTGCTGGGTCCTCCTAGGGCCCCGGCTCTGCCCAGCAGAGGGCGCCCAGGAGCGTCAGTCTGAAGGGAGAGGCAAAGTGCGAGCAGCGCACTGCTGTCTTGGCATCCACTTGTCCTGGCTGCCCCCACTGGGGGCAGGGGAGGGCGGGACACGTTGGTAAGAGGCTGCGGTTCCCTGGAAACCAGCTGGGTCCCTGCAGGTGGCTGCTGTCAGCCATGGGGGTGGCCAAGTACCCACCCACTGCCTGGCAGTTGTTGGGCACCAGCCCCATTGCCACCCCGGGAGAGGGGAAGTGAAGGCTCCTGGGCATCCATCCCGGAGCCGTGCCTCTGACGCGGACCCAAGCACCTCCATCCCAGGCTCCTGGCTCCTCCGAGCGCCCCATGGCCTCAGGACAGGGCACCCATGTGCTCAGTCCTCGACTGCTTGCACTGGGACCACGTGCAGCTTAGCCTGGCCTCTGCCACCGCGTCGATCCTTTACCCCACCCCCACCCCCGACCATAGCAGCCAGGTGCATGGCTGGAGCGTCAGCTACAGCTTCCTCCCCTCCCCCCCTCGTGTGCTCAGAACCGGTACCCCTCCCTAGCCCAGGGTTCCAGACGCTCAACCCAACAGACACCTCCCCATCCCTGAGACTCCCCAAGGTGGACCTGGGTTCACGTGTTCCCTTTGAGGTTCAGATCCTGCAGCTCCATTTGTGGAGCCTCCTGTCGGAGTTCATGGCCTGGCTGTGCGGACCAGCCCATAGCCACCGGGAGGGCTCCAAAAACAAAGGGTAGTTGGGGGAAATGCCCATTAAAGGGGGCTGTGGGAAAACAGGACTCTCGGGGTGGAGCCCTCCAAACTGCAAAATCCAGAGTGTCCACACGGAGTGGCTGGCCCCGGAGCCTCGGGAGTCCCCAGATTGTCACCAGCGTTCAGTCCTTTGACTTACCTGGATTGGACGCCTACAGTTTGTTCCTGGCCAAGAATCAATTGCTTTTTCTTCCATTCATTCATTCCCTCCCTCACCAAACACTGGGAGGGTCGGTCACCCGGAGCCCCAGGGAGGACCCACATCTCATCACCCCTGGTCTCCCAGGACTCCTGAGGGGACCCACATCTGGGAACGTGGCCTATGGTACACGTCTGCCCGTGCGCGGATGGGGATGGGCAGGCACAGAGGCTCCAGAATCCTCAAGCTGTGCTGTACCTCTTAAAAGCAAACATGAACACGGTCATTTCCGACTATGCGGCCCCGAACGGCTCCAGGTGGGAGTGCAGTGCCCTCAGGACAAACCTTCCGCGTCCTGGACATCACCTGGGACATCTAGGAACCTGAGGCTCCATCACAGACCCAGGGTAGAACCTGCACCTTAATGGGCTCTCAGGGTGACCGGTGGGCACGTTAGAATCCCTCTGGGCTCAGGCCGATCAGTCAGAATCTTCAGGAGCTCCCTTCCATCTTCTGTAAACCACTAAAGCCATTGCCGTGGATTCAAACCTGGGAATCAGGGTTCTGCGCTCTCCCAGGAGGGATGGCCTCCCCTGGTCTGTGTGCCTGACCCTAAGGAGCGCTGGCTTTGCCCACTCCCTTCACCCCCTCTGCCCTGGTCTCCCCGCGGTCTCCCACTTTCTTCCCACCCTCTTCCGGACACCTAAGCTGTCCTCAGACGCCCTCCCTCCCCAGCAGGCAAGGTCCTAGATACTACCCACCCCCCCACCAAATCTGCCATCCGTGCCAGGCCCTCTGTCACCATGGCCGTCCACGGCCCATGTGACATCTGGCCCAACAATTAGGGAAGTCCTGCTCAGAGCTGAGAATCCGTGGGGAAGTGTGGAAATGAGGCAGGCAGATGAGGCAACGAGCCAGCAGAAGGACCTCACCCTTCAAGCTCCCCCAACTCCTGAGGCTCCTGGCCCAGAGCTGACCACACCCCTTGCCCACAGAGAACTCGCCCTCCTGAGGTGTCCTCCCTGTAGACCAGAAGCCAGCCAGCCCCCCCAGAACCAGAGTCAAGAAACTAGTAGTGACCATGTTGGGCATGTGCTGACGGCCGATGCCCGAAGCATGGAGACATGGGAGCAGGCAGGACGGGAACTCAAGGGCCAGACAGGATCTGGGGACAGGCAGGGGCTGTCTCCGCCTCCTCTCCTTCCTCCTCTGCCCTCCTCACCCCGCCATCAGCCCCCACCCCAGTGGGGCCCGTGGAGCAGAAGCCACAGTCACTTCCTGAAGGCAGCGGCCCAGCTCAGGTCCCACTCGCCCTGTGGCTCATCACCCGCCTGTAGCCATGGTGAGTGAACCCCCAACCTTAGGAGAGACCTTCCTTAACTGACCACAGGCAAGGGGTGCTGCGGTTGGAGACCGGAGGGCATATTCCAAGAGGTGAGTGGTAGAGGGGCTAGGAAAGCTGCCCAGGTAAACGGCAATGACCATCGCAAAGGCCCAGAGGCGGGAAGCAGCCAGGATTCACCGCTGGGACAGCCAAGGGGCCCAGGCTGCGGTTTCAACTTTAACGGGAGGCACAGGTCAGACGGCCCGGAATACTCTCCTCCCAGGTCAGCGTGAATAGCAGCCTGGTAACAGGAGGCCAGGGTGAACACAGGTGCTTCCTGTGCGTGACACGGTGGCTCATGTACCCGCTGCCCACCCCGCACCCCAGCAGCCCCCCAAAGTATGACCTGCTGACACTGATTTCTCTGGCCTGCAGCCCACCCTGGAGTCTGTGACCCCACCCACCCGGAGGGGGACTTTCATAGAGCTATTTCAGGCCCCAGGCGGGCATCACGGCCTTTCCTCATTCTCAGGATGGGGAAAGTGAGGCACAGACAAGAGCAAAGTCCACACGGTTCTGCCCTTGCCCCAACTCCCCGATCTCCTAGGCCCCAGGTGAAGGCAGGCCTGGGGGCCTGCCGCAGGGCCACCTCGGGTCAGAGCCGGCCTGGCCTCCTTGTGCACCCGCCTAGGTCTGTGACAGCACAGGGTGGGTCAGGACGGTGCCTGGGACAGACCAGGTGTGCCACGGAAGGTGCCTGAGCCGCTGCTTGGGCCGGCCTGCCGGCTCTCGTGGGCACTGTCAACTGTGAGTGCCCTGACTGTCAGCAAAGGGCGTCCGGGACTGTGACCCGCAGCGCCCATCTGCCTCCAGGTCTCTGTGTCTCTCTGCCTCTTTCTTCATGAGTCTCTGACAGTCAGACTGGACATGGCTGCGTATACGCCTTTGTGTGTATTTTTATCTACTGAGCTCCTACAGCGTGCCAGGCGCTGGGGACAGCAATGAATGAGCCTAGTCCCTGACCTGCTGCAGGGTCTGGGGAGGGTAGAGAGAACAAACAGAACAGTCAAGGCACTTTGTGAAACAATGTAAAATAAACTGTATGTACTTAGCGGCAGGAACTAAAAGTAACAGGCAGGGTGGGGGAGTGGAGAGCACCGACTGGGAAGGGGGAATCGATTTTTTTTAAACAAGGGTGGTCTAGGAGGAAGGCCTCTCTAATGAGGAAATATCAGAGATGTGGTGCCTGGGTGGCTCAGTCGGGCGAGCATCCAACTTCCGTGTGTGAGTTCGAGCCCCGCATCGGGCTCTCTGCTGTCAGCACAGCGCCTGCTTCAGATCCTCTGTCCCCTCTCCCTCTGCCCTTTCTCTCCCTCAAATATAAACATTTCTAAGAAAAGAAAAGAAAACGTCACGAGCAGAGACCTGGTGGTGGAAGAGGCAAGAAGCAGGCCATGGGGAGAAGTGTCAGCAGCAAGGGGGCAGGACAAGGGCCCACGATACTGGGGGGGAAGACGGGGGAGAGGGGGGAGAGGAGGAGGCCAGGCGAGGAAGTTATCTGGGTAGGGGAGGCTGATGGATGGTTTAGGGCCTTCATGAGGTCTTTGGCTTTAACCACGGGGAAATAAAGGAACAGTGCTGGATTTTGAGCAGAGGGGCTTCCTCTGGCTGCTGTGGGGGAAGGGCCAAAGATAAGGCTGGGGGGCGGGGGGTGGGAGACCTAGGAGGGGAGCCTGGGTTCCTCCAGCCCCCGAGGCAGTGGTATCGGCAGTGCAGAGTAGCTGGGTTCCCATGTATTCTGAAATTACAACAGAAGGTACTAGGAACGAAGTATCTCAAGGCACCACCAAGTGAGGGGAGGACTGGGGGAGCAGCCGGGGAGCAGCAGGAGCCTGGGGGAGCCTAGGCAGTCCCTCAGTGGCCAGGGCTCTGGGGAGCCTGGAGACAAATGTGGGAGTCCTCGGCCAACAGCAGGGAGAGCCGAGGACAAAGGGGAAGAGAAGTTAGCAGAAGAGCCCTTGTGCGAGTCCCTGCCTGACCGGCTGCATGTCCCTTAGGGGAGCCATCAGGACTTCCGGAGACTTCAAGCAAAGTTCCAGGCCTCTCAGCTCGAGCCCAGTGAACTCCCCAAAAAACCCCCGAAGCCTGAGTTCAACAAACTCCTAAAGAAGCTTCCAACAGCTGAGCTAAGCGAGCACCCCAGGAAGCCCCCGCAGCCCGAATTCAATGCAGGGCCCAAAAAGCCCCCACAGCCCGAGTTCAATGCAGGGCCCAAGAAGCCCCCGCAGCCCAGCGTCACCGATCTGCCCAGGAAGCCCACCAAACCCGAGTTTGGTGAACTGTCCAAGAAGTTCCCACAGCTCGGGGCCCCGCCAAAGGCCTCACGGCCTGAGCCTGGCAGCCCTGCCCAGCCCCCACCGGAGCCCAAATCCAGCGCCTTCCCCAAAAAGCTAGAGCAGGCTGAGCCCAATGAGGCCACCCCAGACCCCTCACAGCCCGACTTCAGAACCCTCCTCAAGCCCCCACAGCCTCAGGTCGGTGACCGCCCTAGGAAGTGCCTGCTACAGTCTCAGGTCGGTGAGGTCCCTCAGACACCCCCCTGGAAGGCGGAGTCCAGTGAGCCCCACCCCCACCCCTCAAAGCCTGACTTCAGTACCCTCTCCAAGAAGCCCCCGCAGCCTGAGTTCAGTGGTCACCCCAGAAAGCCCCCGCAGCCACAGGTCGGTGACCCTAAGAAGTGCCTGCTGCAACCTGAGCTCAGTGAGGTCCCTCAGACACCCGCCTGGAAGGCTGAGTCCAGTGAGCCCCACCCACAGCCCTCACAGCCCGATTTCAGCACACTTCCCAAAAAGACCCCAGCCCCTCAGCTGAGTGACCTCCCCAAGAAGCTCCTGCGCCCTGACTTTGGTGACCTTGACCTCACCAGGAGGTCCTCAGAGCCTGAAGTCAGCGTGGTCCCCAAGAGGCCAAAGCAGTCTGAATCCAAAGCCCCCTCCAAGAAGCCCCTGCAGCTCGAGCTGGGGGACCTCCCCAGGGTGTCCTCAGAGCCCGAGTTCGGCCTACTCCCCAGCAAGTTCCTGCAGCCCGAGTGCCAGCGGCCGCCCCGCAAGTTCTCACAGCCTGAGCCCAGCACTCTGCCCAAGAAGCACCTGCACCCGGAGTTCTTCGGTGACCTTCCGAGAAAGCCCCCGCTCCCCGGCTCCGTTTCCGAGAGCTCCCTCCCCACTGCTGTCGCAGGCTGCAGCCCCAGGCTCCCACTCAGTGCTCACACTGGGCGGCCGAGGCTGGGCCTCAAACCAGGCCACCCACCCCGGCGGAGGCCTCTGCCCTCTGTTGGCAGCCTGGGACCCCCTCCGGCCAAGCCCCCACTGCCCCCCGGCCCCAGGGATGTTCAGAGCTTCCGGAGAGCCGCAGCTGCAGCCACAGGTGGGTCCCGGCGGCCCAGGCAGAAAGCTGGGGAGGGAAGAGGCTCCCGGCCAGGGCCTGCCTCCCTCCCCCTCTCTTCCCTCCACAGCTCTGAGGAGGGCTCGATCTGCTACTGCGATCCACTTCCAGGCGCGACAGACTTTTAAAGACATCCCACAGTGAGTGTGCAGAGTAAGCCGCCTGGGCACAGACCCAGGGCTGAAAGAGACCCTGATCTCAGGTATCTCTGCAGGGACCAGGAGGAGATCTATGAGCTGTATGACGACGTGGAGCCCCCAGACAACCCCAGCCCCAGCCGCAAGGGCACAGGTTTGTTGGTGGCGGGGCTGAGCCCTGGGCCAGACCATCTGCCCGGCCACCTGGGGACCATTCGCTGCAAGGCCATATGTTTTGCCATGTGCTGGCCTGAAGCCAAGGGACAATCCGTCTCCCTGGCAACGCGGGGGGAGAAAGCAGAGGGCAGGGACGGCCTTTCAGAAAGGCCAAACCAGCCTTGGATGGGCGCAACAGCCAGCAAGCATGGTGTGGCCAGGAGTGCGGCCCCGGGTGGTGGCAGGTGTGAGTCGTGGAAGCCTGAGAACAAGGACTTCGTGGTGTGTGAGCCACCAAGGGAGTGAGAGCGAGCTCATGACACAGGGGAGGCCCAAGTTTTGAGCCAAACGCCTGGGTGTGGAGTGCAGGCACCTGGAGTTGGGGACAGGGGGTCAGACTCCACGACAGACCTGTTGTGTTGCAGGTGTTTGCTGACAAGTCCAGGCAGGACTTGGGCCTGAACTTGGGCGTGGGCTGGAGAGACGCCTGAGCCCGTGGTCCTAGATATTCTGCGCTCTGGGGTTCCAAAGGGCCCTCTCCCTTCTTGCAAGTCTCGGCTCCTGGGGAGCAGGATAACGGCGGAGCCAACCTGCGTGCAGGGTTAATGCCTTCACCGATTCGAGTGAGGGGGGAAAAAGTGGCTCCCATGTTACACGCAGTCACCGACACGCACACCCTCCCATCCCGCCCCCAAGGCGACACAGGTGTGGAAGCCTGGCCCCAGGAAGCAGCTTGCCCCAGCTCACACTGCCCCCAGGTCCCATCTGTGAAAGGGCTTCCACAGGAGAACTTATTAGGGGTGCCTTGGGGATGTACCAGCTTCCTCCCCACCAGCGCCCGCACCAGGCCTGATGCCTCCGCCACTCTGTCCCGAGCCCCTTGTGCTTCTCCGTGGCTTTCCCCAGGGGTCGCTTGCAACACCCTGTGTTAGCAGAGCTTCCTGCCGGGGCCCCTCCTGCTTCCGCTCTAGTGAGGCTCCCGTGGCTGGGGTGTGGGGGCCACTCTTCGAGACGGGGACATGGGGAGAGAGGGAGTGGCCGTGGCCACTTCCCAGCAGCCTTGCAGGCACGGCCCACACCTCTGCTCACCATCGCGGCCAGTGGACAAGCGTCTCCCTGTTCCCTGTCAGTCGTTCTTCAAAATTCCAATCAAATATTCTTCCCAAATCGCTCCCTTCCCAGACACCGTATGGGGCCTCGCTGTCAGTATGGACTGTCCCGAAGGCTACGTGGCCTTTGCAAGTCTAGCCCGCCGCTGCCTCTCTCTGGAGGGGTAGTGGGCCTTTAGTGGTTCCTCGAAGGGCGGAGTCTTCCCTGGAAGGGGCTGGGGCCAGACCCAGCTCTTTCCTGGAATCTGAAAGGGCCACTTGCAGGACCCACCTTCCTTGTGGCCTGATTCGGGTCCCACGGCCAGGGGCGTGCTCTACAATGTGGTGGGGGCCCCGGAGTGCCTCTGGGGGAAGTGGGAGCGGCTGGAGGAGGTGTCCTGGGTGAGACCATGGGTGGCAGCATCACCTGAAAAGCTGGGGGCTTCAGGTTCTGGACCCTTCACTCAGCTGGTACTCATGGGGCTCCTGCTATGAGCCCACCCCTTAGTCAGCAGGCTCCTGCCTGGAAGGCTAATAGTTTGCCCGGAAGTCAGGCCCCACCTGGGAGACCTTCACAGTAGTCTCGGCAGCAGCGAGGCCAGTGCAAGGACCCCACCCCACGAGCCCCTCCGCAGACACCCACTTCTTCTGCCCAAAGATATGCTGTCACCTTATTTTTGACCCAGATCCCCAGAAAGCAACCTACTCCAGGAGACAGACATGACATGGCCTCCAAAGCCCACAGATAAGTCCTCCCTCAACCACTGACCAGCCGGAAGGCCTGGGAGCAGACTGCGTTAGCACTCTGAGCCTCTATTTCCCTCGTCGGCAAGCTGGGAACGACAGGACTGCCTGCTCCAATGCGGAAGGTCGTTACTGTGGTGAACAGTTCCGGCCTTGCCAGCCATGCAGGAGTTAAGAAAATGACAGGCAATGCACTAGAACTCCCAACCCAGGAGAAAGGCCGAGGAGAAGACAGACTGGCGGGCAGGGTGGCTGGGAGGGGACTGAGGTCCTGAGAATGGACACAGGCAAGTTGGAGAGGGAGACTGAGCCCTAACCCCGCCGTTCTCACTGCTCCCAGATGGAGTGCCATCTACCCAGCAGCCCCCCAGGCCCCAAGACCCAGAGCTCAGGTACCACAGGGCCAAGGGTGTGGGACAGGGAGGGGGGCTGAGGTCTGGGAGGACATCCTGCTCAGGAGGCTCCAACTCCCCAGGAAGGAGAAGGCCCCCCAGCCACAGCAGCTGCCACCCGCAGACCTGAAGTCTCTGAAGCAGATCCGGAAGGCAGAGAAAGCGGAGAGGGAGTTCCGGAAGAAGTTCAAGGTGTGAGCACCACAACTCTGTGAACACGCGTCCCGGGAATGCTGGCAGCCCTAGCCGGCCAAAGCCCTGGGGTGACAGCACAAAACAAAAGCTCTAACATCTCCCTCCCCAGTTTGAGGGGGAGATAGTGATTCAGACAAGGATGATGATCGATCCCAACGCCAAGACGCGTCGTGGTGGTGGCAAGTACCTGGGGATCCGGCGTGGGGAGATCCTAGAGGTGATCGAGTTCACTAACAAAGAGGAGGTGCTGTGCCGGGACACCAAGGGCAAATGTAAGTCGGCCGGGCCACAAAGTCCGAGGGAACCGGGCCACCACCAGGGCCGAGAGCTCACCTACCCTGCTCTCCTTGCAGATGGCTACGTGCCCAGAACAGCTCTGCTTCCCCTGTGAGTCCTGACTGGTCCTGGGTTGGGGGGGGGGGAGGGGGGTGTCAGGGTGAGCCTTACTGACCAAACCGTGCTTTCTGCCAGGGAGACGGAGGTGTATGACGATGTTGGCTTCTAGGGTACGTAGATGCTCTGGGTGGGCTGGAAGGGACCACAGTGCCTGGAAGGAGGTAACCCCCCTAACACTCCGTTTCCCCAGGGGCTGCTATCTGCTTATGGGGAGGGGGGATCGATGGAAGTCACCCTCCCTTCCTTGGCAGACCCCCTGGAAAGCTGACCATTCCCCCAGGAACATCAGGCCCACAGGTGTGGGTGCCCAGGACAAAATGCCCTCCCAGCCACCTGCTAACCCAGGCGCCTTGGATCCCAGCATGACAGTCCCAGAGGCCCCCAGGCTCCGGCCTGACTGCATACACGAGCCACATAAAGCTCCTATTTAAAGCAATCCCTGCTTCTTGTCTTTTCTTTCTGTCCTGACTGGCACACAATGGAGACATGATCTCCATGGGGGTCTGAGAGGCTGACCCTGTACCCCCCACAGTCTCACCCATCAGGGATAAACACCAGGAGAAGTGTGGCAAGGCGGTGGCGGCAAGGGCAGGACAGCACATCCACACAGGCTGCAAAAAGCTGTCTAGCCCAGGTGGACCTATGCGTGAGGCCACATCCTGGGGGACGGGAGGAGGGGTGACCCAGTTCTGACAGAGCCCCGGTATCACTCAGCCTGAGCTGCGAAAGGACCAAACATGCTCAGAAACTCACACCCTGCCTGGTCTGTTGTAGCAAAATGCTGCCTTGGACTGAATATATTTGCGCCACCCCACCCCCCCACCCCAAATTCCCGTGTTGAAAGCCTAATGCCCAATGTGATGGTATTTGGGGGGCGGGGCGGGAATGGAATTAGTGTCTTCACAAGAGGACTGACAAGGGTCTTCTGCCCCTTCCCAGCAAGTTGAGACCACACCTAGGAAGTGCCATCTAGGAACCACGACCAGGTCCCCTCACCAGTCATGGAATCCGCGAGTGTCTGGACCTTAGACTTCCCAGCCTCCAGGACCGTGGGAAATAAACGTCTGGTTTTAAGCTGCCTGCGTATGGTACCTGTCACAGCCCCCGAAGCAGTCTAGACAGAAGCCAACTGGAAATGGGCCTGACGCAATGTCTGTGCCAAGAGAAACTGTACAGGAGGGGACGAGGGTGGCGGCTTTCAGAACCGCTAACATCCAAGCACTTCGTTACCAGCACTGAAGAATTCAAGTCCACTCAGGACTGTTTCCAGAAGGAGTTCTGACGTGGCCAGAGCCCGTGTCCTCCCACCCACGGGGTCCACACACAAAGCAAAAATGGGGATGTGACCCCCAGTGGTCAGAGCTCCAAGGGTAGAAAGAAGACTGGCTCTAGCTCCCCCAACCTCAGGTGGAGGCCCCACAACACACACGCAAACAGCCAGCGTCTTTTCAGGAACCGGTATTTATTATCAAAGTCATATTCGATGTCAACAAGATGCCACAACTACAAAAAAAATTGCGCACGTTGCAATCTCAATGCAAACAGTCAAATGGAACCCCAGTCATTAAAAAAGTAATTCAAATTACCCCAAAAAGCAACTGAATTTTTTAAACATCTTTATACATCCAGCCAACAAATTAAAATGGTTAACAAGAAAAAATACAAATTCAGAGGTCTGGTATCGATGTTTAAAAAAGGCAACTGCTTAAGCATTTCTGTCAATTCGAACATCAATCTCTCGGCCACTCAGCTTCATCCCATTCATCATCCGGCAGGCCCTCTCAGCCACCTCTGGCGACTCAAACTTAACCACACCGCACCCCTTGGACTTCCCGTTCTCCATCTTGATGTCGGCATACAGCACGTGGCCTGGGCACAGGGAGGGAAGAAGAGACCACAACTCATCAGGCAAACCCAGAGCTCAGCCTTGGTCTGGGCTCCACTCAGTCCACATCACCTGTTGGATTTCGGTGGACAGAGTCAAAAGGGAGAGCGGCCCTGGCACGCCGAGTATGCAGAACACAGCGGCCGCAACCCAGAGATTACGGGCCTCGAGTCATACCGCCATTCTTTTCTGCCAACGGGACAGAGATCAGACCAGACCCGTGCTAAGCCTTCCTGGCAGCTTCAAACGTGCACCCCTTGACACTCGAGGAAGTTAAAAAGGGTGCTGTGTGAAGCCAACCTTATGGGCAAATTCTGCAAAGGCTTGGTCCTCAAGACCCACCACGTTTGTAAGCCCTTTGTGATACAACGGACACTTCTGTACTGTTCAGATGGAAGCTGCATCCTAATTAGAAGTGGGTTTCACGTATTTATTCAAGCGCTGATTAAGCATCCAGGTATGTGTCAAGCACCAGAAAAAAAGGCTGTAAGAGGGAGGAGCCAAGGACATGACCGTGGAGCCTGTGCTAAGGGGCCCACGTTTCTAGAGCCATTAACTCAGCCTGAGGGAAGGCCCACATCTCCAGGGCTTCTTACCAGAAAGTTCTGAAGGTCCTTCACCAGAAGGGAGACTGGCTATAACACTCGGAACAAAGCACTTGTGGAAAATGGCACTTGCAACTCGGGTTCAGGGACGGGAAGCAGAGGAGAAAGGAGGGATGAAGCTTCCAAGGGGCTGGAGAGTGTCTCTCCCGGTAGCTGCGGGTCCCTCCAGGCCTCAGGCAGGGGAGCGGCAGGACCTGATCTGACTTCTCAGACTACCACCGACTACTATGACTACAATGTGGAAGCAGTGGAAGCCGAGGGGCCAGGGAGGGGGCAGGAAGGCACGCTATGGCTCAACAGCCGCCCCAAGGGAAGAGCCAGGAGAGGCGGCAAAGTGGTGCAATGGGAGCCAACAGTGAAACAGGAAATGAGTAAAATCACTAAGGAAGCCTTGACCCAGCAAACCGACCAGACTCCTGGCTTCAGCCTGGGGCTCCCACTTGACAGGGTTAAAAGAACACAGGTGATGTGAGGGAGGGGCAGGGGTGCACCCGGTGACCATTTCACTTCCTTTTGCCCACAAAGTGAGCCTCTGAGAACGGTGGCCCGGTGTGCCAGGAAACCAGCGGCCCCAGGCCGCACGCACGCACACCCTCACCCCCGGGGACTCCTGGGCGAGCGCTCGGAGGCATGACCCAATAGGCCCGTGGTAGAAAGCAACCTCATCTTAGATCAGTATTGGTCTTACTCTCAGCTTTGTCACTCAGAAGCCATGTGACTTTGGGAACGTGACTGCCTGACTCATCTGTAAAATGGGGACATCACCTCCTTTCAGAAACCATAGAAGAACGAGGCTGAAGTGAGAATACAGGTGAGAAGTGTCTGACACATAAGAGGAAACCCAACAAGCGGCCTGAGTATCCGCACAGGCAGAAAAATGGCAAGTCCCATCAGTCCGCGAGTCAGGGCAAGTGGCAGTGAAAACCGGGATGGGAACTTGGCTGCGCCCCTCAGATGCACTACTAACAAGCTAAGACTTCTGAGGCCAAAACACACGGAAGCACCTAGAAAGCCTTTTCTCAAACACTTACCACATTCGTTGAATTTGTCTTTTAGCATCTTCCAGGTAAAATCAAACGGGAGCTAGAGGGAAAAGGAGAAACTGATGAGTTTCCAAATCCAAACCCCCTAACGCGTCAACTTCAGGGTTGGGGGGCGGGGGGAGACAACACTTCTTGTTACACCAAGAAACCAGCTGCCCTTCAAACTGAGATGATCAGCAGAGAACAAAACAAGCCTGCCTGGAATGAGGTTCTAAACCAACACACCAAGTACACCCCCTTGTTCAACGTGCAGAGAATGCGGTCGCCTATGGTGAGCTGCCCACAGACCACTCGACAGCAGCGCAAGGTGGTCAATCTGGTAGAAAGAGATCAGATACAGCCCTTTACCCCTGGGTCTGCTGTGCTCAGGTACAGTCGCTCTTCAAGCCAAAGGAATCAAGAAGCTAGGGTTCCAGAGCTCACGGTCACTTCCACCTAGCAGTCCGAGAAGCCCCGGCGCGTGCTGCACACGTATCGCATGCTCTCACGTTCTCTCCTTATCCTACCAGCACCACACTGGGGGGCTTTCTGTGCTGCTCCTGCGCTCCCCTACTAGGAACACCACCTCCAGCTTAGACCTGTCCCCCTCCTCCCTCTGTGCATACTACCAGCAAGTATGGGCTGAAGGGCCACTTACATTTCTCACAAATATCTGGCAGGCCTTCCTGGCCACCCCGGGAGCGTGGCCTCCAGCTCCGCCAAAGGAACCTGCGAAGCTTCCTCCAAAGTTGCCACGCTCCATCTCGATGGCGCGGTCAAAGCTGGCACCGCCACCGCCACCCATGGCTAGGCCCATGCGCTCAATGCCAGCGCCTAGGGCTGGACCCATGGCAGGACCCATGCGCTCCAGGCTGTTGGCGCCCATGCGCTCCAGGCCCATGCGCTCGAGACTGTTGGCGCCCATTCGCTCCAGGCCCATGCGCTCCAGGTTGTTGGCGCCCATGCGCTCCAGGCCGGTGGCCATGCGATCCATCACGGGGCCCATGCGCTCCAGGCCAGCCCCCATGCCTGCGGGCACCATGCGCTCCATGCTCAGGCCCATGCGCTCGATGGCAGGGCCCATACGCTCCACACCAGAGCCCATGCGCTCAATGGTCTGGCCCACGCGGTCGATGGGCGCGGCCATGCGCTCGAGGCCAAAGCCCATGCCGGCACCCATGCGCTCCACTCCAGAGCCGATGCGTTCCATGGTCTGGCCCATGCGCTCGATGCTGGAGGCCATGTGGTCGAGGCCCAGCGGGCCCATACGCTCGATGCCAGAGCCCATGCGCTCGACTGAGCCCATGCGGTCCATGACCAGGCCCATGCGCTCGATTTCGGAGCCCACGCGATCCATGCCATGGCCCAGGCCTGCGCCCATGCGCTCCATGCCGGCACCCCCAATGCGGTCAATGCCAGGGCCCATCCTCTCGATCCCAGGGACACTGCCTCCACCTCCACCTGAAACAGGGACACAAAACACAGGCAAATATCAGTGACTTGCACACTATGTGAGCACCATGCCAGAAAGATGACCAGGGTACAGGGACCTAGGCACTTAATCAGAAATTAAGTCCCACAACAATTTATCATTAGACATCTCTCAAATGTCGACAATTGCTAAGGCAGCATAGTGAGGACACCATTCTTCCTATTTCTGTGCCACAGCTGAAATTTCCATTATACAATTTTAAAAGAGGAAAAAATCTACCCAGGAGGCCTCGTGTCAACAATGTTCTCCATGTTACTTTGGAAGTTCCAGAACTTGTAAACTAGTTCTGTAAGCTGTAGGTGTCAATTTCAGAGAATCTGAGGTCTTCCCACCACCAGACACTGAGAAATGCTCTAAAGGGAGGAACCTCCAAAACTCCACACTCAGTCAGTGCAACGTGTTTACTTGGATCTTACGGGACAATTCACATCCCTCACAACCTGAGCCTCTCCCAGTCTGTCCTCCTCCCAGATGCACTGTCGGTGGCCAGTCTGGCTGCATTTCCTTAGCACCGCTAGGCACAAAGCAGCCAGTATACAGCCAGGTAATTACGAAGAGATAAAGAAAACGAACACTAATATAGATCCTCTATGTCCAGACAGCCACTTCCAGGGAACCTTAGTCTGTGGGGAAAACCACTGCATGACTCGTGTGTAACTACTCTGCTGGCTTTGAAGAAGAGAGGTCGATGGCACTGCAGAGTGGACTCTAGACGAGGCCTACGACCGTTCTCAGCGCCATGGTTCAGCTGGACACGTGGCGGCAGGTCAGCAGTGCACTGACCCAGCGACGGCTGGTAACTCTGGACAAGGAGGGTGTGGCTCCCCCACCAAGGCCCCTGCCCACCACTTTTCCACATGTGGAGCCTAAGGATCTCTCTCACTTCACCACCACCACCACCACCTGCCTCTGATCAAGGGCAGCTAAGCCCACAGCCAGCCCACTGCTGATCCAAGCAGCCCAGGGCAAGATGTAAATTCAAGAGGAAACTCCAAGTTTCTAGAAGTGAGTCTCTAATGAACGGAGTGACCTCACACATCACTCCACTTCTCTGCCCATTTCCTTAATTGAATAACCGCACACCATTTGGCAAAATATAAACACAATTAAGAATATTGATTTCCAAAGCAGAAATTAAGCTACTTTTTAAAAAAAGAAATAGAAACGGTAGGCAGCATGCTCAAGAATACCAGAAATCAGGCTGACCCCCCGATGCCAACAGTAGCAGAGAACTAGGAAAAAACGGTGCCCACATGGAGTTCTAGAATCAGCACACCACAGAAATAACCAGCAAGTGGAGTTACCAAGGAAATGGCAAGACACTCAGAGCCATGGGCGGGGGAAATCAAGCTGAAAAAGTACATTTAGTTTTAAGTACCCATTAAAAAAAAAAAGCGTATTAATGGAAGTATATGTTCCAAAATCTTTACAATATTCATCACAGGGCAGTGAAATTGCAGAGATCTACTTTCTTTATAATTTTCTGAATCTTTAGGAGTACATATAAATACTTCAGTAAGTATTTATTAGGTATGGAAGTAGTATACTTTATACTTTTATAATTATTTAGTTTTAGGAATTTATAATTTTATAGTATTTAAAACAAAGCTCCCCAATCACGCAGACATTTATAATGGCAATGGCTAATGCTTATATAGCACTTAGTAGGTACTCTTTTCTATGCATTAATTCATTTACTCTGCACAACGACCCTATGAGGTAGGTACCATTATATTTCCATTTTATAGTACAGAAAACAGAGAGGTTCAGTAACTTGCCAAATGTCACACAGCTAGGAAGAGACAGAGCTGGTTCCCGCCCAGACAGTCTATTTTAGAGCCCATGTTTTCACTACTACACTCTACTATCCCCGTTAATAACAGCCTATTCTAAAAATCAAAACATCAAAACTAAGCGTTTCCTACCTCCTCCCTGCTTTGCAATGATCTCTCCTCTCTTCAGGGCATTACTTAGGATTTCTAAGGAAATCAGGAAGAAAAAAAAATTAGCCAAATTTCTCTATGGTAACAGAAATTTGTTTATTACAGATTCCAGAATAAGAATATTACTAATTTAAAAATAAAACAAGGGAAAGGGAAAGGGGTTAAGAAATACACACACAGAGACAAGACTATTTTACTGGAAAACTGTTAAAGAGTCCTTGCTGATGGGTCATGATATTAGGATCCCATGTAGCTCCAGAGTCTGAGGCCCAGTTGGCAACACCACCTGGGAATGCGTCCAGCAGAGCTAAGTGAGAGCTAGTGTGCGCCAGTGAACTGAACTGAGAAAGTCAGAGCAAGAATGAGGCCAGCAGCAGTCTTCTAAAGTGGTCCAGACCCTCCGTACTCACACTGATGCCTGCACTCATCCTCCCAGATCCAATGCACATCTCATGGTTATCCTTCAGAGCACACTCAAGCTGTGGTTACTTACACTCACTGCCGAAGCCCTGAAAAGCAGCAACACCTGACGCAGCACTGAAGTGTGACCTCCTTAACAGGCTGCGTAGACTGAGGCAAGCTGAGTCCACCAGCCCCGACCAGAAGGAACTGCGTGTGATGGTTGACAGGCAATGCTTCAGGAAAATAAAAACTCAACACATCCAAAACTCATCCAACACCTTGTCCAAAGAAGAAAACATTGTTGCTTGCCTGCCAACAATTCACCTGAGTCTCTTCAAAGTTTGTCTGCACATATCATTTTAGGACCATGACCACAGAGATTAACCCTAAGCCCACAGGTGTTTCTGCTGCTGCCTGCTAAAGGAAGGACATGGGGAAGCAAACGAAGAAACAACACACCTCCAGCCTGCAAGCACGTACAGGGCTCACTCACTCTTCCTTGACCCCTGTGATCCTGCTCAGACCAGCCTACGTTCACTTTCCGAAAATGGCACTTAGACCAAACTATTCCTGTAAAAGTGTCACTATCAGCCCACCACTGATTTAAATAGAAAGGAAAAACTCTTTCATGGGCAAAGACCTCCCTGCTCCAATTATGAACTTGAATCTGTTCTCTCCAGCCTGGGTAGACCTTCACCTCCAAGCCTCTGCACCAGCGCGCTCTTCATCTGCCAGCAGACCCTCCACCTACGCTGAACTGACACCTAGCCCCTCCAGCTTTAACTACATCTCCTGCACGGTCTTCCTGTACTCCTGCTTGGATCCCATGTTCTCTGAGCAGAACACCATCAAGGGCAGTGCTTTTTCAAATCTTAACACAGAGAGAAAATGATCACCTTTGTGTGATGCTCACATGGCTGCCGAGGGCCAAGGAATCCACGTTTCCTTTCCACTGGCTCCCTCACTAGGCCTCTTCCACGGAGGGGCCTCTGCTGCTAACACCCTGAGCCACTGAGCATCGTCTCCGCAGCTGTACCACCTCCTTCAAGATCAACCACCACATCCCTATATTCCTGTACCATCAAGTACAATGGCCTGCAGAAACCAGGGCAAATACCGCCTTCATAGGAGAGAAAGGACAATGAATGGGGAGGCAGTACAGAAAATACCACCGAAATGATTCTACTTTCAAGTGGAGGAAAAAAAAAATCAAGAAGTGAATATAAAAAACAAAACAAAAAATCCAGGCCAACTAGCCGGAAAACCCAACTTAAACTTATTTGGCACAAAGACCCTTTTACTAAATTGGGTCTGATCACAAGGAGCACCAGAAATTCCAGAACAAAGCCCTTTGCTCCTGCCAGAGTCGCTTTGGGAGGCCTCAGGGCAGAGAGACAAGCTAGTCTCAATCAGAGAAGATGAGCAGCAGGAGACAGCAAGGCCGACAGACATTTCTAGTCAGGTCAGGACAGGAAGAATTCCCCGCTGCCATGAGAAAGACTGGCCTCACCACACCCAGCTCTTGCAGCACTGCATGGGGAGCCAGGGCTGCCCGCCTCGTCGTGGAGGGGAGGGGCACCACTGAATGGCAGAGGATTAAAGGCTCAGGGCAGGAAAAAGTGCCTCTGGGAGCAAAGCCATCTTGTTCTTCTCACCCTCAGGACCCACAGATCCCGTCATTCGCAGCCAACTGACAGTAAGTTTTTAAAATGTGTTTTAAAATACCTGGCCATCCCAGGACACAAAAGCAAAGCCAATCATGGACAGTAAAAAAGTTTCAACTGACCTAATCACATACAGATTATGAATTCATCCCCCAAATTCTAAACTTTCGAATAATCTAGGATGAAGTTATAGACAGTCATATCAAGCATACAAGATATAAATAAATCTTCACTACCTGCCTGGAAAGACACAAGAAAAGTCCTTCCAGCACCCGACCACGCGGGGAGGGAAAAAGAGAAACAGAAGTCTGTCTCCCCAAACTCAGAGGAGAGGGAAACAGCTTCTAATTGCGTTCTCCATGAAAACAAGGAACTCACACAAAGAGGATGGGAGTCCCAGAGATAATCCACAGAAGAATCCAGTCTCACTGATGAACTGAATGGTGACTCTTTCTAGGGCCTCATAAATTCTAAGATACAGCTCATATAAACAAGACATAAAGGAGCTTAAAATCACCTAACTCAGTGGGTCCCCTAAAGACAGGCTGAGCCCTCTGAGGTGGTCACCTAGCAGCCTCATGTGGAGCATATCGATGCTCTCAAAAACAAACTTAAGGGGGCGCCTGGGTGGCTTAGTCGGTTGAGCGTCCGACTTTTGCTTAGGTCATGATCTCGCGGTTCGTGGGTTCGAGCCCCGCATCGGGCTCTGTGCTGACTGCCAGCTCAGAGCCTGGAGCCTGTTTCAGTCTGTGACTCCCTCTCTCTCTGACCCTCCCCTGCTCACGCTGTCTCTAAATAAACCATAAAAAAAAAAAGAAAAGTCAAAGCTAATATAAAAAGATGCATGGAACAAAANAAAAACAAACTTAAGAACGCAGAAATGGACAATCTCTTTGTGCCATACTAATGGGAGAATTAAGCAGACAGATTCTCAGAAATATCTAAACTCAAAACAGCGGGGAGGGGAGAGACACCCCGGACAAGGAAGGAAACTGCTTTGCAAGGCAACCAGAACTGAAATGAGCGTCTCCGCACTTGGGCCCAATGCCCCAGGCCTTCCCGTGCCGGAACATTACTCCAGGTCCCTGAGGCCTCTGGTAAAGGTGCCGGCAATCACAGCACGCCGTCCGCTAATTGGAACACCAGAGCGCCCTGGACAAGAGGACTCCCGTCCCCTCAGCAGGGCCTCTGAGGCCTCGACAGCGCTAGAGACACGGTGCTGTGTAAACGCAACAGTTTAAAACTCCCACAGCAAGCAAACACCTATGCCCACGCAGCCATCTGAAAAGACTAAAGAAAATTGGTGCTACTGATACCAACAAAGAATTCAAGGACCAAAAGTTTTTATCTAAGTCCAGAAAACAATGTTTTAAAAGATGATGGAAAGACAGCTGACTCTGCCTAAGAAAGACCCTCTGACCTGAGAGTGAGCCCCGCTCACCTGGGGCCTTCTTAGCCATGCCTCTGCCAAGGGGCTCTCCAAAGCTTCTAGACACTCCCATCTTGTTTCTGGCAAAGTCTCTCTCAAGTCTTCCACCCCAGCCACACTCCATCTCTGGGTAAGAAACTATTACCCTAGGCCTTTCCAAGAACACCGTTGTGCTTCAGCCGGAAGTAAAACAAACTGCAGGCACACAGCAGCTAGCACCAAGTCAGCACGCTTACTTTTTTACAAGAAACTATCATTCAGCCCTTATCCCTTAAAAAACTCACTTCACCTGAAGTCAAGTCCCTGAGAACGACCTACCTTCAGTCCACCAAGGACTAATTGCTGACTTTCATTACAGCTGCACAGCGGCTACAACCAGCCACTACAGCAATCGGCTGAGCGCACGCCGTGTCACAGGCAGCCAGCGGCTGCAGGCCCTCGGTGCCTTCCCAAGTGCCCTGTCCTGCCCAGGGCTTTCCACATGCCAGCAGTTCACGGAAGATTCAAATGACTTAGTAACTTGACCAAGGTCATGCGCCTGCTAGAGGAGGAGGCAAAGGCTGGAACCTAAACCCAATGCAAAACCCCAAGTTCTACTAACACAAGCACCTCCAAGTAGAATCCAGAAACAGCCCTTCAGCAGAACATGCCTTCTCTAAGAACAACTGGGGTGGTCTCCTGTACACAAGGGCGCTGGTACCTTCGTTACCTTCTCCTGTAACAGCAGGAGTTCTGTTTTTGCAATGCCTTTAAAAAAACAAAACAACAACAAAAAACCAAAGGTCTTGGGGCCCCTGGTGGCTCAGTCAGTTAAGCATCCGACTCCGGGTTTCAGCTCAGGTCATGATCCCACAGTTAGTGGGATTGAGCCCTGCATCCAGCTCTGTGCTGACAGCATGGAGACTGCTTGGGGTTTTCTCTTCCTTTCTCTCGCTCTCTCAAATAAATGTTAAAAAAATTAAAAATGAGTAATAAAAAATAAAAAAGGACGACTTAGCTTCTATGGGGAAGGCCTTGCCACAGCTGTCACCTGCTTGAGAAAGCCTTTGATGATCCCATCACTGGCTACTTCTTTCCTCAAAAACAAGACTTAAAAGTGTGTATCACAATGTGTCTCCTTCCCATACTGAGAGGGCCTTGAAAAATCTAGTTAATTCATCTTGCTCCTTAAAAAATCAGGCAAATAGATGCTAAATAATGATTGCCTTCAATTGTACAACTGCAAAAAACGGTTATATGCCACTCAAGCCCCTATACTTTCAATGAAGTAAACAAGTCTCCTGAAGACGTAGCATCATGAATTAGAAAATGCCGCACAGCATAGCACTGGTAGACTTGCTAGTCACAGTGTGAATTGACCCAACTGAATGTCACAGGTTGAGGGCATGCCATCTGCTGGAAATGTTAACTAACTTGTGTAAGCCTGAATGTGGCAGGCAGAGCAGAAATCCCAGAGCGGCACCAGAACAGACTGAAGAAGGTGGCACTCTGCCCCCTTGAGATCAGGAAGTCTAGTGCAGGCATTTAACTCGGCAATGGCCTCAGAAGTCCTCTTCCCAAACAAAAAAGAACTTATCTTTCCAACTGTCAACGGGCTGTGCCCTCCTGTGAATTCCAATGTAGTCCCCCAAAAATGAGAGTGTTTTCATTGTCAAATATGCATCAAATCATTGTTTGGCATTTGATTTTTTAATCTGTAATTCCTAAACATCCATTCTATTAGGACTTGACCTCTACTGATTAGAAATCAGAATCTCAGGACCAGTCTGGTATCAGCACCTGTGACAATAACAGATGCATTATAGTCCCCAATTAAATATTAAATTCAAAACATCTTTATCATTTTCCCCATGATTAAGTTGACTGCACTCAAATCTCAGAACATAGCTCAAGTGGAAGGAAGTCCCTGTCCTCTGCTATAGAGGATGACACGTCACGGAAGGACTACTGAGTACCTGTATCTGAGAACATCTAAGAACACTGCATCCGAACACCTCCTCCACTGTGAATGAGAATGAGCACTTTGAACCCTTTGATCATCAGGCTCAGAACCGTGACTGCTGCATTCCACCTGTCCTGTCACCAAGGACTTTGCCCACACGGTTTAGCATAGCCCCAGCTCATTTCTGTCTGCTTCTAAATCACACCACTCCTCGGAACAACCCCATCTCCTTCCTGATGGATCATCTGTTTTGAGCAAACACCTTACCAAACCGGACTCCTCCAACTCTTTATTAAACTTCCTACACACACATTATAAACCACAGGCTGGCCTGAAAGCACATCAGGAACACAGGCCTTTGTCCCTTCATTCCTACTCCTGGTAAGGACTTCCATCTTTTTTACCATCATCTAGAACAAGGTAACCCCATGAAGAAGGGCAGTTTATTCATGAGAAATACCTTTCTTTCTAGCTGGATAGTTAAGGTCTAACCTGTAGGACTCACAGTTGCTCTAATTCAATCTTCACATTAAATGATACTGCCAGTCAGGAAAGAAACATTTACATGCAGATCTTCAAGGGCCTTCCCCAGGGAAGCTTAAGTGTATAAGGGAAGCATCCTCCTCACAGGTGGGGCTAAGAGTCAACCAACCCCTAGAGAATTTGAGAGACAGACCGTGGGTTTCTCAAGGCACACTCCGCAGCCCCACTGAGGAGGGGCTGATGCCCATGCTGAAGGCAGCTCTGAAGGGCAGGATCACAGTGTGATTAAGAGCCAGGCTCTGGAGCCAGACGGCCGGGATCCATCTCCCAACATTACTAGCCATGTGACCTTAGGCAAGTCACTCTCTGGGCCTCAGTTTCTGATGAAATGGTGATAAACGTACCTACAAATCATGTGGTTCTTGCAAGGACTAAACAAAACATCCTGTTATTATGATAATTAAGATCACTGAATTTCTGTTAAGGGGATGGAAGGGCTCTAAGATTTGGAGTAACCAAAATTCTCACTATGTAAATGCTAAACTCAATCAATGTCTCTGCTCACAATTCCAAGTTACCAGAGCAGATGCTCAAGAACTGATGTAGTCCAGCACTCCAGGAGAGAGGAACTTGATCAAAAACTCCAAAGAAACTAAAACCAATCCCTCACACTTGAAGATGATTTTAAAGTGTGCAAAACGTAACCACAGATGTTTCTACAGGGATGCTGCTAGTGCTGGAGGCAATAAAAAAAACTTTAAATTTTAGTGGGCAATTATTGGGGAGGTTCAGAACACAGTTTAGTGACTAAGGGGATTAACACTTACCTACTAGAAAGTCTAGCTTCTGAAACATAAACTTGTGATTTTAAATAGGGCAATTCAAAGACATCGGACTCAGTAAGACAGGTGGAAAGGGCAAATCATTCATTAAAAACAGGCGTGCTGCCTCAAGGTCACCCAAGAGCCAACAGCCAGCAGAGGGCAGGGATAAGCAAGGAATCCGAGTCTTACCATTTATTCTGCCCATGTTCATCCCAGAGCCAAATCGACCCATGTTTTCCATACCGCCACCAAAAGGTCCCTCCATGCCTGCAAGAGATATCCACATTTGAGCACCATCCCAACGAGAGCGCTTGCACTCATCAGGAAAAGAAAGATGTTTTCACAAGTTCCACCTCGGGCATTTTCTGCCAGGGACTTCCTTACCAAGTGTAAGGACTTTGGGGGGAAAAATGCTAGTAGTGCCCTTGCCTAAAAATCACCAACTTCAAATAGCTAATCTGATCCACCCCCTCAACAGACAAGTAAAAAGAGGCCCCAAGAGATGGAGTGATTTGCCCAAGGTCACAGAGCTAGTTAGTGAGAAAGCCAGAACCAAAAGCCAAGATACCCACTAGGAAAGACTGACAGGTAAAATTAATTTCTAGGCTCAAACTTTTAGGAAACCAAAAGTGAGAATTCATGCAAGGTTTAAGGAAAAAGAAAGGAAAGGTGAAAGAAAACCATACCTAAAAGTGATTACGTTTGTACTTCATTTTAAATCTCTTACCTCCCATTTTATTTATTCCAAATCCTATGCCTTCCATTCCCATTCCTTAAAAAGAAAAAGTCAATGCAAACTAAAATTATGTCAAAGCAGTAAATAACGTTTGAACTTAAAAAACACAGGAAATTCCAAACCAGCAAATGAACATAAAATATCCGTTTATGAATATATTTTAATTGTCAAGAAAAAGGGGGAAAGGAGTTCTACCACCTCCCCTGTCACACTCACATTCCAAGAGACTAAGTCTCTAACAAAATAATAACCATGTGACTCAATATTCTGTAGGGCCCACGTGCAGTTTTAATAACCAAATCAGACCATTTTAAATGTGATATACAATTACCAGGTACAAACTGGGGAGCACTTTCTTAGAAGCTTATTTTAGGGAACCTAAGTAGGCTTAAAAATCCCTTTTAAAGATAAAATTCTCCAAATAAAAAGCAGTTCCCAAAAACACTGCGTCTTCCCTCTGTGTCACCCCAGACTTTCTTCTCAGGTGTCAATCAGGAAGTGGCCGTCAGACTGAAAGGGCCACTGGAGGTGATGGCCGAGGGCACAGAGGCCAGGCCAGAGGTTACTCCAGGAGGGAGACAAGGGACATGCAGAACTAACAAAAGCAGAGTGAAGGGGCATCCAGGCTGCCATTCAAAGGATTTCAAGAAAAATAGCCGTTAAGTCTGTGGCCATAAAAATGAAACTGTTCTTAATAGTATATAAGCACCTCGTGGCACAGAACCAAAATGCTGAACAGCAAGGTTTAAAGTATATTCTCCACAAACCTTTTATTCATTAGCCATTTATCTTCTGGAACAAAGAAGAGAACACTCAAGAGAACACCATGTCTCTGTGGCCTGTGACAGCTATGCTGTCACGCAACGAGGCCCTCCATGCCTTTTGTATCCACCAATGCCCCTGCCTCTAAACGCCCTGTCACCACCAGCCAATAGCCCCAGGGTGTCTGGGTAACAGACTGTGGCAGTGCTGTAGTCCCATGGTCAGATCTACAGTCTCTGTCACTAACTGATAGTGTGACCTTGAGCAAGACCAACTCTCTGGCCTGCCTCCTTTTATCAAACAGCATATCTCAGCTCAGAAGGTCATGCAAGGATAAAATGCAAAAGCATAACAATTTTAGAAAAAAGGATTCAATTCATTAAAAATACAAAATACTGCTTTTATCAAAATGAACCAGAGAGGAGTAAGGAGGAAATTTTGCCCGAATTAAACCTTTATTCCATGCGCAAGCACTCAATGACCATTCATCTCAATAATTCGAGTAACTAACTTCCCCAGAAATCTCCAATCAAAGCACACTGTAGTTCTCACCTGCAGGTCCGAGGTTTCCCATGCCAATGCCTTTATTCAGGTGATTGGCATCAATTGGCTGTCCTCCTGGGCCTAACCCCATGCCAATACCACCAAGTCCGTCTGAAAGGAAAAGAGAAAAGTCCGAAATGTAGATTCTGCTTACTTAGAAACCATGACCTTCCAAGGCAAAGAGAGTCTTTGTTTATAGTGTCGTAAATGTCACACTCCATTCCAACCCACCCACCTCCAAGAGCAAACCCAGGGCCTAATTCATAATTCAACACTGCTACATTTGGCAGCTATTCCTTTCAAGGCTTAACTTTTCAATTATAGATTGGAGTTTGTGATATGTATAAAACAAGGGCAACTGAAAATTACAGAGAATTATGAACAGCTCAAATGTAAGAATCACATACACTTATTCGTTTCCCTAAATCTCAAATTGAGAAATGTTTGATTAAAACAGGCAATTAAGGGGGTGCCTGGCTCAGTCGGTCCGACTTCAGATCAGGTCATGATCTCAGGGTTTTGGGGTTCAAGCCCCAAATAAGGCTCTCTGCTGTCAGCATGGACCCCACTTCGGATCCTCTGCCCACCCCCACCCCTGGCTCTGTCCTCCCCCTCACGTTCTCTCTCAAAAATAAGCATTTTTTAAATTAAAAAGGAGAGACACCTGGGCGGCTCGGTCGGTTAAGCATCCAACTCTTGGTTTCAGCTCAGGTCTGCATCTCGTGTTTTATGGATTCAAGCCCCACATCGGGCTCCGTGCTGACAGTGCAGAGCCTACTTGGGATTCTCTCCCTCCCTCTCTGGCCCTCCCTTGCTTGTTCACACACACACACTCTCTCTCTCTCTCTCTCTCTCTCTCTGAATAAACTTAAATAAACAAATAAATAAGGCAGTTAAGGACATGGGTGACCAGCAAGCACAAATACGCCCCATCACCACCTCACTATCTGGACCCCAAAGGACTTTTCCCAAGAAAAAACAATGCTATAAACCAGTCAATTAACACACTGGGCATATACTATTCTCTGACTTTACAGGCAGTTTTGGCAACAATGAAACTAGTGTTATCTTCCTCCCTGAAAACCTACTAACTTGTGGATCAATCAATACCCAGCCCATCTTCAACTCCCTGCCCCAAAAACAAGCAGGGATGTTAAGAATACAGACTGGTCTCAAACTAGCAAACGAGATCAGGCAGTGCAGGGCACCTACGATGCTCTGAGCGACCTTGGTCTAAGGCTTATGCCAAGATCAGGTGAGATATTTTTAAATGGTAACCAAGTTCATTAAAAAAAGGAAAAAAAAAAAAAAGAATAATTTAAAAAGAACCCTGATACCAGTTCCCAAATATTTAATATGTTTAATGGACTTGTGTTTTTAAATTGCATAGAAACAGCAGTGAGAGGTCACCAAGGTTACTTATTCCCTAAGGCTATGAAGTTTGAAGTCCATCCTCTGAAATGTGCTGGGAGACCAAAAGCCATGGATAATGACCTCCCTGGGGCCCAGGGTGTGCCAGCCACGGCTCCCTAACCGCCCTCGGCTCACCTCCTCTAGGCACAGAAGTCAGTAAGAGCCATCGCCCTGATTCTGGGTGATCATGGCAAGTGACTACATTGATTAGGGCAAGGATATGTGGCACTTCTCTAAAAACTATTCATTTCCAACAGATAAGCCAACTATTCTTGAAGCTACTGACCTCCCCTCAAAATCTAACTCATTTACGCTTCCATAATGTTAAACCACAAAGGCACTCATGTTAGTGTTCTGGTCTAGGATCTCATTCAATCCAATCTGACACTGGGCCTCAGGCTTGAGTCCCCACTCCAGATCAGAGGCACTCCCTGGCCCTCCAGACAGACAACCCAACTGCCTCACCTGGTAAGAAGTTCTCCCAACACAGGACAAGCAAGCCCCTCCCCTCCCATCGCCATCTCACTCCCAAGGTTCGTAGGGACTCCCCGGCTCTTCTTGCTGCTAGAGGCCTTCACTCTCACTGCTGTCTGAGCTCAGGCTCCACACAGCCCTGTGGACCTGTCAGAAAAAGTGCCCAAGGCTTCACTAATATGCACCACTTCCATCTCTGAGGTGACTGGTCACCTAGTCTTCCCTGTCACGGCACAGACTTCCACCTGGATGCTTCACGTGACCCCATATAAAACTATGGATTGTTGTACTTCACAAACTGTAAGATGCCCCCCTTCAAAGTGTACAGTTCAGTGATTTTTGGCACATACAACTATCACCACAATCTAATTCATCACCCCAAAAACAACTCTCCAAAGGCAACCACTAGTCTACTTTCTGTACGTGGATTTGCCTTTTCTGGACATTTCCTACAGATGGAATCAAGGTTCATGCACGCCGTGGCAGGCATCAGTACTTGGTTCCTTTTTAGGTCTGAGTAACACTCCATCGTGTAAATCTACCACTTCTCTATCCATTTATCAACTGAAATCCCGCTGCTAGGACACACGCATGAGTGTGTGGTTTTCAGCTCTCTGGAGATAGCAAAGAATGAAACGCTGGGCTATCCGGTGCTAATGAATCTCTTCTGATCCCAAGTGCAACCCGGGATCTGGTTCTTCCTTCCACAGGATACTTTCAAAACACTCACCCACACCCTCTAGGATGTAGTCTGCCTCCTCACCACAAAGTAACCCTAACAACACTTCCTTCCTAAGTTGTGAATCTGTTTATTTTTCATCCTGAAAAGTCTACAGGGGGGAAAAAATACCACAAAATCCTTTTTGAACCTTTTCCTCAAGAATGATCAAGAGAACTACAGAATCACATGGCACAAGCTCAAGGGTAAGTGTCACTCTCCAGTCAGTATCACTCTCCAGTCAGTATTAATCAAATTCAAAATCTAAGCCATACTGAGACACTTACGGGGAAGTTGCTGTGGACGCTCAGGAGGGAAAAAATCTCCCTTTGGTAAGGCCCTCTCATCCTGAAAGAGAAAGTGAATACATCTCAGTATCAAAGCACAGCTTGAAACAACAAAAGATGGAAACAACTCTCAACAACAGAGGACTAGCTAGCTAAATTATGATCCACCCGCCACTAAACAACATGCAAGTGCAGAAAGAAATACAGAGAGTACGCGCACCCTTATGTAAAGAGGGGAAGGACAAAAGTATGCATCCGCGTTACTATGGGGAGTGAATGGGACCTGGGCACAAAGTAAGGGAAAGACTCTCACACTACCTTCATGCTTTTTAAGCCATGTAAAGCAATAATCTATTCAAAAAACTATAGTGAATGTTTTAAGCAACTAAAATGTCTTTTTATAGTTCCCTTTACTTTCTTCCTGAATTTGAGACATAACCAGATTGCCCTGAGCATGTTCTAGTCATGCTTGTATTAATTCACTATTATCCTGGCGCAGCCAAAGCAGGGATAATGTTTACACTGAGGCACTTCAACAGAACCTGAAAGGCCTGTGAATCAAAGACAATTATGTTTACAACAGATAAAATGCTGAACATTACAATGTGATACTCTGAAGAGTGGAACCCCATGGACATAACCATTCTTTGAAACTGATCACTTGCTTGAGCAGGATACACAACTCATCTCCTGACTATGTAACAGACAACTGTGCAAAGGAAAAAATATCTGAAGAGCTGTATGAGCAAGTGTTTGTCATAAATCTGCTCAACATACTGCATCTTATTACCACCTCACACCAGTCAGAGTGGCTAAAATGAGCAAACCAGAGGACTCTAGATGCTGGCGAGGATGTGGAGAAACGGGCGCCCTCCCACTGTTGGTGGGAATGTAAACTGGTGCAGCCCCTCTGGAAAACAGTGTGAAGGTTCCTCAAAAAAAACAACAGAACTCCCCTATGACCCAGCAACAGCACTGCTAGGAATTTACCCAAGGGATATAGGAGTGCTGATGCATAGGAGCACATGTACCCCAATGTTCATAGCAGCACTCTCAACAAGAGCCAAAACATGGAAAGAGCCTAAGTGTCAATCAACGGACAAATGGATCAAGAAGATGTGGTTTATCTATACGATGGAATACTACATGGCAATGAGAAAGAATGAAATCTGGCCATGTGTAGCAACATGGATGGACCTTGAGGGTGTTATGCTGAGTGAAATAAGTCAGGCAGAGAAGGACAAATACCATATGTTTGCACGTATAGGAGGAACTTAACAGAGGACCGTGGGGGAGAAGAAGGGGGGAAACAGTGGGGGAGAGGGAGAGAGGCAAACCATGAGAGACTCTTGAATACTGAGAACAAACTGAGGACTGATAGGTATGGGGGGGAGGGGGGTGATGGGCATGGAGGAGGGCACTTGTGGGGATGAGCACTGGGTGTTATAAGGAAACCAACTTGACAATAAACTATTTGTTAAAAAAAAACAAAAAACAAAAAACCATACTGCATCTTATTTAACTTAGGCTGATCCAAAAATACAGTGTAATAGCTATGTATACTCAATATTCCCATGTTTTTGCTAGACTTATTTGAATATATGATAGAGAAAGAGATCCTATTAACTTACCATTTTCACGTGCATTGGTCTATCAAATAGCAGTTGACCATTAAACATAGCTGATATTACAATTAAGGCTATTTCTCTCAATTCTAGAAACATGCACAGCAGGAGAGAAATACAAAAGAGAAAAATACTCCAATTGCTACCAGACCCTCTGAGTAGTGAATTTATGTGCAATTTTGGATCTTCATTATACTTTTAAAATATGTTTCTATGATAAGCATAAAAGCAACAATTAATAAAGCTCAAGGGATGGGGCAGGGGGGGGGGTTAAGTGTCAGCTTACTCCTTAGGTGTAGAATTCCATTCACAACATCCCACACTTCTCACCAAACTTCCCTCATAGGTACTGGCCTCAGTTTTTAGTATGTGTCCAGTACTATGTTTTCTGAGTAAGATACACGGTAACGGTCTTGTCCAAGTTTAGTGACTATGTTCATGTGTGGCATTCTCCACTGGGACTACAAAGATAAAAACCTCAGGGTAACTAGCTTAGGGTCAGAGAGAGAAGTGTTTCTAGAATGACGTCAATCCACTGGAGAAATACGGCCAAGGACTTATATGTGAAATAACAACTGAATTTCCCTCCAGTGGCACACTCTTTATAGACTTCTCCCTTCAAACCAGACTCTAAAATGATTAACACTGGAAAAGACCGCTCAGGGACACGTGCCTGGTTTCTGTGAAGTACTGAATCAATTCCATCACAGGCATCTTTTAAATTCCACAGCAATGCGTTCCCTATGGTCACTTGGGAAATACTAACACACAGTTACCACTCCCCTCCCTCCCCGCCCCAAAACCTGAATATGCAACATTTAAGGCCAAACTGTTCACCAAGAGTTGAATTCTGATAAAAAGGATACATATAGCTTGTACAGCTTCAATGGACTGTTCAAAAGTAACAGTGCCTATTCCACGACTTTTTCCATCTTTATCCTCAAGAATGTCTGCTCGGACCACCACACCAGCCATACTAAAAACTTCCTTCAGTTTCTTCCAGCCAACTTTATAATCCAGCTAATCAAGAGAAAGGAGAGAAAATTCTCAATGTAGACATCTCAAGAAAAAACATTCTGAACACACAACATATTGAATACAAAATGCTCTGGTTGGAAACAAACATTTAAATACAATGTCACAGGGGCGCCTAGGTGGCTCAATCAGTTGAGGGACCAACTCAATTCTGGTTCTGGTCATGATCCCTACAGCCTTGGGATCGAGAGCCCTGCGCTAGGCATAGAGCCTGTATGAGATTCTCTCTCTCCCTCTGCCACTCTCCCCTGCTTGTGCACTCTCTCTGAAGTAATAATTTAATTAATAAATAAAAATAACATCACAAGGACTTATCCACTGCAGAATTTTTTTTTGTTTTTTATTTATTTTTGAGACAGAGAGACACAGAGCATGAGTGGGGGAGGGGCAGAGAGAGAGGGAGACAGAGAATTTGAAAACAGGCTCCAGGCTCTGAGCTGTCAGCACAGAACCCGACGTGGGGCTCAAACCCATGAACCGCAAGATCATGACCTGAGCCCAAGTCAGACGCTCAACCGACGGAGCCACCTAGGCGCCCCACTGCCGAATTTTCCTGAGAGGATTATGAAGCCTGGCCTTAACTGCTAGTTACTGTCTCTTCTCCGAAAGAACAGGTTAAATCACCTCCTGCTTTTTAAGTTACCGCTTACGCCTACTTTGTGAACATAAAAAAAAAAAAAAAAAAAGTGTCCCCTGGCTAAAAGTATTTCCTTTTGCAAATGGCAAAGGCACGAGCTTTCATCCTAGACCCAACAAGAGGAAGGATGGAAGTGTAAGCCTGGTCCGCACACTGCTCTGCCTGCACCCACAGGGAATACACACTCAGCTGCCACTTCTATAACCAGCAAAAACCAATAAACACGACCCCAATGGGACCATGGTCAAGCCTGTGACTTATCACTACACATGGTCACTATGGGACAAAGCCCAACTTCAAAACTGTTTTGTTTTTAAACAGATCAAGAAGAAAGCATTACCCTCTTTTAAACTGTTCTTCTCAACTACCAGAACTACCTCTATAACATATCAGCCAAACTTTCATAAAGTTCTGATTTTCTACTTTAGACAATGTTTCAGTTTACTTACATTTGCTACAAATACTGTGCTTCCAAGTCTTCCAGCCTGTAATGCATGGATAATCTCATTTGGGATGTTAGGATTATTTAGGATACTGGGTGGGATATTAATCATTCCTGGGCCACCTGGTCCCATACCCATCCCACCAGTCGTAGCCATCACCTTTTGCATTGCTCTCCTGGCATGTTCACCATCAGGATCCTAAAACAAGCACAAAAGTGTTACATTTAACTGACCCAATGACAACTAAGACAGTGATTTCACAAAAAATGATATTCCCAAAACTCCAGAGACTGAGAGGTTGTTTGGGAAGTATTTCTTGAAATCTATAACAAGAAATTCAAAGGAACTCAACCATCAGGTTACGAAGAATTCCAGCCAAAGGAATGAGGAAAAAAGTGTCAAATTTAGCTATCATTTGAACTAAAGGGAGGGGGAGGGTGGCAGATGACATGATTAGTTGACAAAACATAGAACACTTCCAGACTGAAATAAGATCCTCACAGGCTTGGTACAGTTGCATTCCACTAATTTTCAATGGGGTTCTGGCATTTCTGCTATCCTCATCAGTGATTTTCCCCAAAGTTTGAAAACGCAGTTCTAGATCACCGAGGTAACTCCATCCTTCATGTTATGCAGGCGTCTGACTCGTGTAAGGTCGGACAGGTGTGTGAAAGTCTGGCATTGACACTAGTCTTGAACTCTTTGCCCTTTCATGTGTCTCTTCAGCACCAAGAAACCTTAACCCCTAGTGCGCTCTCCTGAGCTCTAAATACACTGATCTTCCTCTAAGAAGAGGTTTAAAAAAAAAAAAAAAAAAAAGTCAGTCAGGGAGGGTTTAATCACAAAAACTTCCCGCTTTCTCATGGGAGAGAAGGTATTTGGTTTAGATTAAATACGAAAGTGGATTTGAGTAATGATAAACTCGCTTTAGAGAAGAAAAAAGATGGGCTAAGATAGGGTTCAGGCTGGGTAAAACTGAAGGTGTAGAATCCCTTAAAACACCTACACACAAGACACACACACCAACCAGGGGCTCAGTCTGAGCGGCCCTGGTCGATAAAACAAGATAGGCTGGTCTCAGACAAATCACAGACATCGGGAAGAGAGTCAGCTGCTGCTCAGGATGTGCTCCACCATTATTCCAATTCCAAGTTCCTACGGGAGTGACTACTGAAGCCCGTGACTGACCCTCTTCGTTAAAAACAACAGGTTGGTCGGCTCCGTGAAATGTAGTCAAGGATTATTTTTGTCTTTTCCTAATTCCAAACAGGGACAACTCGACAATTATAAATGATATCCACATTGTTTCAAGAGCTTACTTCTTTGACTTTCAGTGGTCTTCCACTCAGACTATGCTTGTTTAGAACTTCGGCAGCTTTTTTCATGCTTTCTTCCATCTTGAATTCAACAACGCTATGAAGAGCCAAAAGGAGATGAGTGAAACCAGTCCTACGGTTTAGAAGGCTCAATTGCCAATAAGTAACTAGACAATACTTACGCACATCCCTTTGGAGGAGGCCACAGACCAGTCAGAAGAGCAAGGAAAGGAGGGGAGAAAAGAAAAGAAAAACATAGTAAATATCAATGACAGTTTTATCTAAATTAAAAATATGATTTATATAACAAGGTTAGTTTTTATATTAGCCCTTCTAAGGGGAAGCTCACAGGAATGTCTCGCCTAGCCTTCCTCATTAAAAACTGGGCTCCTCGTTACCTCCTCTGCCTGCACATTACCAGCATTGCACTATAGCTGCTGAGGTTATAATAAGCAGACCTAAATTCAGGTTCTCCAAGAAATCACACAAACTTTAGATCTGCTTCTCTGTACTCAAATCAATTCCTTATCATACTCCTCCTAAATCCATCCCTTCCATAAATTAAAGCTCATCCTTTTGATTATCCTAAGCCATTCTATTGCACGACAAAATAATTTATTTTCTCTTTAAACTAGGCCAATTTTAAACATTCAGGTTTTAATAAATTGTTTTACAATTTACTGGCACAAAGGCAACTTTTCGGAATCTTTGGTTCACACAACTTTCAAATTCAGCAAACGACCAAGAGTAACATTTTCTAGACAAGAACACACGTTTTACATTGATATACCACCGCTACAATTCCATGCATAATTCACACACAGCCAATTCCTCTGTTAACAAAGAGACAATGCTGCTATTGGTCCCCAGTTATCCAAATTGGGCATCCAAACAGAATACCAAAAAGCTCTTTGGCCAGCCATTTGGAAAAGCGGGACTCCCATTTGCAAATCCCCTCCCACCCCACTCAAATGTTTGGCAAAAATCAAACATAGCTACTATAACATGAGCACTCACTGCCTTCCTGATTTCATTCGATTCCACGCCACCATACAGTTACATTTTTCAAGTAGTAAATCCACAGAAGAAATTCTCTCAGACACTTACCCTTGACTTTCCTTCAGCGTCCATTAAGAGCTCCACGTATGTTACCTCACCAACTACAAATCAGTTTCCAGACGACACATAAACCAAGGGAGAAAAGCCAAGAAAACAATGGGAATTTAGAACAATCATCAGCAACCTTGTATGGAGCCTCTGCCTTATAAGAAAGCCCAGAAACACTCCATATTCTCTAAACCACCAAACTAGGCATTACAGGTGTGCAGTAAAAGTAGGTGAGACTCGTTAACAATTATGTCCTTGATTTTCCTCCCACCACAAACAAGCTATTTCCACAGATTTCCGTATCAATTTCCCTGTCTGAAATACTCATTCATGACTAGAGGCAATCCAAATCTACAGGAAAGAGGTCTGCATGATTCATTTTTTTTGGGGAAAGGAGGAAAACAGTTTTGCACGTACACTCTTACTGGTGAAAGCAGGTAAGCAGCACCCAAGCCGCAATGCCACTGAACTGAGCTCAAATGCTAAATCCAAGGATCCGCGTGTACACATGCCCAAAGGCGCACACAGCTTGGGCAGCTACAGGAGTGCACATTGCCCTGCAGTCAGGAGGGCCACGCGTGTAGTATAACGCTGCTGTTATCGCGAAATTCTTAATTTTTTAAAAAGAGGCCTCGCATTTTCATTTTGCTCGGAGCCCCACAAAATCTGTAGCTGGTCCTGCACACAGCACCAGGCTCCATAATGGTCAGAAGTAAGATGTTTGCATATCCGATGGCAAAACCAGAGCAGCACCTGGATTCTCTTCAGTGAATTAAGCCAGGCTTTTATACCTCCTGTCTTTCATTGGGAAGGTTGAGAAAGCAAAGATAAATGCGAATTTAGAGCTCAGTTCACAACTAAACAGTTAAAAAGAGACAGGATTCTAATCTACACAAAGGTGGGGAGGGGGTTAAAAATGAAATCTTTCAAAAGATTCGGCAGATTTTCCTCAAGGTTTGGATTGCCAATTCATGACCACCATGACCAGATATTAGAACCCATCAAGAAGACAACCACCAAAATGGCTGCTGAACTTGAAGATGGCGCAAAGGGAACAGAAATTTAAAGTGTTAACTTGGAGAAAACAGTCTCTAAGCAGGCTCTCCAAAGTCAAGCAAGCGCTTTTGTCCTCAGGAATATCCTTTTTGAAAAAGGATTATCTTTATGACAGTAAAGCCTTCTCCAAATCAGTGTTCAAGTTTGGTTTAACAGTACAAGGGTAAAACAAACCTCTTAACGGCCTTGACAAGTCCTGCCTATTCTAATTCATTTGTCCAAAGGAGATTTAAATTATAAGGAATTTAAAATACATCAAGGATTTAAATGTAAAGTAGGATAAAATTATTTTTAAAATAAAATTAAGAATTTGAAGGGCATATTTATTAGTAATATATTTGCATGGCAGTTGACAACAAGAAGGCCAAGTGTTCAAAGTCACCTCCCCTTGTCCTTTTTTGGAACGTTACAGAACCAAACCAGCACTTTGCACAAAACAGGAAGGAGAATCAGTGCAAAGAAATGAAGAATGGAAACAGGGGAAGGTGTAATTTAACTGTTGGGAGTATGTACTCCTGGGGGGTAAACTGAAAATGATCACAGCCAAGGGACAGTCATACAAATTGGCTTTATTTTACCCTTACAAAGGGAAGGAATCCAAAAAAGCTGTGGCCATTCCTGAGGCCATGTTTTTAAACAGCCATTCATTTCAACAGCAGCAGCCATTTGAGGACCAACAGCCTTTATCTCCACTTTGATAAAAATGCCAAATAGTGTCAGGACAGTGACGAGACCTCAAATATATTCTCTACAAGCGGGGACTACCACCTAGTGACCTTAAGAATAATCGCAATCCCTAACTCAAGACAACTGTAACTATGTTGTCAGAATTCAAATACTGTTGCATTGGATACTTCCTAATCCGTGTCCATAAAGACACTTTGTCAATAAACTGTCATTGCAACCTAGAAACCAAACAAGTCCAAACCAAACTTTTTTCCAAAAAGCCAGGTTTAGAAATTAGGGCTTTTCCCACTTAACGTTCTAGTGATGGCACACATCCAACTTCAATTCTTAGCACCAAAACTTTGTTTAAAATGTCCCTTATTTTTTCCCCCCTAATGGTATAGTTGTTTCGTAAAAAAAACAAAAAATTACATTAAAAAAACCCTCCATCCTATCCCGCTAGCCATAGGTTAGGCAGTCACTGTGGCTCTAGCACAAGCAGTGCTGTTTCCAAGGACCATTAATGATAACCGTGTCCCTCATAAATTCCCACTCTCTACCCTGAGAGACCGCATCAATTCAGAGATATAAGCAAATCAGCATTAAAAGATGTGCAACAGGTGTTAGTTCACACTTCCGGAGAGGAAGATGATGATGAAGACTGCCTCTCTTTTTTGTTCTACAGAATTAAAACAAAGACCTGTTTAGTCAGTGCAACTAACAACAAAACTCTGAAGGTAAAATTTGCCAACCATGCATAGTCTGGTCACACCCAATGAAATTACGTTTAAAAGAGCAAATCCACCAGAACACATGAGTTAGGACTGAGAGGCAGAGTTAACAAACTGGCGGTAGCCAAGTCTCTCCGAAATGGAACTCGCAGGTACTGATGAAAAATACTGTTGTTGCTCTCCCTTCCTCAACATGGATGGAATCTATGGGCTCTCAAGAGAAGGTGCTAGGAAATCCTTCTGAGCTTTAAACCTCAAAACATCTATACAAAAACACTATCACTTCGAAAAGTCTAAGAGCAAATCACCTACCTTTATTTTAAAATGCTCCAAGTCACCTTTAACCAACATTTACATAGATTATTAAAAACATTGCCTCAAGAATAAAACACATCATGAGGATAAGCAAAATGAACAAGTAACCCAAAATGAAGTCAGGAAGTCTCTAGGAGCTACTGTGATTCAACACCCTTGCACATATTTTAATTACAAAGAGTACTTGTTTCTGTGTTCTCATTTGCTCTGAAACTGACAAAATAAATAAAGAGGGTGTATGGAGGCCAAAACTTCACTGAAAAGAATTCATATGTGAAAAGGCCTATAATTTAAAAGATGGGGCTGAAGGGAGAAGGCTCATAAGTAGGGTATGTTATCAAACACATTCACCTCAAACACATTCAACTCTCAGGGGGCTGCTCTATTAGAGGGGTGCATGGAACAAATGCGGAATTTAATGGGAGAGCCCGTGTCTTTAATACACAGACCACTTGAAACGTGGCAAAATAATTATTCTACACATGTCTATTTAATTTAATGGATAAGCTGGATAATTATCAAGCCCATTCTTGCTACTTTTGTAGCAACAGCAGAGGAGCACCACTTCTCTTACTGGACCAAAATCTACCAAGTAAGCTAAGGCAGGCTGTGCTGTCCAGGTTCAAGACCAGTACCCACAGATATAGATGCTTTAGCGTAACACATCTTTACAAAATGCAGGCTGAATTTCCAAAATAGGAAAACAGGAAGGAATAAAGGGACTGGATATGGATTTTTACTTAAATTGAAAATAAAGTTCGGCTCCATAAATCCACAATGTAGGCTGTCTTCAAGAGCCAGCGGAGACTTTCTTCTGGACTATACTTGCCCTCTGGGCCTCAGTTTTCTGTGGCCGGAATCTGAAATTTACTCAGAGTGATGCATTCAATGAGGAAAGGATTAAGTGCTTAAAGAAATCCTTGCTTACACAGGTTAACCTGACTGCTGATAAACTTGGGATTGATTGAGAGTAAACTCCATCATGGACTTTCCTTTATTCTTCCAACTGTGCTGATGTTTACTCAGGGCAGGTCCAGCTCAGGCCTGTCTGGTTACAACCGCCACCGTCACCGTCACCTCCCCCCCCCACCTCAATGGTGCCAACTCCCTGGTTAGGCCAGGAGAACAAGAAGCCCAGTAAGCAGCTTTCTGCACCCACGCAGGACTTCCCAGCAACAAAGCACAACACTAAGGGTAAATTTCCAAGATCACCATTCGCCCAGTCCATGAGATCAAACACTTTTGACGTGATCCCTATCTATCAAGTGATGAAAACTGAGTGACTGGCAGACTGACTGTGAAATCATTTTCAAACCTGGTGTGACAATTGTCAATTCAAATTTCCTATCACCCTGACTCTCAATTTGTTTTCAACCCACCAACTCCATGGCATTCACAACAGCCATTTATTTGTTTCATGTAACATTTCTGTTAAAAATAAACACGGTCAAGAGAAAGGACAATAGAAACCTTTCCCTTGTTCCATCAGGACACTTAGAACAGGAAGAGGAAAGTCCAGGACTCAATTCTATGGGCTGTGAAAACTGTTGAATCCACATCCCTGACTGATATAGGGGGCTGGGGGGTAATGAGCAAATGGGCAGAGCTCAGGACAAACAAAGCTCTCGATGCATTTTCTCTTTAAACTCAGCGATGCTGATTTCATGATAGTGCCACCAAAGAGCTGGGCACCAAACAAGCTTTGTGACCCCATCCAGGGGAAAAGGCAAAGTGACCAATTCACATAATACACGTTATGGATAAGATGTCCTAGAATGTTGCTAAAGCTAAAACTTAAGACAGGACAATAAACACCTGGTGGCCATGAATGGGGGTAGAGATCAGGAATCACGGAGGTGTACAAGAGGCAATCTCAAGCATGATTAGCCTTAGAAAAGCTCTGGTCATCCTACTTCAAAGCAACTATTTTAGTTCTGAGAGGCGTCAATTAGACAGCGCTGTAGTGAGAGACAGGAGAGTTTCCAGACCTTTCAGTTGAAGACAACTAATAAAGCTTATTCTGCTGGTTTTGTGAAACAGCAAAACTCTTAAAAGGGAGACCAATAAAAAGTGTCTGATTATAACACGGCAGGTCTCTGCAGCTGCTCCACTCTGGAGATTATCTTGAGACTGATGCTTTTGGGGTGTTAATAGCCCCTAGCTGTGGTAACAAGCCTTCAAAAAATAAACTTACTTGCAATAGGTTTCAAGTAAATACTTCAGGTTTCAAATAACCACCAACACGTATTTTCAGCATACCAAGAAATGAATAAAACCAATCTTAAACCTCATAATAAAAATAAGAACATTTTTGAGGAGGCCTATGTATATGAACAATAAATTTCTTCCCAAGCTGAATAGAAGCATTACCATAAAAAATTACCATTCTCTTATGAATTCCTTTAACCCACAATACTGCAAATAATTTAAACAGAAAATTAATTAATTTAACCTATACAGGGGAGCTCTAAACAAGAACATTTTAAGGTTTGTTTAAAATAACTGATTTACTGCACACCTGTAATTCTAAATTACACCACCAAAAAAATACACTGAAAGGGCTGAGCCAGGGCATTCGTAGCAGTATGCCAGGGGAATATGAGAACCAGTTTGGAAGTATCTGAATAAACCACCAGGCCGGCCCCACACTTAATACAGTGCAAAATAGGAAATTGAGGTGAACTGCTTCTACATCCAGAAACGTCATGGCTGCTGCTACCAGCTTTAAGGCTTCCAAAACTGACTTACTGAATGGTAAAGCAGTAAAAATGTCACCTACTTTATCCATCATGTCCCAAAACTGGTTCACACACTCCTAAAAATAAAAAATAATTTGGCCTGCAATCTCTTACAAAATTCTAACAATTGCATTTTCAAAGCCACATTCCTGGTTCTTGGAACTACTATACCTTATTATCAATGGAAGTAGCAATTCAGCGGTTCAACCAAATCACGAAAACACAAATTTGGGAGTTATTCCAAAATCTAATTCGAATGAGACCCAACTGTACTGTACAGAAATTCTAAGCTTGTGTTGAAGCAGCAGTCCCAAAAACCAAGAACACTGCATCTGGGATGCCACGTGACACGCCCTTCAGACGAAAAGAAGAAACTTCACTCTTGCCCTAGGAGCATTGGCAGGAATGATTTGGCTGATCGAGGCAGGAAAACAAATCTCACACCGAAACATTTTTCCATCCGTGTTATCTGGAGAACTACTACACGGGAGCGGCCTACATGACTGTACAGAGAAGTTCGCGATGCCTAGTGCCTCTGGCATGTCATGGTCAAGGTTAAGTGATGGGACGATGATGGCAGTGGGCCAGTCATAATTTCAAAACCCAATGCTGGGAGCACCAGTACACATACCAAAATGGCCTATCCAAGTGGCATCTCTGCCACTGAAGTGTTAATCATTGGACAATTCAAACTTGAATCTCTTTTCATTATGAATGCTCCAGAAAACCAGTATCTTTCAGTCCTTCAAAAAGACTCCATTAAAGGGTAATTTGATTCTAGTTTCCCTTGGGGGAGACCTCAAGGCATCACACAAATTGTTCTCGATCAATACTTTTGTCTAAACCCGGGCTGAGCAATCTCTTCAGCCCTGAGTGCCACCAGCAGGGCCAAGAATCAGGAAAGAAAGAAGACAAAAGCAGCAGAACGAGAATGTGAAAAGGAAGAGGATCCGTATGGTGTGCACAGGGGGTGAGACAGAGGACCTTGGGGACAACCGGCCTCCTAGGACCTCCTGGTGGCAGCAGAGCTTCAGGTGTACCCTGGCCCTCGCCCTCGCCGGAATCCAGACACCGGGCGGCTACTGCTGTGCGCCGGAAAGTACGGCATTACAAGGCAGATGCCTTATTTTGAGCTCTCCAATTGCCAATCTAACCCCTGTTTCTTCCCAGGAGGGAAAAGACCAGTTTAAACAGAAGCTCATGTTTTAGGAATTTAGAATCTGAGCAGTGCAAGTTCCAACCACCAAATTTTGATCCCAGGAAGACATCCACAAAATTTAAACAAACTACCTTCCCCCCAGAATTAAAAAGCTAAAAAAAAAAAAAAAAAAAAAAAAAAAATTTTTTTTAAAGAAAAGGAAAAACCTCTCCCACCTAATATGAAGAAATCAAAAAATTTCCTTAACACAAGAGGCTCCCCTCAAGCTTCATCGAAGCCCTATTAACCATATTAAGCCAGTAAAATCATTTGCAGGCCAAAGGACCATACAATCCACCCTGTTTGACACACAGGTGCAGGACCACACAGAAAAGGAGGGTGTAAAGCAGCTTAACTCTCAAGCCTGGACAGAACACATGCTCTACCCAGATCAGCTTCCACTGACAAAAAATAACCAAGGAATTAGCCACAGAAAAGATGACACATCAACCTTCTTACCCTACTCGACCACCAGTACCATTACCTTTTTCTTTAACCAGGTCTTTAAGTGACTGCCATTTCACATCAAAAGGTATGTTTGTAATGAAGGCTCTGTATCTTTTAGTTGGATTGGCATATGGCTCAAAGCGATTGCCTCCTCTTTTTATGTTTTTCTCCTTCCTCTTCTCATTCTGAGTAGGTCGCTCTCCTTCACTGAATTTGAAGGGGGAAAAAAAAAAAGGGTCCATATGTTAGCACGACATGAAAGACAGTATTTGATTTGCCAGATTCAGAATTTCACATAGTTACATCTAATACAAGACTAACACTGAGCTTGTTCTGAGACATTCAAACTTAAGTGCCCCTGGAGCAGAAAGGTACAGTAGTGTGTTCCTTAAAAACCATGTATCAAGAAGCCATTCCCAATCAACTGTGCTCTCCTCCACCTTCACAGTTCCCTAGGCACCAACTCCCTGCCCAAGGTGCTTTCATTTCATGCCAGAAACCAGACAAAAGAAAGGAAGATTTGCAAGATTTCATGGAACAGAAATGAGCTGGTACACAAAAGCCCAATCAACTTTAACTTCACAAATAAAACTACCTTTTTGCTCTGGGGGAGGGGGGAGGTTTTTTAAGTAGGAATATAAAATGGTACAGCCACTGCAGAAAAGTATGGCAGTCACTCAAAAAGTTAAAACACATATTTACCATATGACCCAACAATTCCACTCCTGGCTATAGACCCCAAAGAAGTGGCAGGAAAGAGCAGATACTTGTACACCAAATAATAATAATAATTCATAGTAGCCAAGAGAAACAACCCAAGTGTCCACCAACAGATGAATGGAATAAAGAAATGTGGTATAGCCATACAACAGAGAATTATTCAGCCATAAAAAGGCTGATACATGCTGCAACACAGATGAAGTCTGAAAACATGCTATGCAAAATAAGTCAGACATAGAAGAACACAGCAGAATGGAGGTTACCAGAAACTGGGAGGAGGTGAGAATGGGGAGTTATTGTTTAATGGATGAGAGTTTCTGTTTGGAATGAGAAAAGTTCTGAAAATGGACAGTTTCAATTAAGTGCACAACATTGCACTTAATTCCACTAAACTGTATACTTAACATGGTAAAAATGGCATATTATACATATATTTTACCACGATATTTTAAACAGGAAAGAAGCCATTCTCTGTACAACCCTAGGAAAACCAAAGCCTGAGCAACCCAGGTAGGTAAAAGACATTACATAGCAAACAATCCTGCCTTCAGCAAAGGGTGAATGACTTTTTTGGCGTGGCTTTTCCTGTAATATGCTTTACCTTTGTGTGTCAGGAATCTTCATGCCGTAACACTTCATTTCTAAGCTCTACAGATACAAATTCAGCTTAAATTAGAACGTGGCATAGGTTTGACAAGAAAAGCCAACTTCCAAAGCACAGAACCAGACACTAGGCTGGAAACCTAGGCGACAGCACAGAGAAACCGGCCAGCGTGCAGCCGGGGCAGAGCCCACGTACTGGCCAAGTGAAGCTACTCCATGAGCTACCCACTCATGTTCAGCCCTCTGTGGCCCCAGGCAGACACCTGTGAGAAGTGATCAGGAACAAATGGGGATCCAACAGTCACAGGAAGTTCTCTCACTTCCTGCACTGTGTCCTGCACTTTCTGCTTACCAAGCCCTATGTTTTCCACCAGTGAATATCCAGAAACTCCCAAGCCACAGAGTTTAGCAGAGACTTTGTGATCCATGACAAAAATGGGGGGGGGGGGGAAGACTGCGGTATCAATGATTACAAACCTACCTTCATTTAATTAAAGGGCTGATCTTTGTTCTAAGATATGTCTTTCTTGCATGGGAGAACTTTAACATATTTACTCGGGGGGAAAAATTTTTAAGTAAGCTATATGCCCCACATGAGGCTTTAACTCATGACCCTGAAATCAAGAGAGTCACATCAACTAAGCTCCATCAACTGAGCCAGCCAGCCACCCCACTTGGAAAAATTTCAAGTTATCAACTTAGCAATATTTTTGTAAACCTCAAAGTCGTTTCTGCTGGTCTCTAATATCCAAACACAAGGGTGGCAAGTGGTAACCCAGTGAAAGTATCCTCCTAGGCAAAAGTAAGGAAAGCCGCTTCCTCCATGATTTTAACTATACCAACATGCAATAAATAGACTTTCTTCACAGAGGCTGGCAGATGTGGAGGGGTATGGCCACTCCAGTCCCCAAATTCCTAGACTTCTTTCTACTCTGTCTACCCAGGTTAACAACAGATCTTCTCACGCTAACTGCACACCCCAAGCAGATCTCAAGGGAATCACTCCACCACCAGAGGCCACCTGTCTATTCCACATGAAAGTCCAACACCAAAGTCGGCTGAAGAGTGTATTGCCAACGTGTCTCTTATTCCCGGCAGACAGGAGGAAAGTGTTAGTAAAAAATCATAAAATGTAGATCAATATGCATTCATGGACCTACAGTGTTTGTGCATAAGAAAGTATTTTAATATCTACTTTCTTTTAAAACCTAAATACTCTATAGTCTGCATTAAAAAACACCCTGACACAAAGTCCATGGTGCAGCAATAGCTCCAGGCTGTGTTTCCAGATCTGCTCAGCTCATCTATTAGTTAGATAATGTATAAATAACTATACACAGCTAAAGCAAGTAACACAGTGTCCAGCCCATATTCTGCAGACTACTACGGCTAAGAATAAGTTAGCCACCCTGTCCAACCACAGAAGCTGGGTATGTGGTTTGGGGTTAATCCGTATCACATGGCTTCACCATCAAGAAAGCAGCTCATATGGATTACGTCCAAGATGTGAGCACAGCACTCTGTACCCAAATCCTTCTCTGGCTAATCATTTCCACTCAGAGAAGTTTCATCCTAAGTAAAAAGGGTCAGAACTATCATCTCTCATCACTTCCAGCTTCTCAAAAAACTGATCTTTTTTGTAAATCCAATGATCACCATCAATTCTTTTTAAAAAATATTTGTATTTTCTACATCCAGTGTGGGGCTCAAACTCATAACCAAGATCAAAAGTCACATGCTCTACTGACTGAACCAGCCATGCGCCCGACCCTTTCTAAATTTTTTAATTTTTATTTTTCTTTCATTTTTTCTTTTTAGTTTTTAAGTGATCTCTACACCATCAGCCCTTCTTGACAGGATTGTAGACCAGCCTCAAAGAAATCTCACTCAAGGCACATATTCAAGTACGGAGAACATGAGGGTTTTAAGAGTGGTATCCTGGGAGCGCCTCAGTGGTTCAGTCGGTCAGGCATCCAACTCTTGATTTAGGTTCAGGTCATGATCTCATAGTTCGTTGAGTTCAAGCCCCCATCACAGTCTGTGCTGACAGTACAGACCCTGAGTGGGTGCTGACAGTGTGAAGCACAAGTGGGATTCTCTCTCCCCCACTCTCTTCCTCCCTCAATTGTGCTCTCTCAAAACAAACTTAAAAAAAAAAAAAAAAAAAAAAAAAATGGTATCCTGAATGTCCAATCTGATTTTCTCACTTATCTTCAAGATAAAATTGGGGGGATATTATTCTATAGCCATAAGATATTTATAACACTTAATTCCAAAAACCTTTTAGAAGTTTTTAGGGGCACCTGGGTGGTTCAGTTGGTTAAGTGGCAAACTCCGGCCCAGGTCATGATCTCAGTTCATGAGTTCAAACCCCACACTGGGCTGTGTGCTGACAGCTCAGAGCCTGGAGCTTGCTTCAGATTCTGTGTCTCCCTCTCTCACTGTCCCTACCTCACTTGCACTCTCTCTCTCAAAAAAAAAAAAATTAAGAAAAATTAATAAAGGAAAAAAAGAAATGCTTTTAGAAGTGAATTATATTTTGTCATCGATAAAATAAATTGCTTACTCCCAAATACCCCAAATTTAGATTATAGACATTAAAAATGTTAAACACACACCTACCATATGACCCGATCATTCACAGCTAGATACTGATGCAAGAGAAAATAAAGCATATATTCGTACAAAAACTTGTACCTAAATGTTCACAGCCACATTTGTAATATCCCAAAACTAGAAATCTGTCTACTAAACAGGTAAATAAAAAACCAAATTGTAGGGGCGCCTGGGTGGCTTAGTCGGTTAAGCGTCCGACTTTCGCTTAGGTCATGATCTCGCGGTTCGTGGGTTCGAGCCCCGCGTCGGGCTCTGTGCTGACTGCCAGTTCAGAGCCTGGAGCCTATTTCAGTCTGTGACTCCCTCTCTCTCTGACCCTCCCCTGCTCACGCTGTCTCTCTCTCTCTCTCTCCTAGAAATAAATAAAACATTAAAAAAAAAAAAAACCCAAATTGTAGAATCATAAACTCAAATACTACTCAGGAACAAAAAGTAAAAAACTATACCCCACAAAAAGGAATCTCAACATAATCCTACTCGAACAAACCAGACCAAAAAAAGGAGAATACAGGATTCCATCATATAAAATTTTATATTTGAGATAATCTAATCTGGTAACTAATCCACACCAGGGTCTCTCAATCTCAGCACTACTGGCATTCCTGCCAGAAGCTTTGCTGTGTGGGGCGGCCACGAGCATCCCTGACCTCTACCCAGAGGTTCCAGGAGCAACCCCGGCCCTCAGTCTTAAAGGTGAAAATCAAAAATGTCTCCAAGACACTTCTAAATGTACCCTGGAGGGGGGGGGGGAAGGTAGTGAACTATGCTGAGAACCACTGATGCATACCTACCGATGGGAAGCAGATCCACAGTTGTTGGAGTGTGGGAGGATTCCAAAGATCAAAGAGGAGAGAAAAACTTGTAGGGGTCATAGATATATTTATTACATGGATTCAGTGAAGGATTCACAATACTGACACTTACCAGGCTACAAATTTCCAATATGTGTGCTTATTGGGCCAATATTTTATTATCTATTTTGAGAGAGAGAGAGCACACAAGCAGGAAAAGGAAGGGCAGTGAGAGAGGGAAAGAAGAGAATCCCAAGCAGGCTCCACTGTTAGCGCAGAGCCCACTGCGGGGCTTGATCACACAAACCATGAGATCATGACTGGAGCTGACATCAAGAGTCAAACAAGACTCAGATGCTTAACTGACTGAGCCACCCAGGCACCTCAGCAATACAGACTTTTTATAAAGTTCCTACTTATGTTTGTGAAATTTCAAACCTAACTCCCATAACTTGACTTGTAACTCCAACATAAAGTAAAATTTAAAGTTATCTTTCCAAGAGACTAAAGCCACAATAAGAGATATACCCTGGCCAGCTGAACGGCTCACTAATGTTGTTTGCTAGCTGGCTCTCAACTCCCAACTTCAATAAACATCGTCTCCTCTGGCCCCCAATCACCCACCTTCCTTAAGTTCTAAATAGGCACAATACAAATAAACTTTTTTCTAACACTCTATCAACCTATCTCACGATACAAGAAAAATCAAGCCTAAAATATGTTAAATACCTTCCAAGTCAGTAAGATGAAGTATGTATGTTTCACGAGCTCTGGAATTGCCTCACTGACTGCATTCTTGGAGAATTGACCATTTTTCATGTCCTGCTCCACCATGCTGGGATTATATCATACCCAAAGACCACAACTAGGAAGACAGAGGGCTCCACAAAGAAACTGCTACATTTGCTGAATTCCTACTCTCTTTCTCTTACGCCTCCATGGCATTCAATGCTCTCATTGCTTTTAGTTTTTCAACCAAGAGTGCAGTCTGGGGGCGCCTGGGTGGCTTAGTCGGTTAAGCATCCGACTTTCGCTTGGGTCATGATCTCACAGTTCGTGGGTTCGAGCCCCGTGTCGGGCTCTGTGCTGACTGCCAGCTCAGAGCCTGGAGCCTGTTTCAGTCTGTGACTCCCTCTCTCTGACCCTCCCCTCCTCATGCTGTCTCTCTCTCTCTCTCCTAGAAATAAATAAAACATTAAAAAAAAAAATTAAAAAAAAAAAAAGAGTGCAGTCTGAAATGGCAACCCCAACACCCTGAAAACCTGATCGTATCTCTGGAGGGAAAGAGTCTCTCCTGCCCTCAATTCCCTTGAGAATCACCGCTCACGTTCAGTGCTCAGCTCCTCTAATGTGTTCAGTGTTCATAGCACTACTCATGGTCCCAGCTCTTTACCTCACTGGTTCTTTAGCAGCAAAACCAGCATAACCTGCACCCAGGATAGCTCACAGGGATGCTTTGACAATCAACAAACAAAAAGCAGCTTGGTAAAATGTTAAGCACAGTATCCAAAGGAGCAGTATGACTGGTAACCAAGCAGCACATATCCAGGTCTGAACCCAACGTCACCAGCTCTTTGCTAGGCCTCAGTTCCTCCCTTACTATCCACACTTACAGGACTGAAAGACACTCGGCACACAGGAACGATGGCACTGACAGATTTGGTACCAGTAATTTTCATGGGGATGGATTCACTCCTGGCCTTCTACCATTACGCAGTGATTAAAAGTCCACCAGGGCAGTGGCTGCAGCCACCTAGACACTGCCACTACAGACTACAAAAGGAGCAATTCAGCTTTCAACTGACTGTAAAACATGGTAACAGAAGAGCCCATCTGAGAACCCCAAGAAGAAACAATCTAATTTTTGCGGAGTATCTCTTTGCCTGGCCTCGAATAAAATAAAAAGTAAAAGTGAGAAGCTGGCAGCATGTGTTCAAATAATCCAAGGCCCCCCTTCTAAAGTTGACCTCACAATGTTATGTGCCTCAAAATTCCTTTTTATCAACTACACACTTTTTAAAGTACAGCAAACACTCAAATCACTGCAAAGCAGAGAACCACGGTTTAAATAAAACACTTCCAGTGCCTGTGTTTATTTAGAGAGGTTACCAGGGTAACACTGTGGAAACAACAAAGCCCTTGGAGTCAAGATGGCCACCCAACTCTCTGGGTCAATTTTCCTTAACCTGAGTTTTCTCAATTGTTTCTTTTTTCCCCAGTTCTAAAACAGAGATAACACACCGTTACCTCCCTGGGAAGCTATACTAAAGACCGTTTATTTCTGAAATGACCAATCCACCTCTCAATTTTCTGATTCAGCCACAAGATTAATCTGGAAAAGAAATAGGTTAAGTCACTGATTTTAAATATATGGTGTAACCTTTACTTAAGTGGGGGCGGGACACCTAAACCCATATATAGTCCTCGAAAATGAATGCTTTTCCCCCAACTAAACATACTAAATATACTCTAACTCTGAATCTTGATGGCCTTTAGATGAAAATTTCTCATCAAAATAAAACAAGTCCTCCCACAGCCAGGAGAAAAGGAACTGAAAAACAAGCTTTCCTATGGGGTCCTAATCAAGCTTGCTTGTTCATTGCCTTTTTGGAGTTCAGCACACTCCACTCCCGTACAGACAGGTCAGAAGAACCATTTCACTCCATTCCCATCCCTCAAAGACGGCTTTCAAGATAAAAACCTGGATTCCTCAGCCAGGAACTCGCTGCCCACCAGTTGGCCTCCAGTATTTTAGCATAAAATACTATAGCAGCTTCAGTTCTTTACAAGTAGCAAAGCAGACACCTAAATCCCTAGTCTTTGGACTCTCTCCTCCCTCCCCACTCCCCAACATCTTCTCTCAACCCCTCCAACAGCTCCCTGGGGTGGCCCCCTCCAAGCTTCCAGCCAGATAAATCCTTTTACTTCTCACTGCCTAATTACCCTACTACACAAATGTAAATTGCCTCCTCTTCTGGGCAAAGACTTTATTCCAAAGAGCTTGATTTCCTAAGCTTTCCCGCGCCAAAAAAAAAAAAAAAAAAAAAAAAGTTTTCCACCAGCCCCGTGAAACCGATCTAAATGTTGCTAGCTAATTAAAATATCCTCTATTAAGCAATCCTAAACTCTGGGTTCCTTCCAACAAGGGCTATTTTATCTCTAAAAACCTGTGGGTTCTTCCTAATAGTCCACATCTTAAGTGAATCAATCACAAAATGACTACCTGAAAAAGCACAGGGGAAAATGGGAAATTTGAAAACTGTACCCCAGCTGCTATCATCTATCATTAATCCAACTTCTCCCCAAGCACCTTCCAGCAGCACTTCCCCGTGATAAAAGCTTTCAAATACAAGAAATAAACGCCCCCAAATATGGCCCTCAAAAATCCTACAAAGCTCCGCTAAACACATGATGAAAAACGTCCAAATGAACACACATCTCTTCCCAGTTTTCAACACCAAAGCGTTGGAAATACTTCCGGGATGCCTTTTCTGTTGATTTCTCAGGACCAGTAAACACGGTATTTTGTTCCTCTCCACCTAAGGAGAAAGTTTAACAAAGCTGGCATTTATTTAGTGAACGCTCGTTAACAAAAGCAACTTAACTACATTCACTTTCAAACTCCAGTTACGCACGTTAAGAACTAGTGGGAAGGCAATTTCATAAGAGACAGGAAAAGTCTTATAAAAGCAACCAGAACCGGGGGGAGGGAGAGAGTAAGTCACTGCACAAAGGCCCCAGTTTGGGAAGAGGAAAAAGCTCCGGACGTGGACAGGGGAGCACAGCTGCACCACCACTGTGAATGCGCCTAATGCCATTGAAGGGCGCACTCGAAAATGGTTAAAACTGGAAGTTTTACGTTATGCGTGTTACCACAAGTATCTTTTTTTTTTTTTTTTTTTAGTTTGTAGGAAATCAAACGTGCGCCCGACTTCCCCTCTCCTCGGCGGAGAGCAGTTGGTCGTAGCCACCACGTCTTTCAGGTGGCTGTAATCAGAATGGGTGGGTTTCATGGGGACACAATTAAAACTGAAAAGCCAAGGAGCCCCACGCTGGATAAGAAGGTGACGAAGTTTGCAAGTGCGTGAGCCCGCCCGATAATGGAAAACCTTCCCCTGAAACACGGAAGAGGTTTCTTTTTTTTTCTTTCCGCTACTCTTTGTTTCTGGTTTCTAAGGGTGAAGGCCGAGCAGCAAGTCCGAACTCTACAAATACGTACTGCGCACCTGGGGAGGAGCGAGTGACGCGACGAGGGACTCGAGCCGGGGCCACCGCGCAGGGGTAGCGCGGTTCTGACCGAGGCACTTCCCGCCGGGCGGGGGAAGGAGAAAAGGAAGACCAGGCGCCCGAACCGGCCTCGCGGTCCCGGCCGAATGAAACCTACCCGCCTCGGCTGCCGTTTACCGGGGCTCACCGCGCGCGCAACCCTGCGCGCGCACTCCCTCCCCTCCCCCCACTCCGCGGATCGGGAAACTGAGACCCCGGGCGGTGGGGGAAGGGGGGTTGTGAAACCGCTCAAACCAAGGTCACCCGACAGGCGAGAGGGCCGCGGACTCGGCGACTCCCCGGCCCGCGCCATCATCCCCGTGCGCAGGGCCCCGGCCGCAGGCCTCGGCGTCGGGCCCGGCCTAGAGGGACCGGCGGGGTGGAGGACCGAGGCCTGCGAGGAGGAAGCGACCCTTGAGGCGCCCACGGGGCCGCCCGGCTTCCCTCCTCACGGCCTTGGCCGCCCCCACCCTCGGAGGGCCCGGCGGGGAAGGCCCGGGCCGAGGCCGCGCCGGTGGGAGGCCGCCAACAGACCTAGCGGAGCCGCCGCCGGCAGCCGCCAAGATGACCGGCCCGGGACAAGGAGCAGTGGAGTACTCACCCCTTCGGGACCGGAGCCCCGTTGCCGCTTGGCACGCCGGGCGCGCCGCTCTCCTCCTCCATTTTAGGCTCCGTCGCCGCCACCTCGGCCGCCGCTTCGACCCCTGCCGCCATTTTCTCCGCGTCTGGGCTTTGTGTGAGGGAGCGGGCTGCACGGCGCTGCGCCTGCGCGCTCACGTGACTCGGCGCGACCAGTAACGCCTGCGCGCGCCGAGACCGGCTCCCGCCTCGTCCCCTCCCGCCACGGGCCACGCCCCTGCTCCGGGCCACGCCCCCGCCGCGCGCAAGCGCACCCCGGCAGCTGTGATTCATTCATTACCGCGACGAGTTTGCTTAAGGCACCTAGAGGATTCTCCACCCGCTCTCAAAGTCTAGTAGGAGAAAATGTCCCCACCTCCCCACCTGGACCTACTCATTTCCAGCTTTATGTAATCAGAGCTGGTGCAGAGGCAGCGAGGAAGTTCTGTTTACTAGAATATAAAGGAGTTAGCTAGGCAAGGAGGGCAGGGTACTGGTCAGGCTGGGCAGAACTGCTGTGCAAAATGCTGTCTCCCTAAGCAAGTATCGTCCTGCACCAAGAATGTCTGTGGCCTCTGTCTGCCTGGCCTGTCTCCCTACCACAATGGGAGCTCCTGGGTGCAGAGCTCGTGGCCTAAATTCCTCTCACCGAACCCATTAACCAACAACCAAAACATGTGGCTGAAGATTTAACATGTGCTCACAGATGGTTTTTTTAATTCTTTTTAATTTGTGAATTTATTTATTTATTTATTTATTTATTTACTTATTTATTTATTTTGAGAGAGGAAGAGAGAGGGAGAGACAGAGAGAGAAGCCCAAGCAGGCTTCATGCTGTCAGCTCGGAGTCCGAGGGGCTGGATACCACCAACCGAGAGATCACGACTTGAGCCAAAACCAAGAATCAGGTGCTCAACCGACTGAACCACCCAGGTGCCCCCAACACGGATGTTTCTTGAGTGAATTAACAAGCAAGAATCCAAACATGATGGAAGAAATTAGTCACAGGCCAGGAGAGCCCAATAACCTTAACTGGGACCCCTTTCTGCCTACCCCTGGATTCCTTTGTCCTGAAGGCTTGGCTCCTCAGGAAACAGGTTTTCAAAGGCTGTTACAGGATGTGTCCTGGGGAAACCTCATTGGCTTGGGAAGAGGCCAGAGCCCAGGAGAATATTCAGAGGCCTCAGGCTCCCTTTCCCCACAACACCCAGTGTCTTTGAAGTGCTTCACTGAGCCACCTTGCAGACGTTTCCATCCAACCACCAAACTCTCTCTGGGTTTACAAAGGGAAAGTTCTCTTTACCCCTTCTCTCACGGAATGGCTACAGATCACCACGCTCTGGGGGAAGATTTCATCCTCCACACCATCCTGGCTGCTTAATTCTTCCTGGTGATTCTGCCCCAGGCTGAGAATTCCAGGCCCAGAGAAGAAATCCAGTAGCTCGGCCTGACAGAGGATAGGCCCCACTCCCACATAGTTCCCAAACCCATGTGTCTCACAAAATTCCCTCCTACCACCCATCTTCAAGGACCTCCTCCTCTCACATCCACTCTGCTCTACTAAAATCTCCTGGGGACACCAACGATTCTCCCGTGACCCCACTGGAATCTAAGCTTACTATCCTGTCCCTAGACTGGAAGGGTCCCTGGGGCAGAAGGAGCCTCACAAACCTCTGAATTCCCTTGCTCAGCAAGGCTCCAATGTGGTGGAAGAGACCATAACAGTCCATCAGAATGATGAAGACAGGTCGGAATCGAATGCAAAACAGCAGGGATGGGAAGCCACCTGTCTCCGCAGTCCCTTCTCCCGTAGTGTGGCTGACAATGAGCCAGGCCCTGGCTGAGGAGACAAGCTCTTCCAGGCTAGGTTCCTATGGGCTGGGGGCCGGTTGACTTAACCCAACACTGCCCACATTCCTGGGTTTTGCCATTTCCCGAACTATTATCTTCTTCACACACTTTAATTGACACACTTTCTTTTCCTTTCAAGAAATAGGTTTCTAGGGGTGCCTCGGTGGCTCAGTTGGTTAAGTGTCCAACTCTTTGATTTCGGCTCAGGTCATGATCTCAGGGTTCATGGGATGGAGCCCTGTGTCTGGCTCTGTGCTGTCAGAGGCTCTGTTTGGGATGCTCTCTCTCTCATTCTCTCTGCCTGTCCACTGCATGCACGTGTGCAAGTACACGCTCTCTCTCTCTCAAAATAAGCATTAAAAAAAAAAAATATGCTTTTAAATTCTGCTTTACATCACAGCACATGTTGAAAACTTGCTAAAATAGTGTATTGTGAAAAATAGGAGGGTACTGTTAGAAATTCAGTCATGCTCCCTGCCAACAGCTCTGAGCCTAAGGCTCATTCTCTCTTCTGCTAGGGTTAAGGGTCATTAAAGACTGCCTAGCACCAAACTAGAATCTTCTCCTCATTTTATCTAAAAGTGTTAGAAGAGGGGCGCCTGGGTGGCTAAGTCAGTTGAGCGTCTGACTCTTGATTTCAGTTAGCTCAGGTCATGATCTCACAGTTCGTGGGTTCGAGCCCAGCACAGGGCTCCATGCTGATGGTGCAGAGCCTGCTTGGAATTCTCTCTCTCTCCCTCCCCTTCTCCCTCTCGCTCTCAAAATAAAAAAGTAAATTAAAAAAAAAAAAAAGGTGTTTGAAGAGATTTGCAAAGGAAACGTCTTTCTCTTTTCGTAACGGCACATCCTGGGGCCTCTGCACTATCTCCAGGGGTAGCACTCTCCAAAGTTGCCCAGAGAGAGGAAGGTGCCTGGCCTGTAGAGTAAAAAACTGCAGAGGGCCCTGGGCACCGGCCGAGCTGAGAGACTTGGGTATGATCTGTTCTACAGGCCACCGGAAGCCTACAGAGCCACGCTCACCTTTCCGGCTGCCTCTATCTGGCCCCTCTGCCCCTCAATCACAGGGCTCCAAGCACAGCTTATCTGCCATTGGGCTCCTCCCACAGGTGGCACCCTGGTGCCAGCCTCCAGACCTTTGCCCCATGGCCAGGCTAGCTTCCCCGTGCTGTTCATCTAAGGCAGAAAGGCTTTTACTTCATCTCTGGGTGAGCCATACCCCAGACGGGCATTCATGAAGAAAACAATAGAACCTACCAGACTCTGTGCTAGGCCCATCAGGGATGTGTGACCTTGGGTGAAAAACCCCACCTCCATGTGCTTATCTGCAAATGGAATTAATTGAGGGAACCCCAGATCCCACCTTTCAGATCTGCGCTGAGGAATAAATGTGACCCAATGCAAAGAACCCTCAAATGTATGCAGCTCAGAAAGAGCTTAAGAAGTAGATGCTGTTATGAGAGTGACCATATTCTGCTTCCTTTCCTGAGTCTTCCAGGAAATAGGAAGTAGAAAGCTCAGCAGGGGATTGGGGGGCATACAGACTGGGGGGGGGTGTCAATCCTAACTCTACTTCCTAGAGCTGGAATAGGGGGGCTCTCAGGCAAAGGCTTCCCTGCTCTGAGCCTGGATCTTATCTGTAAGATGCGTGGTCCACTCTGCATGCAAAGTAAGAGGAAACTGTTCCTCTTACATCTATGTATTTTAGGTAGTTTATTATATAATTCCACTCCCTGCTCTTCACTGGAATACCCAGGCTTGGCTTCTTCCAGTGTTGTGCAACAGATCCCTCAAAAGCAGCTGAGGGTTTTGTTTCATTCTTTCGAACCTCCATGTGGTCCCTGACTCCCCTCGGGTCCCAAACGCCTCCCTGTCGGGCCTCAGTTCAGAAACGTAACTGACAAGTCCATTTTGTCCAGCAAGGGCTGCTTTTATTCTTTCAGGGTGGGTTTTGGAAATGCAGTGCAACTTTATAAAGTCAAGGGTGCCAGGAAAGCGAGCCTGCCGGTGCAGAGAAGAGCAAGAAGCTTGCGGAACCTCCCAGCCCCACGGGCACCCTGGTGCGCCCGTGGCCGCAGCTGCCAGCCCCCAAGGGGCCGGGTGGACCTCAGAACCAGATCAGGGTGCCTGCTCTGTCCAAAGCCCGGGCCCACACCCATCTGTCCCCGGGTACAACGGTGTGCAAAACAACTGGAAAACATCTTCGTGTGGGATCACAGAACCAGCTTCGCTTGGTGGCTCCTGGCCTAAAAAGCATTCTGGCCGTGCAGGAAGGGTCGGGCAGTTTCGTCCTTCAGATACCAGGGCGTCACCAGCTGCCTCTGGCCCTGCTGGCCCGGCCTTCACACAGGGGTCTCCTCTGCCACCTTCTTCAGGAGTCCAGCTGCCAGTGAGGAGTGCGGGGAGCCCTCGGAGCCGTCTGCGTCCCGGATCTTCAGGCGAACTTTCTGGTTGGTCCTTCTCCACTCGGAGTACAGCTGACAGTGGTAGCGGAAGGAGACCTACAGGGCAGTGGCGGGTGTGGGGGGAGGGTTTGGGAATGCCAGCGGCTGCTCTCCACCCCCAAGGGAGGAAGACTGAGCCCCTGGGGCACCTGCTTTGGCCCAAACCAGGACTAGGCTCCTGCTTTCAGAAGCAGGGACAGTGTCCATATATTTCTCAAAAAGACTGTGTACATACACCCATTTGCTCTCCTGGGAGAATTCCTCACCGGCATTCCGGACCCTGCAAAAGTGCAGGGGTCTGCAGCAGGGAGCAAGGAGCTCCCTTTCTGTTTCTCTCAGGATGGAACCCAAGTGGTACAGTCTCTCGGAAGGGATTAAATGTCAGTGGGTCACATAGTTGCCAAAACTTGGAAGCTATCAAGACATCCTTCAGTAAATGAATGAACATATAAACTGGGGGGGCATCCAGACAAGGGAATATTATTCAGCGCTAAAAAGAAATGATCCCTCTAGCCATGAAAAGACATGGAAGAACCTTAAATGCATATTACTAAGTGAAAGGAACCAGTCCGAAGGGCTACACGCTGTAGGATTCCAACTCTATGATATTCGGGAAAGAAGAATCTATGGAGACAGTGGAAGGATCAGGGGTGCCAGGATTGAGGGAAGGGAGGGATGAACAGGCGGGGCACAGAGGATTTTTAGAGCAGTGAAACTACTCTGTACATACACTGTAACGTGTACAACTACCATATATGACTACTCTATACATACGCTATAACGTATATAACTGCACATATGCCATGACGTATATGACTAGTCCGCACGTACGCC